AGAATATCGAAAAAAAAGTTCTATTTTTTTATCTTGCAACATTTCCAACTCTTTTTATGCTGGTTTTGTTTTTTTTTTCTGGCACTAAAAGTTTATTTCTTTTTTTTTATATTCACACCGTTTTCTCGTGTGAATCTAATGGTTTTGTACAGATTGAAAAATCAGTTTTTTGAATTTTGTGAGGATATGGAGCAAGATAGCTTAAAATGTTCAGAGATAAAAAGTTTGTGCCTTGAATTTCACATCTTTTGCAAAAAAACAGATTTCAAATTGGTTGCGGCATTGCTGAGAAAATCGCAAAATATGCTTTCTGTAAGCAAGCAAACAAGCAAGTTAATCAGCAAGAAATCTCAATAACAAGACATTGTAGAGACTTCTAGTTTTTTACATTTGATCCGTGCGGCCCCTAGTCCAAAATTGAAAATGAATTTCCTTCTTGGTTCTTTGCTCTAAAAAAATTAGGATGTTTTATTTGTATTTGTTTTAAGCATTAGAATATTTATGCAAAGGTTCAATCCATTTGGATAAACCCTCGAAGAAAAAAGTGACAAAATTGATTTTGACTAGGGTCGCCCCTAGTCCAAAATTGAAAATGTATTTCCTCGTTGGTTCTTTGCTCAAAAAATTTTAAGATGTTTTATTTGTATTTGATTTAAGCACTAAAATATGTATGCAAAGTTTCAATTTATTTGGATAAACCCTCGAAGAAAAAAGTGACAAAATTGATTTTGACTAGGGTTGTCCCAAGTTCATAATTGAAAATTGATTTTCTTTGGTGTACTTTGGTCAAAACATTTTTTTGGATGCTTTATTTGAATTTATTTTAAGCAGTAGAATATTTATGCAAAGTTTCAATCCATTTGGATAAACCCTCGAAGAAAAAAGTGACAAAATTGATTTTGACTAGGGTCGCCCCTAGTCCAAAATTGAAAATGTATTTCCTCGTTGGTTCTTTGCTCAAAAAATTTTAAGATGTTTTATTTGTATTTGATTTAAGCACTAAAATATGTATGCAAAGTTTCAATTTATTTGGATAAACCCTCGAAGAAAAAAGTGAGAAAATTGATTTTGACTAGGGTCGCCCCTAGTTCATAATTGAAAATTGATTTTCTTTGGTGTACTTTGTTCAAAAAATTTTTTTGGATGTTTTATTTGAATTTGTTTTAAGCATTAAAATATTTATACAAAGTTTCAATCCATTTGGATAAACCCTCGAAGAAAAAAGTGACAAAATTGATTTTGACTAGGGTCGCCCCTAGTCCAAAATTGAAAATGAATTTCCTTCTTGGTTCTTTGCTCTAAAAAATTTAGGATGTTTTATTTGTATTTGTTTTAAGCACTAGAATATTTATGCAAAGGTTCAATCCATTTGGATAAACCCTCGAAGAAAAAAGTGACAAAATTGATTTTGACTAGGGTTGCCCCTAGTCCAAAATTGAAAATGAATTTCCTACTTGGTTCTTTGTTCAAAAAATTTTTTTGGATGTTTTATTTGAATTTGTTTTAAGCATTAAAATATTTATACAAAGTTTCAATCCATTTGGATAAACCCTCGAAGAAAAAAGTGACAAAATTGATTTTGACTAGGGTCGCCCCTAGTCCAAAATTGAAAATGAATTTCCTTCTTGGTTCTTTGCTCTAAAAAATTTAGGATGTTTTATTTGTATTTGTTTTAAGCACTAGAATATTTATGCTAAGTTTCAATCCATTTGGATAAACCCTCGAAGAAAAAAGTGACAAAATTGATTTTGACTAGGGTCGCCCCTCGTCCAAAATTGAAAATTGATTTTCTATTGTGTAATTTGGTCAAAAAATTTTTTTGGATGTTTTATTTAAATTGACATAATTCTGACATAAATCACATACCAATATTACTTTTTGTAATGCATAGCTTAAAAAAATCGAAATCTAAAATTTCGACTACCGCATCTGAATTTTGTTCACACTCTTCACTGTGGAAACCAAAAAACAAATTCTTTATCTTAAAACACTTGACAAAATAGTGACATAATTCAAGATTAATTACTTTTTGATAATATTTTAACATTTGCAAGAAAATGTGGTTCAAATAAGTGTGAAGTATGGCCGAGATTTGGACCAAAATCAGCTATACTTGTTCATAGTGCTCTTGAGGGTGACAAAATTCAAACTAAGTGTTTTTGTAGCTGACATAATTATAACATAAATTAGGCATAACTTTTGAACTGTGTCGATATGGATCTCGGCCGTACTTCACGTCTACCCTTCAAACTTATGCTGAGCAAATCTTGGTCAATTCATAAGACTTTTGATGGTACGGTGTGAATATATCCGCATTTGGTTTCTACCCGATACAATAGTCCTCCATATAAAATGTTGGCAGCGTGCGACGAAGATAAAATGCTGCACGTTCACGTTTGCAAAGTCAACAAAACTTTTTGTCCAACTTTTTTTGTTTTATTTTTTTGTGTTTGTGAAGCAATTTGAGTTCATCAACATCGGTGTTTTTGGATATAATTCATTTTACTACAATCGGGTTAATGTCAGATAGAATTTTAGTGTATGCATGTGATATTATATGTTGCTTACACAAGGGTGCCAAAACTTATGTTTATGCTTATTCTGTGACTATGTAATAAATGGTTTTGTGTCTAAATTAGCTTTATAGAAACTGCATGAACTGATTTTGATCAGGTAATTTTGTTGTTGGTAGAAACTTATGTAATAATTGGTTATATGTGCAGTCAGAAAGTTTTTGTGATATAGCTTCATATCAAATTAGTGATCAAACAAGCTTATTATGATTTGTTACTTATGAGACACGTGATTTTCATTACTATTCTATACAAAAGTTATGAGCAAAGCTTATTTGATAAGATTATGAAGTTGATTTCATTTCATTATTACCCAAGAATTCTTAAACAACAGCTTTTGTCAACTTCCAATTAAAAAAATTTAAAGATGGCAACAATGTCCTTATTTTTGTGGGATAATTGTTCATGTTTGTCTTCTCTTATTTTCGTAACATTCTGACTATCCTTAACCTTAACAACCCATGTTAAAGTAAAGACTTTCTTTTCCTAAATGATATGTAAATATGCAATGGTATGTCTTGTCAGACTTTCAATAAGTAACATTTGTATTATTAAAAAGTAACGAGAAGGAATGTGCCTGTGATGATTCAAACAGATCAAAGTAAACATGTCCCAAAAAACAGTTCAAAAGTGAAATGCAAATTTAAGTAAAAAGTTGTGAATTTTAAAAGGATTTTTTCAGTATTCAATGTGGGTGTTTGAAGCTTTTGTTGGTAGAATCCTTTATAAAACAGCTTTGTATGTAACACATTTTCAAAAGTCACTCCAGAGTTCTCAGATTATTAATTATAAAAAATTTCTATTTTTCACACCAAAATTAATAGCAGCAGAAGATTGCAGCAAAGCAAAGAAGCGATAACAGGAATTGAAAGTAAGTAATACTTTTGCAACAAACTGCACCATTAATTCAAAAGACAAGTGCTGCAAATGAAAAATTAGCTTTGAAGTAAGTTTAAGTCATAATTCATCTTCATAGCATGAATAGCGCAAATTACACTTATTATTTTAACTGATAAGGATTTCTTTTGCTATTCTTTGCTTGTTTTTGTGCTGAATAAGAGGGTCAGAGTTGAGGTCAAGGATACCAAATCCTTTAAACATTTTTAATAATTCCTACATCCTTAAATATTTCAACAAACAAAAAAACCATTGAATCACAATTTCAGATTCCTTAAATAATTCAAATCCTCATTTCCATGATACATTCAGTCGATTACAATAAGCACAACGATTATCTCTTACGGCATACATCTAAAAATAATCCAAAGTTTTGGTTCATGATGATCCACTTAGTCGTTACATTTTAATCATTTCCAAAAAGCTTTCACACCTGTGCCGATAATGATACCTTTTTGACAACCCGAGAAAATTCTACATAAAAAATTGCTTTCTCTGTGCTGTATATATGCACAATCTACACAACTTTTTTGTTGTGTAAACTTCTCCCCCCAAATGAAAAATTGACGATTCGAAGAATACTCAATTCCATTCACAGAGACCAAACATTTCTTAACCAGATGGCGTTGCGATAATAAAAAGTTTTAAATTTTAATTTACAAGCAGCATTTAATCAGATTCATGAATGTTAGATGAAGTTAAGAGAGTATGAAAATTGATGTACCGATCACTGCAGAAGTGAGAAAGTGAGAAATGAGAGAAGAACGTTGGGTTTTGTTGATAATAAATAATTCAGTATGCACTGAAAGGATTTATTAAATATTTATTTAAGAATAAAATTCATGCTTAAAATTTCTAATCGTTGAATTAAATCTTTGTTTATTTTGAATAACCTTTTAAGAGGATGAAAAACAGCAAGCATGAAACTGTTGAATATTTAAGAATGCGTAAAGATTGAGGATGTATGTGTTCATGAGGGGTTTATTTCTTGTGATGTCAATCAGAATCAAGGGTTACAGTCAATAAAGAACTTTAGATCACATATTAGTTGACTTTGTCATGTGAAATGTGACAAATTTTCGAATCAACTTCGAGCTCTGAGCCTCCTCCACAAAAAAACATATGACATGATATCAGAACGACTCCTCCAAAGCATATCCAATTGTATCAAAAGCGTAAACAACAAAAATAAAAATATATCATAACTTTAGCGTTTAGAAAAGTCAATAGAATTGTCAAAAGGAAGAGAAACACAAAATATAATAACATCCATACATGCATAAGAAAAAGAGCTTTCAAAACGTATGGTAAATAAATGATTATACAAAAAGAGCGTGCGCTGTAATGTGAATGTGTCAATGTTATCAGCATTTGCGCGCAACAACTTCAACTGTCTATGATCTTTTCGAAAGTATACATTTTACACTTCGATAGAAGTGCTTTCCCATGCTTTTTTATTCGCAAACTGGAAAATCATTTCCTTTATGGAAAGCTTTGTATCCTTTCCAGTGTGAAATTTTTTGAATTTTCGTTAGAGTTGTGTCTTGAGATTCGTGGTGAAAAGTTGATTTGTTTGCTTTGTTCTTTCGGATTTTTTTTCTCTCACTTCCTTACTCACTCATTCATTGAATGGAATAATATTGACAATATATAGAAGGATTAAAAATTATTTAAAATTGTTCGAGTCATTAACACGGTACATAAAATTAAAAATTTCATAAATTTTACAAGCTGTCAAGTGCTGGAAAATAAAATTAATTTAAAAAAAAAATAGTGTGGAAATGGACAGTTTAAAAAAGCCGATTTATTTTTAAAATCCAATCGATATTTGTTGCTCATTAAATGTCACTTTAAAGTGTAAACGAGACTGAATGAAATCCATGAAGAAGGGATACATGTAATGAACGGAAAACGACAGAGAAAGAATGAAAAAAAGGAGGAAATAAAATTATTATTTATGACCCTATTCTGTTTGAATTCTGTACTGTTTTTATACGAAAAAAAAATTTATGTATGTATATCCTTTCTCAAATTCACGTCATGTGAATAGTATATATTTCCAAAAATGCCTTAAATAAAAATAATATGTGAAGTGAACGCAAAGAAAAAAACACATTTTTTTTGTTGTTACTCGATTTATTAATTTTATAAACTCAGGGTTGGAAAGTTCGATTACCATTTGATGATATTAACTGTCAGTTGAACAATCGTCAAAGCTGTCGGTGAATTTTTCTTTATTTTTCTTGTAACTTTTGAATTTTTCTTACGATGAATAAGAAATGCGGGATTGTAGATTTAAATCTTAAAAGCTGACACTTCAATAATGGATTTTTTTTTCTTGCGAGAGAGAATTGAAATGAAATTCTTAACATTCAAGTTATGTCTTTTAAAAAACAATCAGAGTTTGTGTCAAAATTTTAATTTCATCGTAATAGGGGTTCATTTATTTATGATGTTTACAATTTGGGGTGGGGTTCTAAATTGTGACACTTGTAAATTAAGGCGGTATGATATGAAACTAGTCTCAAAAAATCTTAAAATTCCTCAATATTTAAGCTATTCAAAAAAGATTAATTTCGGCGAATTTTTTGGTATTTCCAAAATCAAAATGAATGATTTATGTTTTTAAACCTTATTCATTTGATAAAGACTCGTTAAAGACTTTGTAAATTTTAAAATTCATTTTCTGGTACAACTTGCTCTTCATTTTAATTTTTTTTAAAAAAAATCAATCTGACATAAAAACAGATGATTAAAGAATCCCCTCCAAACAAATCTATATTTTTTAAAAAACAAAAAAAGTTTCTCCAATAAAATAAATTCTCAGTAAATTCTAATAATTTCACTTTAACTCAAAAAGAAAATCTTTCGTATTCGAAGAAGAGAAAAGTTTTATAGAAGAAAAAAAAACTTCTTGTGGAAAATATCTTAAACTTGGCCCTGTTGAATTTGAGTAATAAAAGAAATTTATAAAGCCAGAATCGTCTATTACATTAACATTTTTATGGGCCATGAAGAAATTATTTTCTTTTTTGTCAAAATAAACTTTTAAATCGTTGAGAAATATTTAATTTATTTTTGTAGGGTATGCTGAGTTATGAAGTCGAGGGGATGTGTGATATTTTAAAGAAATTACAAGATTCAACTAAACTTCATTTCAGAATCAATCTTCAATTTCTTTTAAACTTTTCTACTTGTGTGTCATAATTTTAAGAGTCAATGATCTAAATTTCAAAAAATGATTAAGTTGTTATTTTCTGTTCGACAAACTAATTTCAATTAAAGCAAATTTCAAAACATAATAATTGTCACATGTTGTCCCTTTGGATCACTTACATAAACATTTTTAACGAGTTTAAAAATGCAATATTATTGGCATGGGTCCAAAATTTAATAGACACATTATTTCAGTATGGTAAATACAAATTCTTATAAAGAAGCATGATTTTGAGGTGGCAAATGATTTAATTAACATTTACTTTATTAAACTCCTTTAAATTCATAAAAAATTACCGGCCTGTTTCACTAAAGTGGATTATCCTCGATTTCGGATTATCCACTTCAGTTTTTCGGAAATATCTCCAGACGCTTAAGGTTATTAAGAGAATTAATGTGTGATCTAGCAAGAGTACTTTGCTACTTAAATTAACATATACTAAGAATTTATATATCTTCATTAGTTTGAGAATTATAGTAAAAATTGAAGTTAATCTTCTAGATTTGGCTAGAAAATTGAATAATTAATACTTCTTAATGAAAAGTAAAAGTTTAAAGTGTACAGAAATTTCAGGCATACTTCACTCTTTTAAAATCCAAAATTAGAAATACCACACCTCCCATGAAGTTTAAGATATTTACAAAAAACTGAAATGGATAATCCGAAATCGAGGATAATCCACTTTAGTGAAACAGGCCGTAAGTGTTCTATAAGAATAAGAAAGGGGTAAGTTATGAAGAACAACCCCCCACCCTCACATAATGAATCCAAATATTTAAATGCTAAATAATTTAATTTATAAAATAAAAATCTCAATTACCAACCCTGTCAACCTGCAAATTAAAATTTGGCACAGTGTCAAATTTTAATTCCCATTCTCCAAAGGGGCCATTCACTTATTACGTAACGCTTTTAGGGGGAGGGGGGGGAGGGGTCTAAGGTTTTTGTTACGATTCAAACAAGGAAATTTTTTTTTCATGCAAATTTTGTTGCGAGGGGGGGGGGGGTCTAAGAAGTCATTTTTTCGCGTTACGTAATAAGTGGACAGCCCCAAACCTGTCAAAATAGACATGAATAATAGCTCAAAAAATAAGCTTTTCCAACCCTGAATAGTAGAAGCATTCCTACACGTGAAAAGAGCAATCAATATTTAGAAGTCCAAAGAGAGAAAAAATACAATGTTTAGAAAATGAAACACAAATCGTATATACCTCTGTTCTGTGTGTTGCTATTCAAACAAAATAAAACCAAATATTCGTGAAACTTTCACCTGCGTACAGGTGAAGAAAGAAAAAAAAGGAAAAATAATTGCTATAAAATAAAATGTAGTACATAAATTGCTTTTCCTTTTCATAATACAAGATAAATTAACTTTCTCTCTCGTTCCTTACTCTTTATTTACTTCTTAAACATATATTTCGCATCCGTTCGTTCTCACAGTGCGTCATATTGCATAAGACATCAGTTTATAATTTTATCATTTACTCCATGCTACACAAAATGTTTCTTTGAACTAGTGGCATGCATATGTGAATCGCTAATTCGGTCAAACTATGTTTTGTGTGGGAGTCATCCACTTTTTATGGAACGATAGGTAAAATTCAAGATTGAGAGTGGGGGAAGCCGTCTATTGATAGTTGACTGTGATAGAGTGTCACACGATGTCATGTATCAGTAAGAGGTGACCTGAAGTCATATACATCCATACCCTCACTAGTAATCAACCCCACATTCAAAGGAATGAAACAAACAAACTTAAAGGAAAGAAAAAGAATTGAAAAATGAAGGAAATGAATTTACATGTAGAGTATGTTATATATTACAATTTCTTTTTTTGTTAATCGTCTCGTTGCCATGGAAAAACGCCTTAAAAGTATAATTTCCTTTATTCCTGATACAAATGAAAAAACTTATCCATTGTTTGATATTTTTTCATTAAATTGCTAATAGAAGAAAATATAAAAGTTTTTGTTAATAGAAAAAAAAACGAAGTTCGGCTACATAAAAAGTTTGTAATGTGATTTAACAGTTATTTTTATGGCAGATAACGGTTATGTTAATGGATGATAACATTTGATTTGTGATTGATACCAACATAATCGACTAATCCCTTGTGAATATGAAGCTTGTGTTAGAAATTTATTTTTATTGCTTGAGAGCTTTCTTTAAACGCGTTTTGTGATTTTTTTATCGAATTTTTAAATTCGTGGATTTTTATCTGTGTGTGTGTGTGCTGTGCTATGCTGTGAGAATCATAAATGTTGTAATAATCTTGATACTTTTTTCGATTTCCTTCTGACATTTGATTGTCATATTATTTTGTGTGCGGTTCAAGACGATAAAACCATTAGTAAATATAAAAAAAAGGGAGAGAAGAAAAGGAGGAAAACGATTGTCAGAGAATTTCCGTAATTTTTTTGTGAATGGATGTTAATAGAAGTGCTGATATTGAGTTTGTGGTTAAATAAAAAAATCTGTTAATTCAGAGCACCTTTTTAGGAAATGTGTACTTAACTTTTTTTCAACCCCAAATTCAAATTTACTTTTGGCTTCGGTCTGCTTGGACAAGGCTGTGTGACTTTATGTTCGGTTTTGTGATGCTAAATATGACGAATTAATAATTATTGGAATCAATTTTTCCTCATGAATACATAAAAATGTTGGCCTTGAGGCACTCGCATGCTTAATTTTATTTGAAGAAACGTCGAAAATACTTGCTGACGGAGAAAGTACCCAGATGGTTTATTGCCGTTTATTGATTGGATCAATAATTCTGAACTGAGTGCAATGCTTTCTTGGGAAATTTTATGTCTTTAACATGAAAGCAAATCGAATTGTTTGCAGATGTGTAGCCAAAGGGGGTCCGATGGTGTCTCGACTTTAAAGAGATTGGACCCTAGACCCTCATTAGAAAGTTATTTCTTGTTATGAATCTGATTTATAGCTTAACAAGAGTTTTTCCGACCCAAAATAAAACATTTATACTGCAACATACTGAAATCAAATCATCCACATAGGATCAATTATTGTCATACTTGCTGACGATTCCAATCAAGTTTCAAACAATTTCAATGGCAACATTAACAATCCAAACATCCGTACTCTTTTGAGAAATCATCCAAATGATTGTGCTTGACTTAAAAAAACAACAGAAATCAGCATTTCCAATATTACAGACATTGCCAATGACAGTTTCCAAACATATTCTTCTTTGTAATTACTCCCGCTGGTATAAAAAGCTAAATTTTCGCCGATGTTGTCGGTCGCTGACAACAGCATTTTTCAATTTTCTGCTTTAGGTATGTTTTTGTCATCATAAATCAAGTTATGATGTTTCTATGAGAAAATATGAAGGAAATTTCTGAAAATTGAATTTTATATGGCGATGGCTGTGCCTTCAAGTTTAAAGATGTGCGTAAATTTCCTGAAGAAATTCAGATATCAATCAGCAGTGCTTCCTTCAGGAAAGAACGTAAAAGATGTATTAAATGCCTGAATGGATTTAATCCTGATGATTTTTCTTTACAGTTCTTTAAAATTTCATTGAAAAAGTGTCGGATTCTGTGAATAAAAAAGGTTTTATGAGCAGAAGACTTCCTGAAATATTTTTTTGCCTGCCCTAAAGGTTCAGGAAGTAATCTCTCCTTTTACTCAAGTGTTGTCGAATTTTTTGATCCATTCAGAAAAGGTTTTTAAATGCTCAAGTTTTGTCCTCTTGAATACAAACTAGACTAAAAACATTCAAAGAATCAGCATTAAAAAGGCTTTCATCCATTAAATAAAAACATTCAAATTTCTACCCCGTGACGATGATTTCCTATTGTTTTACCGTGAAGCACATGGCACGTGGATGTACGTTTTTACTCGCGGGGTTTCTCGCAACTTAAATTCCAATCAAAAATCCACAACCTTTACTTCCTGATTTCAATAATATAAAAAAGGGTCGTTAACTTATCATCGTACTCAGTCATTCATTAGATGGGATTATAAAGTAACAAATTACCTATCGCGCCGCTTCCATCAAGCAGAACATTCCAAATTTCATGCGATTAAATTGATCTCACATCATTCAAATTAAATCCGTGTCATTTGTCACTTTCGTAAAAGGCAATAAAAAAAGACTGCAAATTGACAGTTTTATAATGTCGTACCTCGCTATCTTTACATCAATGATTCCATTCCCTTTCACCTTTTTTTTACGGTCACCTCTGTTAATTCGAAGTTTACATTGTTCACAACTGTCACACTTTCCATTAAAATAAAAGAGAGAGTGAGAAAGAAAGGAACACCGAAATTATTATCCTGCTTCATTCATTCTTATGTTTATATCACCTTAGGCAAAATATTCTATAAGGACACATTTCTACTGGTATCTCTTATTTCTTTATGGCCTAAGAAAATAATATAGCAGTCAATATGATACAAAATGCTTGACTGAATTATCTTCCTTTTTCTTATTGTGGAAAATATTCATATTAAATGTGTAAATGGGGAGATCATAACTATACTTAATGTGTTCACATCAATGGTTCAGAGTTGTCATGGCATGTGCTGGAAAAACTTAAAGCATTAAAATCTGTCTAGTATCCAAAATAACTGTCTGTCCCCGATGTCGTTAAAGCATAATAAATCCTCCAAAAAAGATTACAAAATTGCGCAAATGAGGTGTTAATAATGATAACATTCTTATCAAAGCAGTTGATTCTCCCCACACCAGCATATTCAGTTGACAACTCTGATGAACCAACAAAATCATTCTTCATATAGCACAAGAAAAGACAAAAAGGCAAAATCATAAATTGCTCGGCAATGACATCCACCAAAAAAAAATATATTTCCTTCATTCTTAAATAGCAAGCAACACAAGAAAAATGTAACATAAAACATACTCTACTTAAAAATACATTTCCATCATTTTTCATTCTCTTCTTCTTTATTTTCGCCTTCTTAATATCAACAGTCGTGTACACAAAAATAAAATAAAATATTTTTCCCATTTTTCATCCTTCTGTGTGAATGAATTACATTATAAATTCTATGAAAATGCTTTAAAGAACTTCCTTGGCTGAAATTTTAAACTTTCGTAATTATTAAATTATGTGAATTTATATTATTCTGTTGCTGATGCTAATCTCGTTCCTTTTTAATGGCAATATGATTATAGTCGTAATTAAATAAACGAGTAAAATGATGCCGTGAAATTGATATGAGAATTGGCGCGCATTTTATGAGCGACGTTGATAAATGAATTTTTAATTTCATGGGCTTTAAGTCGAAAAGAGATTTAAGAAACATCTGACATGAATTCCTTCAAGGTTACTTCTCTTAAATCTCAATTTATTTATTCTTATGCCTCGACTGAGTTGCCCTTCGGGAGATACAAATTCCCATGATATAATTTAAGAATAGAAGCTGAAACACCTTGGGATTAGCCTGCAAGATGTGAAGGCAAAAGGAAAATTGATGTGGGTACTCTAAAAGCAATGAAATATTTTCTCAGTAATTGTTCTCCGAAAAGAAAGAGATTCAGGGGAGATTTTTATGAAGTAATTCCGACAAATTTATCAGAGTAATTGACCAAGTTAATCAATTGTGTGACTTATTTTTTTTTTGTACGAAAAACAAAGAAACAATTGAAGACGTTCATGTGCAAAGGCGTTGTTGCCATAGATGTCATTTAGTCATAAAATTGTATCCAATCTTACGTGACGACAGCTTTGAAGTGACTTCACACCAACTTTATGACAATTTCTACAGAAAAAAATAAATAAAATCATGATTTGTCACCATGGATGAAAGTGCAGAAAATATTTCTAATACATTACATGTGTCTGTCATTGGGATTAAATGGCATTTTGAGGGTGTTGAGTTGGCCTTTTCTTGAAAAATTATGGATTTTGGTATTGATTTTTTGGGGAATCAAAACGTGATTGAATGATTTTCTTTTTTTGATTTTTTTATACAATTTTTTTTGAATATTGAGTTAAGGAAGCTTCATTTAAGAAAATATGTTTCATTTCTGATGAGAAAGTTGGAAGTGATGTAAAAAATTTATTTTTGTTTCTGAGAATGAAAGCTTGAAGTTAGGAACTTTTGATTACTCATATGGATATACAGAAAAGTTTCTAATTTAATAAAGCTGACAAGCTAAACAAGCCTCTAATTTAATAAAATGTTTTTTTATCCTTGAAATTACACTCTAGATATTTAATACATCATTGTGAAACAAGCTTAAGTTCAAACTGGGACTCGATACTACTCGTCGTATCATTTATCGTCAAAAAAGAGCTTAAAGCTTGACATTTCGTCCTTTATTCAGAGATACAATGGTTTCATGGGTGTGGAACTGATCAAAATGATCAAATTGTAATTTATCAATCGACACACTTGAACAATATATAAGGGGTCGTTCACTTAGAACGTCCAAAATTAACGGTCATTTTTCAAAAAGGAACAATAGATTTCTAGGAATTTCTATTGTTCTTTTTTGCCGAATCCCCCCCCCCCCCCCTGGACGTCATAAGTGAACGGCCCCTAAAGGACTAGGTTTTGTCGCAACAGAATATAGCGTTCTTTCAAAAGTTGTTTAGGAACTTTACGCAATCTCATTTACTATCTTAAAAAATTAATCGCTCCATTTGAAAGGATCCAAACCAACAAAATCTAAAAATTAGCAAGCATCAAATTTCGATAGAAAATAAGGCTATGAAAATAAATTTGTTCGGCCATTTTTCTCACCTTTTTTCACTGAAAAACTTTTTTTTATGGTTTCTAGTAAGAATAATTAAGGTGTCAGCTATCACATTATGGTTATATCTTCAATCCATGCCTGTATACTTTAGTGCTGCTCGAGCACAACTCATTTATTAAAGAAGATATAGGAAACATGATATTTGGATAATAAAGTAGACATAAATACCATTTTAGGGTTATAAACCTTAAATTCATGCTTTAATTGCTTTCGTTTACCTTCACTTGCCCACTCATAGTCTTAAAAAAAGATTTTTTTATTCGGGTATGTTTGAAAAGTTTAACACCATTTTCACACAAAACTTGAACGGGGGAATTATGAGAATTAATTTTTCAAATGACGCTCTTTGTGTTATTTTTGAAATAAAGAGTTCTTTGCCATTAAAATCCTTCAACTTTCTCTGAAGTTCATGCATACCTTTGTATAATTTTTTTTTAATTATTAAACCCTTTCACATTTTCTGTCTCAATAACTTTAAGTTAACGTCATGAGAAAGAAATCCAAACAAATCAACTAATTGACATTCAGCAAACAATTTTAAAGTAAAGCAAATGCATTGCAAAGTATATAAAAAAATGTCTTTTTTATTTCCATCTTTAAGGATTGACAATGTGTGAAGAATATTAACAAAAGATGACAAGGAGAACTTATGTTCCATTACAAACTCCATAGAATGTTATAAAGAAGTGAAATAGAAAAGAAAGTACTGAATTTGAAGTGAAGATGTTATACAGAAGGAAAGAGTTGTAGTCATGAATAATATTTTAAGTGATTCAGAGAATCGTGTCGTATTGAACGTTGGCGGTATTCGTCATGAAGCATATAAGGCAACGCTTAAAAAGATTCCAGCTACTCGATTATCTCGCCTTACCGAACAATTAGCGAATTATGATCCGGTACTTAATGAATATTTCTTTGATCGTCATCCGGGTGTGTTTGGACAAATTCTGAATTATTATAGGTAATTATTGCCATTTTTATGTTAAACGGATGGATGATTTAGAAATGACACTTCAATGTGATTGTTGTTCCTTTAACCAACCATTTCATTCATTCCGCATCATATGAACTCAAGAACTGGAAAACTCCATTATCCGACTGACGTGTGTGGACCCTTGTTTGAAGAAGAGCTCGAGTTTTGGGGCTTAGATTCGAATCAAGTTGAGCCATGTTGTTGGATGACATATACACAGGTGAGTTTGTTGATATGACTTACTGTTTACATCCATTAATTTTCTTCAATTTTTTTCTTCTTTCTCTTTCCTTTCTGCTGCACAAAATTCATTCATCATTTCCTTCTTCGTTCACTCTCTGTAAATGTTCTCTGCAATGCTGACAAAAACAACACCTCGACCAAAAAATAAACATTTCCAAACTGGAAAAACAAACTTTTTTTTTCATCAATAATACATACACAAAAAAATAGCATCGAGATACACAAGAAACATTAGCAGTATTAGAGAGATTAGATTTAGATACAGAGAAGCCGACCGAGGAGGAATTAGCTAGAAAATTTGGATATGAGGAAGCATATGCGAAAGGGAAAGTTAATTGGTGGCAACGTCTTAAGCCCAAATTATGGTCCCTTATGGATGAACCGTACAGCAGTAATGCCGCAAAGGTAATTTATGTCTCTTAACTTATCTCTTCCCTTTTAAAAAAAAATATCATTTTCATGTCTCATTCGGTGAAGATTTCCTGCCTTCCTTATTTTTTTTTCATGTATGTGTATATGTTTATATCTACGAGATATAAAAAGCAGCAGCAAAACGAAAAAATAATCTTTCTATTATCCTTAGAATTCAATTCACTGAAAAAAGGATCTTAAATCTTGTGATTTTTCTCATGCGATAGATTACATTCTTCGTCTTCCTCTATTTTCCTGATGCTTATTTTTAAAAATCTCTTGAAAGTCAAAGATCATTAATCGAATTCGATATTGCTACCGCAGCTTAGTTCACAATCAATTTAAATCCATAAGATGTTATTAACATATTCAAAATGATTTCCTAGTACATTTTGTACGGCATTGGAATAATAAAGCAAAAAAAAATCTTGTATTCCATTAGCTCGAATCGGCTGACTGACAGAAATGTTTACAATTCAAGATTTCAAGCAGGCTCTTTTAACATCAAATTGCTTTTATCATTCAAATTTAGATGTTTGATATGCTAACATTTTTTTTCTGATTTATTGAGCGTTATTTACCGTGATTCAATAGCTGTTATGCTTTCATTTTGACTATCCATGTGACTGCTCATTTACTCCGTTGACCTTAAGTCTTTTTTCTATGAAACTTTAATCCTATAGAAGTTTATATATTTCTATAGAGGAGATTATGAATCAGTTCAGGTTAAAGGAATCATATTAAAGGATTAAAGGATGTTTTTTGAATTAAGAAAGTTATTCCAAAGATGTTTACCAGGATGAGCATGGCTGTATGTTGTGAAATTCAAGACTAAGTATTCGAAATAGCAACTAAACTAATTTATTGAAACAGATTCCGTATCCTCTAGTGTAGGATTTGTTCCCACGTCCTAACGTCTGTTAACAGCAAGGATGCTACACGAATTCAACCCTCAATTATCAAAAGTAACTTCAATCTCTTCGAAAAAGTCATCAAATAACAAATCTAATACATAATTTACATAATCTACATCAAAAGACACTTTTGAGCCTTATTTTAAAATTCTCAAACTTTATCTCAGTCCAAAATTTCAAACAAAAATAGATTAGAGCATCAACGTTCCAACAAAAACCTGAATTTCAATTATTGAACCTTTTCGAGATTTTTTGTCGTTTTGATGTTTTAGAAAAAGAAAGGAAAACAAGAGCAAGAAAAAAAATCTCTTCATGTTTCATGAACACAATACAATACCATTTCATGTTATTATATCCTTTTGTTAACTTTCTTTTTCCCCATTTCATACAGTTAACCCAATTAACCATTCCAATATCTTTTTGTTTTACAGATTGTTGGAATTATATCTGTCTTTTTTATTTGTGTATCAATTGTATCGTTCTGCCTGAAAACTCATCCAGATATGCGTGTTCCTGTGATTAGAAATATAACTGTGAAAACAGCAGACCAAGGCTTGGCCTGGACATTAGATAAACAGCAAACAAATGCTCATGAATTTTTCTTTTATATTGAATGTGTTTGCAATGCATGGTTTACCTTTGAAATTTTGGTAAATGACAATAATTGGACCCAAAATTGTACTTATCATAATGATTGTGCTCTCTTTTCATGAATTATTCAACAGATACGCTTCATTTCATCACCGAATAAATGCGAATTCATTACGTCACTTGTCAACATAATTGATTACATTGCAACTGCAAGTTTTTTGTAAGCTCAAACTTTTTTTAACCATTCATAATCACATGTCATAAAATGTCTCAACCTCTATCTCACCCCAAACAGCGTCGATCTCTGTCTCCAAAAATTTGCATCACATCTAGAAAATGCTGATATCCTAGAATTCTTCTCAATCATACGTATTATGAGGTTATTCAAATTGACACGGCACTCGTCTGGACTGAAAATCCTGGTTCAAACGTTCAGGGCATCAGCAAAGGAGTTGACTCTATTAGTGTTTTTCTTAGTATTAGGTATCGTTATATTTGCTAGTCTTGTTTATTATGCGGAGAGAATCCAAACGAATCCGCATAATGATTTCAATAGCATTCCACTTGGATTATGGTGGGCTCTAGTAACAATGACAACAGTCGGATACGGTGATATGGCACCAAAAACATACATAGGAATGTTTGTTGGTGCTTTATGTGCACTAGCTGGTGTGTTGACAATTGCTCTGCCAGTTCCTGTTATTGTTAGCAATTTTGCTATGTATTATTCACATACACAAGCTCGTGCAAAATTGCCAAAGAAGCGACGACGTGTAATTCCTGTTGAACAGTTGTTAGGTCGTCCAAATCAGGTGAGTTAATGGTTGGAGTGAAATATAATGGAATAACAATAACCTACGAACAAAAAAATTCTTTGTGCAAATATTTTGAAAAATTCCTACACAAAATAATACTAAGAAAAATTCCGGAGCCGTAGAAATTTGTTTCCTTCAAGTTATGTTCTCTTTGTTCCTTCAAACGTGATAGAAAAAAGTAAAATTTAAATTTTTGCATTAAAGAATTTTTTTTCCAACAAGTAAAAAGCACCTCTGTGTGAGGTTTTGCTATGACTTTTGATAGAGGCTATAACCATATTCAATGCCAGTTATGCTCAAGAGCGCGTAGTTCACTTTGCATGGCTTGAACTCGAGTCAACTACAGACTTAAATTTAGTCTAGTGGAGAGTACGGACCCTCCTCCATCAATCTAGCTAGCTTCGTCTCTGTCCTGATTATTAATACCAAACCCTAAACTTAATTACTCAATTTTTTTCCATTAGCAACCAATGAAAAATGACGGTTCCAACATAATATCAGCCTCAGGTGGTCCAAAACGATCAAAGGATTTAATTGGCGCCAAAATTGGTAAGTTTCATATTTGCATTTGGTTCTTTCGCTTTTTCTCCTTTTTATTCTCTAAAAGAAAGAATAAAACATTATATTTCTATCCTATAAACATCATTAAATTGGCTTTTAACGGTTTGCTGATTTCCTTTTTAATATCATCAAAAATAAAAAGCGATAAAGGAGAAATTCCTCGTCGCTTGCTTTATATTTTCCCTATCAAACTTGAAAGCTGATTACTTAACAATAAAGTGAAAGTAATAGATATATATATACAGACAGTTAAGACAATGAAAGCAAGCAATCCTTAACAATGCATTGAGTCGAAAAATGAGAGTATAAAAATAATTTTATGTACATTATCCCAAACAGCAGCTAACAGCATTCATATACAGCTATTTTATTATTTCTTTTCCTGTTCCTTTATATATTAGACTCACACTTAATTCATGACTATATATCAAAAAAAATATTCCATTGTTTCACATTATTCTTCTAGATTTTACTACAATAAAAGGAAAAGGATGTGCCAAAAAGAAATTGGCTGACTTTTTATAACATTGTTACATTCACGATATGCAGTTTATCATTTATCGTTTGTAACATGATAATCGCTTAAATGTAATAATAACTCATCCATCACAATAATAAATTGATCAAAAAATTCCAAGATCATTTTATTAAAAAAAAAACACATAAAATTCGTTATTATTTTATGCAAAATTTGCCCTCAAGCTTTCCAGAAGCTTTTTTTAAAACGCATAAATTGTATCATCGCAAAAAAAAGCGCGCTAATGAGAGGAAAAAAAATAACAGTTATGTAAATAATCAAATATTCATTAACGATGTGATGTGTTCCTCGTTTCATTTGTATGTGTGTTGTATGTCTGTTTGTGTACTTTTTTTATGTCTAAATCTTTATGCTTTCATTATTGTGTTTTACATTTTTTTTTCTTTTACACTTAAGGCGCATTTTCCTTCTTGAGATGATGCACTGTCTTTAAGTCTATTTGTAGTTTGGTTTATGCTGGTTTATGGAATAAGCATCCTTTGGGATGAATCGACATTGCAGATGTAAATATACTTTACTGTAACGTGTGTTTAGGGACAATCTCAAATCAAGAAAACATGAGATTGGAGTGGCTTGAAATTGGGAAGTTTGTACTGCTTTTTGTGTGTTTTCTTTGATTTTTGGGATATTCTGCATTAAAAAAACTAGGTTTTTTGTTCAAAAAGCTAAGATTATTATCCAAAAACACAATTACTTCCACAATTTTCTGAACCATTCCAAATTTAAAGTAACTTCCGCTCAACACAAAATCAAATGTTATACAAATTCTTCATAAAAGCTGTACCTTTTCTTTCATGACGTAATAAACATATGGGAACATATGTTCTAAGAAAGGAATCACACAATTTGTATGACATTCATACAGTAAATCCAAAGCAATAAATCATCAATTGTCATGGTTCCAAAATTGACAACCCTTCAACAGCCCTGACAATTCATTTCATTTACTAGGCGTACAGAATTTATGGGGTATTGAGGAAGTGTTTGTCGAGACTTGGCTTCCTCAGTTAATTCCAAAACAATCAATTCCCAAAAATTCAACTTAAGTTCAAAGATAAATTTTAAATGGAAAATTCTTATTTAGTCAATTCTTATTCAAGCTAGTCTCATTCTTACATAAGAGGAAAATGCGCTCAACCATCCGGTGCTTATGGAATTTTTTTCAAACCCATTATGATTTTCTTTTACTTTAAAAAGAAGTAAGCTGTCAGAAGTCGAAGTATAAAATTTTATGATATATTTACGCTCATGAACCTTTTTCTTTATTTTCATTGCATTAACATGGAAAATCAATATATGGTGATGTTTTTCTCTAAGTGTTCCTCATTTGTGCTTTAATGCTTTTATGGAATTTTGTCTTCTTTAAATTCCATGACATTGCACATTATACGGTTTAATGATCAGAGAATTTTATATACTGTTGAATATTGACAGTGTTGGTGTAATGAGAATTACATAATAATTATTTGCTTCTGCCTTAATGAGAAGCTATTTAAAATATTTTTATGTCCTAAAGCAAATTTGGGAAACGGGTTGAGCCACAGAGCAGATAATAATACTAAATTTGTTGACTTTTATTACCAATTTACCCAATAATAAATTTTTTTCCATAATTTATTGTGCAGTTATGCTTTCACATGGAAATTATTAATTTATAATTCGGGATGATTTTATCACAGATTATTTTACAGGCGATTCTCCGGATGAATAAATCTGATTTTTTAAGGTTTATTAACGTTTTTCGATGTTGTTTGGTTATTTTGGAAACACGAGAACTTTGTGTACTCTAACAATTGAGCTAATATGACCCAAATAATCCATTTTTATGAATAATTCCTTTAAGCATATCCTTTGAATAAATGAAATCTTCTCGACAATATTTTTGTATGATAAATGTTGAAGCACTTCCAAGCCAAAATAAATATTGAAATATTTATCGATCCAAGATAATATTAAAATCGGCCAGATCTACTCAGAAATTTCTCTTTTGGATTGAATAAAAAGATATCATAACACAATATTGATGATGATGAACACGTTCTGTTAATCCTGAAGGAATTGACAAGGTAGAAATTTTAAAAAAAAGTTTTTTTTGTGACATTCTATATACCTTAGAGCTTTTGTGGTGATATAGATAATTTATTGATCAATCTAATGGTTTAAAGAAGTGTCTGACGTTTACCATAGAAACTATTCATTATTTGAGGTTGCAAATCTTTGGAATGAAGTGTAATGATACTTTATTTAGGGATCAATTTGGTTATTGAGTGTCTTTTTGACAATTTAGATTCAATCTTCGTTATTTGTGGTATCTTAGTGATTTTTTGAGTTGAAACTCGACTGAAAAAGTTTGATTTTCAATAGATCTTATGAATATAAATTGTCTTAGCATAAGCATAGCCAAAAAAAGTGCAAATTCTTCCTAAAAATAAAAAATCTATGAGAAAAATTGAAAACCACCATTTCGAGCCTTTCTTATATAATTTCTGGCAAAGATCCTAGTCAAAAGAAAGCAATTAACCGCGCAATGACCTCTAATTTGCTGAAACCACCAACAAATTGAATTCCAACGACAATAAATCATAAAGACAAATGAGAGTTTTCATCGAAGAAAATTACCAGAGTGATCCCACGACAATAAATACATTACATGTTTACAGAATAATTTTCAAAGTATTTTCATGAGACCCATACTGACATCAAAACATTAACAAGTAGCTTTAAATAACGACTCATGTTTCCTTGAGAAGCTTAGCAAAGAAAATAATTTCCAAAACATCCTTAACGGCTTTTAGATTGCTTGGGGTGTTGTCATTCATTCTGATAGGAGAGCCACTTCATAAAACTAGAAGAAGAAAGATTTATAAGAATTTTAATAACCTCCGTAGCATAAAAACACTTTAGTTCACTCAGAAAAGCTCATTTAAGTACATTTTTAAAAATTTTACTTTTTATCTCTCTTAGACGCCGGAAGAATCGCACATAAAAAATATATAAATGTTGTACAATAGCAATGATAATAATAATATTAAAGAAAACATCACCATTTATACTAATTTTTTTTAATCTGCATTAAATATTGAGATTAATATCAGCCAATGCATTGCTGTTATCAAAATTATTTTTTTTCTGTATAATTAACATTAATTTTATGATTTTAACGATAATGTGCTTGAAATTACAAAAAATAATAAAAAGCCTCTTATAAACACAGAAAGAAATTCACATAACATTCTTAGATATATAAAGAAATTAAGTATCTACTATTATCTATCTCTTAATGAAAAGTCAGAACAGATGTAATAAAGGCCGACAAAATGAACACTATTAATACAAAAGGTCTAAGTGAATGTTCTTTAATGACGTCTATCAAATAAAATGGGGAAGTGTTTCATCATTTAAATCCAAAATTTTTTTAAACGACAATTAAGTAAAACAGCTATTTAAGAAAACTTGGCTGGTTTTTTCGGGAATATTTTAGCCATATGTTCGTATGACTCTAGCCTTTATAACAAGAGCTTACCAAAAAAACCAGCTTCTGAAAAATCTCATTTTTGATAGACGTCATTCTCGAACAGCCCCCTAAGTGAAAATAGAGATGGTGACAACGACCAAGAAGAAAGATAGAAATAGAAAAAAAAAATAAAACTTTGATAATTAATTCTATTCCTTCTTGCTTACCGAACAAACAAAAATCTAATTCTCATTCTTTTGTTGCATAGTTTTTGTTGTTTTTGTATCTCTAAAATAGTAATGTTGAATTTTCTTCACATTTTCAGTTACAAACAAGTTGCGTCGCTTATCAAATTGCACTTCTATACAAAGTACAAATGGCAAAAAGTAAATGAAAAAGGAAAATAACAGAAATACTGCAATCACCATTAAGCATTGTAAAAGAATCTATTTAGCTATGGCATTCGCACATATTTTAACCCTTTTTTTTGCACAATACAACCCACCTTCATAACTTTCTGAATTTAAAAAAAAATCTTTTCCTCATTTTTTCCTGCACTTATATATACTCAATTAAATTAAAATTTAAGATCCAATATCTCAGAATGGGGATGAATAATATAAAAAAAAAATCTCAAATATGATTGAAAAAGATCGGAAACTTCATTAATCTAAAAATATCATATTGAATAAAATTCAAGAAAATAAAAGAAAATGTAGCACTGAAATATTAGTTGTTTACTTTCTGTTCCTATGTACTTTTCTTGGGTGGAGAATTTAATTTTTGAATGCTTTGAATGGCCTCAAAACGTTGTGAAATCAATACAGCAATGCCTTAGTTGAATAATTAAACTTACTCAAAAGGGTGAAGTCTGATTGAAAAATTAAACTTTAATAAGGTTTAGATTTCGCAACGGGAGAGAATATTATCCCATAAAGAAGTTTTAGATTCCAAATTTACTTCCACTCTTAAAGACTGAAGTTTTGGTATTCGCACTTATTTCATCTAAAACTTTTATTCACGCTCAAATCGTTCGCTTTCGGAGCTTCCAATCGCAATTTCCTTTTTGTATCGCAATAAACATGTCTCATTAAATTTTAATTTTCAATTCAGAATCCATTCGTCCTCTAAATTCACCATCTTTTACCAAAACTATTAAAGTTGAATGGAAATAAAAGTTTTTTATGGAAATTGAATGAAGATTTTTGCATTAAAATAATCTTTTGAGGTGGAAGATTTTCTTAATTGCAAAATTGTTAAGCGATTCAAGCTGTTTCGTCTATTAAAATTTTACAGCTGCTTAACAGAAGTCTAATAATTAAGTTAAAGCTTTTTAAATTATGTTTTTTGATTGAAAGACTAAATTTCAAAAAGAATAAAAGGGGCGAGGAACTAACGGAAACTGATATTTTTCAAAAATTATTCGAGCGTTATAAATTGAAAAAATTTTTTTGTCTTATTGAAGACAAAAAAACCAATTAATCATGTTTTACATGCCATCAAAAAGGAGATTTTTATTACGATTGAAGTTTTTTGTCATTCCATCAAAGGACCTTAAGCCATTAAAATAAGGATACAAAAATTTATAATCACATTTTTATCTAAAATTTTTCTCAAAAATCCCAAATATTTTATCAATATTTATTTTCTTTGAATGTCTTCTCGTTCCTCGGTTCCTAGATAAAGCAATATTAAAAAGGCCATTGAAAGTATCCATAAATTATGTTCTCTATTCAAAAAAATTTAATATAAATAGACACACACAAACCTTGTTACACAAAAAATAAGAAAATTTATGTATACAAAGACTTGAAAATTTTCTGTTTGCACGTTCGCTTGACTATGGTATCATAATGAATGTTGATGTTAATTTGATTTTGCATTTACAGTAGAGCAACAATAAATATTTTTTTCTTAATAAAATTTTTCTCGGTTTTAATTTGCTTAAAAACATTTTTATTCTCTTACTTTTTCCATTTAGAATCTTATTTCTATAAATATAAATTTTATATATTTTCTTACAAAACATCTTATTGTTGACATAGTACAATAGATAAACTTTCATACTAACAATTAACTTATTTTTTTCTCTTCTCAATTATTTAATTTAATGAACATCAAACAAAAAACAGGGAATATTCCCATCGGAACATCAGTGTTGGCTCTATGCCCCCAAACAATGCAGCTTCATAAAAACTTGACAACGGCAAATATTCGACAAACATTTGATACGACAAAAGGACCATCATCAATTGTAGCAACGAATATGAATAAGAAATCTGATGAAAAGTGTTATTTATAAGGATCAAGAACAAATAACACAAAAAAAGTATATTTATAGACTAAGAATCAGGAAAGTAGCTAATTTTCTTATGTACGATGAATAACAATGAGGGAATATTAATAAATCTAACGAAGTATAAATAAATTTACTTTTCCCTTCCAACAATATTTATATTAAATGAGCAATATTTATAGTAAAAACTGTGACTCAAGCATTTCAAATTTACTGAATAGGAAAAGAGTCTCATTTTGGGAGAAAATTTTCACAGCCAGGGAGAAAAATAACTAAACTTAAGGATGGAAATGAAATAAGTCAAGCATATGCTAAAGCTCGTTTATGAAATGGTGAAGAAAAAAAATTTTTTAAAGCTCTCAACGAATACTTATTTCTACTAAATTTGATACGAATTAGATTTTTCAATTTCCATAAGATTTTTTTTTTTCATGGGGTAAAAAATTTATCAGAGTTTGAAAATGGAAATTTCGTCAGCATTTTTGATGTTTACATTGAGAATTAAGGCACAAGCTAGAAGAAAATAATATGCTTAGCATTTTTAGAAGAAATTACTCTGTTCCAGTTATAAAATCTCGAGAAATATCCGAAATTCCTTAAAATTTAATAAACATTTCTGTGAATTCTGTAATAAGATGTTCTGAGGAGTGAGCATTGCAATGACACGGACTCTTATTAAAGCTTTGTTCTTTATCAACGATAGAAAAAAAAGGTAGTAAGCCTCAAAGCTTCAGAAAATCAAGATTAATTTGAAGTGGTTTCTGTGCTTGAAGACTGAAAAAATAATCAACATAGCTAGGATGGGTGTAAGGAGGAGTGTTTTTAGAAGTGAGAAGAGGTTTGCCTGTTGTTATTGAAATGTTGTTCTGATCCACAAATATTCTTCTAGGGAGTCTTGAACCTATGATTAATATGAGTTTCCAGATATCAAATTTTTATTCTGTTGTAACTGAACTCCTTAAATTGAATCTGTGGACTAAGAATCTTATTGCATATTTTTGAATACTTTCCTGACAGCTTCTTATTAAAGTTATAAAACTTGAAACTCATATCAGATTTACAATTAAGAAAGGCGCAGCTTTAATACAGCAAGTTATAAAGCAAAACACATTATGTTACCAAAAAGGAACTGATCTTTGAACTCAATCCCAAAATGTTTAAATCAAAAATACAAACCTGCAAGATGCTGACAAAAAATCTATTTTTCTATCTCTGAAAATTTCTGTAACAATTTATATGTATCAAAAAAATGGTATAATTTCAAGTTTACTCCCAATTTACATACTGTATCATGTTTATTAAATTTAAATGAATATAATACCTCAAAATTGCTAATATATTGCTTTAAAAAATATCAAAAACAAGTAAGGAAGGGAAAATTTCATAAAATGATGAGAAAAGAAAAATCAAAAATAAAAGAAAAAGGAACGCATTTTTCATGATAATGATATCAATAAATTATGTTTCAAATTTCGAAATAAAATAATGTTGACAAATAAAAAAAAAGATGCTAGAATATCAAATTAGATAGAAGCCTAAGACGAATCTTAAAAACGTTCTGTTACTGCAAAAAAAAAGTTTAATATATTACGGCAGCTTTAAAACAAATTGATGAATAATTTTCAATCTTACGCATAAAGAGATATTCGGATGAGGAAATAAAGAGAAAGATTTTTATGATTTCATGGACCATTGATGAAAAAGAAGCGATATTGACCTATCGGGATATTTTCTTTTGATAAAACCTTTTTCCTCGGTAACTTTTTAACATTTCCTTCTTTTCTTTTATTTAGAAAATGAAAAAACCCTTGCTGTGTTGATAAAGAAATGGAACCCATAACTTCCTAGCTACATAGCTGAAGCTCATGAAACCCAATGAAATATCCAATTGAATGAAAAAAGCCTCATAATTAAAACTGATGATATATCAAACATAATATACCGACAATTTTGTGATAATGAAGCATATTCCACTGAAAAATGTGGTAAATATTCTACACCGTATCAAGAGAAACTACTTTTTAATCATAGATACACATAATTAACTCCATTTCATTTTAAGTGGATTTTCATTTTCTTTCCATTTCTCCGAACATTGTTCAATCTTGAATCGTACAATATTTTAGTCTTTATAGTGTTCTCTAAATAATATATTATAAGATAATCACCCAAGAACCGTAATGCTGAAGAATTAATTAATTTTCTTTCCAATCTTGAATGAGAAAAGCTTCAGTTGTTGTGTTCATAATGGGGCTTCTGAGGTTCTTGTTATTTGTTTCGATTTCGATTTATTAAGAAGAATAAGTTGAAAGAAGATTTAGGATCTCAGTTTTGAGATTTGTTTTGATTACATTTTTTGAAAAATATAACTAGATATGAAGTTTATAAGAAGAAAGAAGATTAAGTAAAGATTAACTTAGCACAAAGATTGCTATTAACATCATCTTAATTGGTTTTTGGTCTAAATCAATCAAAAATTCCAAAGATTTTCTAAAATGTTTGTGAAAAAGCGCGGGAAAATTCTAAAACAAAACTTATCAAGCTCAATAAATCGAATAAAATCCGAAAATAATTATCCAGAAGCCCTAGTTTTCAGTGTTCAGCCCAAATCGAATAATTTTCTAAAACTTATCTGAATTTCAAATCAATTCCAAAACGTCCATTCAAATGAAATACACCACAAACAAAAACCGTACGTAACATATGTATGCAAAAAAAAACATAGATAAGTGAACATATCAAAATAGATTATGAATAATTTTCGAGAACATGAAACAAAGCATGAGTTTATTCTTCTCTTAACAAACTTTATTTTATTTACTCTTACAAAATATTCAACATACTACTTTCGATTCTATTTTCTGTCATGAAAAATTTACAGACTATTGATTGACATTCAAAATAATAATAAAAAAAAATCTTTTTTCGAGTTTCTATTTGCTTATACCAATTTTATATGATAAATATTTTTCATACATATCTCAATTCTAAAATATGATAAATGACTTAGAAGTGAACTTTTTTTTTCTTTTCATTTTTGAAGATAATTTTTTTTTGTTAATTTTTCTATATCATCTAAAAACACGCGTCATCGACACATAACATAAAGTTTTTCGGTGCTTTTACGCATTATATTGAAGTCAGAGTTGTGTCTTGAGACAATTCTAAGGTCTGAGGATAAAAAATGGACGTTCGTTGACTAAATAAGAGCTGTTTAGTTAAAAATCAGCTGACAAGTTTGTATATCCAAAAGTTTGCACTATTCTTAGTGTGTAATAAGGCTAAACTTACTTCACTAGGCTTAACCTAGTTGTGTAGTCACTTTAGGCTACACTTTTAGAATAGTACATATCTTAGGGTGTACTCAGCAGTCAGTCCAAAATTTTGCTGTTTTTTCCGATATTTTTTCTAGTGCTGGGAAGCTGTTTTTGCTCTAAAACTAATGAATTTACTTAGCACCAGAGCTGGAAGTTGATATGAGCCAATTCTTTATTTCGACTTCGAGCTTTAGTTAACATAGACTTCTCAGCTCTGAAAAATCCCATTGATTCTTCAATAATTTCCCCAAGTATCCAAATTTTACTTCAAAACCATACAACCATTGACCCTACCATATCTATCTATCCTTATATCGAATTTCATCGAGCTAGAATTTTTCTCTAGTCTCAATCAATAATAAAACCCAACAACTCTGTTATACACAAAAAGTAAAGATGATGAAGAAGAAGTTAAAATGTATAAATTATACAGTCATGAAAAGATCTCTGCAGAAAAATGATAAATTAGAAGCTATTTGGGAGTTTATGTAAGGGAAATGTATATTTTACATGTAATTATAATTAAATTAAATAAATAAATAATGTTTATAAAAATAATGATAAAGCATTAACAAACAAACAGTCCAATAATTTGCGTAAATCATCAATAAAAAAAATAATTTAATATCAATAGAAATTGACTTTTTACTTACTATAATAATAATTATGAATAGATTTTATGCTATTTATATTTTTTTACTACCTAAGTATATCACCCAGGGCGAAATGAGCAAGAATTTCATAGGCAATAATTATTACCCGCATCATTAAGTATATTTTTTACAACCATTCGTTGATTTCACTAATTTTAACTAAACATACCGGACTTATTTGCAATAAGAACTACACATATACACTGAATTTCAATTAAATGCTTTTGAGTATTGCTTGACATTTTTTTTTTGTTTTGTTGTCGCTTAGTAAACGTTCCTCTCTTATCACATTTTGACGGCAATCATCTCTCAACAGTCTTACTATGTACATGGTAGTTGTCTGTATCTTAAACATGCACCGATATTATCCTCTGGGCTTCCCTTATTCCCCCTTCCATCACCGAAATGAATTCCCACATGAAACGGCGTTACTGATGTTTCCACTCGACATGATGATGCGCCATTGTAACAAAGAGAATTTCCACAATGTACAGGTACACATGATGGTACATTTCCCATACCGGCTGCGATAAAATCTTCCATAATACATGGCATTGTTATTCGATCCAAGCATGTTGAATAGATTTGTCTTGATTTTCGTCCCGTAAAGGATCTGAAGAATGACGGGAACTGGAATGATGGAAAGAATGATGGAAATCCACCACCATCTGCACCTCCTGACCCTTCTTCGTCAGCAGCTGGTTCATCATCTTGAGCAGGTTCATCCTCAGCAGGAGTATCTTCAGCTGGCGTGTCTTCTGCTGGAGTATCTTCAGCTGGTGTCTCGTCATTGGCTACTGGATCTTCACCAGCTGTGCCATCTTCTCCTTCAGCTACACCCTCGCCATCCATAACTTCATCCATAGCAACCATATCGTCAGCTACAACCATTTCATCCATTGCAGGATTAACAGGTTGATCACCAAGAACGCCGGGATCTATTAAAACCAAAAATGTTGGTCATAAACTTAGGACTATAAAATGTATACATTTACCATTCATATTAGTTGGATTTGAAAGCGGCCCCATTCCATTCATCCCCATTTGAGGACCGATTCCAAATGAATTATCATCACATGGCTCATACTGAATGCTACACATTCTCATCTCCTGTCTTATACACGACCGATAATTTTGATTTGCTAAATGTCTTCCATTCTCAGCGAAATTGAATGTCTGTATTATACCTAAAATTTAATTGACATGTCAAATCAGAATTTACATATAACATTTTAATATAAATGTTGTTTACCTTCTGTGCCTGTAAAATACTAATGAAGAATCCCTTAAAATGAATAATCATAATAAAATGAAGCCAAAAATGTAAATGTTACCTGTAAACAACCTGTTGGGGAGCGAGAACTGAATGGTATTTGAGTTACACGAATTTCCCACATCCGTGGTGATATTGATCTTCTGTTAAGTGTGATGTTTATTTTTAATTCCGGTGGTACTTGTCCCATACCCATAAATTGTCTTCCTTGTTGCTTCGGAATCATGTCATAAAATACTTTTGATAGATGTAAATAAATTTGCTTTTATTACTTTTTTGTATTACAGTGTTTATCAAATCAAATAACTCACTATGCTGACCGCTATTGTATCCACACAATCTAAACGGACTCGAGCCACCCTCAAGTGAAAATATGTCACTCTCGCAAATGCCAGTCCTTCGATTTGGTTGACTCTATATTTGTATTTATATTGTTTAATCAAATGAATTAATTAAGACTATCGATAAATGTATCAAGTACACAATGTATAACATACCAAACTAAAGTGAATGAAATCAAGCCTGATTTGACTAATTTCGTCGCTCATTGGCTTTATTTTAAGTGAACAATAATCTCGATCTCCTGGCATTAGTGCTGGAAACTTTGGTGATGTAAAGTATGTAACATTATTTGAAATTTCTCCGTCACATGTGGTCTCGACTAAATATAAATGGAATAAATTAAATGCTAATGAAATTCACAAAAAATACTTTTAATCTACATTAATGATAAAAGAAGGAAAAGGTACAAGAACAAGTTGAAAAGTAAAATTGGGTGCATGATTGTGAGCAGGTAAAAAATATGTTTTGCTTTTAATTTAAGAGAATTTTATAGCTTAGCTCTGTTTTTAAAATCACCAATCTATAGCTAAAAGCTGGTCATAGTAGCTAAAACCTAATCATAGTTGCTAATAGCTACTAGCTATGCGAAGCTACTAGCTATGCGAAGCTAGTAATAAGGAGCTAGTAAATAGCAGCTAATAACAAGTAGCTAGTTTTTTGAAGCTAGTACTAGCTTAGACTTTGATAACCATCTTTAAAAGTACACAAACTTCATGTTAGATCCAAACTAGGCTCTCAGTCTTTAAAAGTACAAAAGTAGTAAACAAGATATATAGATGGGCTCATACAGAGTATACTTGACCATACTCGACCATACTATTTTTTGTGTACTTATACAAACAAAAATTTTTAAAATTTTCTATTTTCAAGTTTTCATTTAAATATCGACAGATGCAACAACATTTGTCTTAAGTCAGTTTCTTTAAATTATAGCAAAGCATTTGCAATACTCCTGTATCAACAAAACTTAACAGAAAGTTGAAAATTTTGCAAAACAAAAATTGAAAATTTTCTTTTATAGTGTTAGTGTTTTTAGAAAATTCAAATTTTTGACGTTTTAAAACTGCGATATTTTTGTATGAGCACATCTATATATCTTGGTAGTAAAGAAAGTGATCGACAGCACCAAGTATAAAAAAAAGTACACCTTTAAAGAATATCAAGTCGAAAAAAAACAACTTACAGATACAGCAAGCCCCGAAGCCAAGAGCACAATCTCCACGTGAAACTCCACCTGCGAAGGAGGAAGTATGGAAAAAGTTATATTATTGACCGACATAGATTAAGAATTTCTAATCACCATACCTTGTAAACGACATTCATAAACGTTCATGCACACTCCAGTTCTTCTTCCATCGTCTGACAAACATTCATCATCAACAGAGAACGGTGAGAAAAAGTTTATCACTGCAGAGTAAATGACACAGAATTATTTTTTATTATTGTTGTTGTTGCTTCAAACTTTTTCTTTTTATCGCAAAATTGCTTGCTGTAATACACATGCACACCTTTCGATTTTCTTTTACTCTTCCCTAAATGTAAGTTTGATTTAAAATCAATATTCGATTGTAAGGTATTTTGAGAGTTTCCATTAACAGTATCGATTGTATTATTTCCACTGCTACTGCTGCTCCAGATATCATAATTTTTCATGTAAGGCCACGATTTTGGTGCATTTGAGATAAAGTTTATTGAGACGTGTAGGAACACCCATGAAAATAATAGCTTCTTCATTTTATTTTATGTCTTGTTTCTATTCGCACTATGACACTTGATATTTAATAAATGAATATTTTTCACTGTCTATAGCTCGATACATTCAAAAATGTATTTACATTTAGCACCTTCTTGGTTTATAGTTTCACAACTAATCATATCTTTATGTCCGTGTGACGGCACAAACACAATTTTAGCACTTCTTATTTTTCTTTTTAAATTGAATAAATTAACTTTTTCCTTTAAATATGATGAATATTGACACACTTTGCATCTTATGTCTCATTATAGTACTTATCCATGACATATTTCATTTAATCACCGAGAGAGGATGTGTCTTTAGTCTCTAATTCACCTCACTTATTAATTTACATCTCATTCTTTTAACACTCGGGAGATTCAGTTACCTTTTTACGTACCTAAATGTGAGAAAATTGTAAATATTTGATATAAGAAAATTACCGGAATTAATTATAATTAAATTTAATTTGAATTCAGTGGAAAAGTCTTTACTAGAGCTTGCTGATCTCGTCTTTCAAACATGAATAGCTATTTTACTACGGTATCCAACTTTTACATTTTCTGATTATCTTTTATTTTTCTTATTTCTTTCTTTTAGTTTCTTGACCATTTGCATTCATTTTTGTATATAATATAAATATTTTTTTATGAGTTTCCTAAACATGCCAATTAAGGTTAATCTGGGCGTTTATATAAGCTTAAAGTAAGTGAGTCAATAGAGATAAGAATGTCAAGACGTGCAAAATATCTCGAAATCGTTTAAAATTATTTTTACATGCTTTCATTGCCATTAGAATGTCTCGTAATAGATTTAAAGCCTTTATCGCAGGGCATTTTTTGTCTGTCAGATACACAGTGCAGGCCCGATTGACACACATTTAAATATTGTCTGCTTATAGGTTCTACTCATAGCAACGAATTGGCAAAATAATTCAGCCTTTTCCCAACTACGTGATGTCCCTTATCATCTCATCAATTTTTTTTGGCGCCAAAACTGCACGTGCCGCTCGGAAATCTAATAAATTATTCAAGCATGACGAATCCGAAGAAATTGGATCATTTGTGTAAGTGATTAAAATCCCCTCATTTTATCTGCTAATGAAGAAAGTTTTGAAGGCACGCCATGTATCCTAGCAATAAATTTTTACTGCAGCTGATTTGTTTATTTTTTTGTTTCTTTGTCTTGAGTCGGCTCTACGAGCGGCACAGATTCGCTGCATACTTCTTCGTTACAAAATCGTGAAAAAAAATTGCTGTGTTTGCTCATCGTGGGTGCTTTTTATTAAGTTTTTGTGGATAATCCCTTACATTATGCTACAATCAGCTGATTATATGCTCACGATCGTATGGGATTAGAGGTTTCTTTTGTAATGAAAGAGAAAAGAACCATTGATTTTGAGTATATTGGCATGTATCATCGCCCACATGTAGTGCTGTGGTTAGACAATTGTGGAAATGTTGCAATTTCCGGTCTGTATATTTGGGGTTGGTTAACTTTATGTGCTGTAGGATGATTGGTTGACTATGAGCGCTTCTCAGGATGGCTTCAAGCCATTGATGTGCAACATGAGTTGATTCTGTTATTTCTCAAAAATTAAGGATAACATTTAGGCCAAGAACTTTTGAGGGAGGCTGTGACAATCATTGACATCATTAATAAACAATTCCAAAGCATTAGCACCCTCCTATTAGCTCAATTGGCCACCTGAAAGTGTCACATCGCACATTAAAGGTTGACCACAACTGCAATTTCCCACGAATTGAATTATTACTTCCATTTTTCAGTACTTCCGAAAGAAGTCCGGGAATTGTGAAAATTTAATAAATTTCATGCAAGCACAACATGTGAATTAATCTTCTTAATGCATCTCATAGCATACAAATTGAGTTGTCTAGTCGAATTTAATATAAATGATTCAAAAGCTTTAATATTCAGCTGATGCAAGCGCAAAAGCCCTTAAGCCCTCGTTATTCATTAACACAATTAATCCCCAATCAATTCTTCAAACCTCAAAATAGTGGGAACTCTTTAGACTTGTCTTAAACCGTCACGGTAATTAAGCGACTGTGGTTATTCACCGAAATATTTATGGAAAGATGTCCCACATCAACAGCAATTTCGCTTAGATATTTTTAACAGTTTCAGCCTGAATCATCAATAAATTTAAATTAACTTTTATATTTTGAAGAAATTTCATCTGAAATATTTTTTATCGTTTTGCCAGCATCAGATGGATTTATATTGGTAGTCATGAAAGAATCTACATAAAATTTCGCATGCTTGGAATTTAATCTGCCGAATATGGAAATTTTTATGACTAAGTCGCTTTTCCCTGTTTCTCAATTTTTTTACTTTTTATTGTGATACTTCTTCACTATAACTTTCCTATAAACAAAGATGAAAGTTAACAGAATAATAAATGTGTGATACTTAAAACAGCACATATCATATCTCGCGAAAAGAAAATATAAATAGATATCATCTAGGCGCTCCCATCATACGATCCAATAACCCCAAACCGGCTAGCAAAAATAATACCAATCAGAAATATGTGTCAATGGAATTTTGTATGATAAAAATTGAAACTTTATTATGATCTGAAGTGATTTCTTTATCATGCAAAAAATTTATTGGTGTTGTTGTTGTTGTTGTTGTTACGACGATTATATCTTGATCGACGAAAAAAATATTTTTTTTATTTATTTATCTTTGTTGTGATACTTAATAAATACTTTATAAACAAGATTTAAAATTCTTCAACAAATTTTTTAACCAAAAGAATTTTTTCTGCTGCTATTCCGTTCAGTTTGGGTGATTCTTTGGTAAATGACCCAAGTTTAACTTGCGAATTAGAGCATATCATGTGCTTTAACTAAGAATTGTTGTGTTAAGTTATTACACTTATGAATTATTTAATTATAGTGAAATTTGTGATAAATTTCATTTTTTATTGCTATGTAAATTAAGGTTGACTAGCGAAATTTTCCATTTTTTCAAATATCCGTTAAATATTCAAATTTATAGAAATTTCAAATTTATTTCAAATGAAAAAGATCGTTTAATTTTTAATTCTTTTGAAAACTATCGAATTTTAATTTAAAAGGTTCAAATTCAAAAAACAGTATAATTTCATTTTTTTTTTTAAAATACTAATGTTTGAATTTTTAAAAGTCAGTTAAATCTTCAAATTTAAAAAGTTCGTTAAACATTCAAATCAAAAAAACTCGTTGAGATTTCAAATTACTCCAATTTATTTTAATTTACCTAATTTTTAAATTCGAAACAACCCTTAAATTTCCAAATGTCAAAAAGCCGTTATATTTTAAAAAATTTCAATTCTTTCAAAAAACATTCAAATCAAAAAAACTCGTTGAGATTTCAAATTACTCCAAGTTATTTTAATTTACGAACTTTTTAAATTCCAAAAACAACCGTTAAATTTCCAAATGTCAAACAGCCGTCATATTTTAAAAAATTTCAATTCTTTCAAAAAACATTCAAATCAAAAAAAAACTCGTTGAGATTTCAAATTACTCCAAGTTATTTTAATTTACGAACTTTTTAAATTCCAAAAACAACCGTTAAATTTCCAAATGTCAAAAAGCCGTTATATTTTAAAAAATTTCAATTCTTTCAAAAAACATTCAAATCAAAAAAAAACTCGTTGAGATTTCAAATTACTCCAAGTTATTTTAATTTACGAACTTTTTAAATTCCAAAAACAACCGTTAAATTTCCAAATGTCAAAAAGCCGTTATATTTTAAAAAATTTCAATTCTTTCAAAAAACATTCAAATCAAAAAAAAACTCGTTGAGATTTCAAATTACTCCAAGTTATTTTATTTACGAACTTTTTAAATTCCAAAAACAACCGTTAAATTTCCAAATGTCAAAAAGCCGTTATATTTTAAAAAATTTCAATTCTTTCAAAAAACATTCAAATCAAAAAAAAACTCGTTGAGATTTCAAATTACTCCAAGTTATTTTAATTTACGAACTTTTTAAATTCCAAAAACAACCGTTAAATTTCCAAATGTCAAAAAGCCGTTATATTTTAAAAAATTTCAATTCTTTCAAAAACATTCAAATGCGTTTCAAATCATCGAAAAAAATAAAAAACAAATTTTTAAGAGTTTCCATGCATACATAAAATGTTTTTCGCAGCTTTCTTCTGTAAAAATATTATTTCAGAAATATTTTCAGATCTCATTCAATCGGAATCTCACGTGATACGAATAAATAATAATTTTCAGCTGTGAGATGCTGACTTACTTATGTATTACGATACAGATATCTCAAAAGCGTGGTTCGAATGCTTAACGCTATCATAAAATGCAATGTCGTTGTTGTTGCTGTTGCTGCTATGACGTATGCCGCACTCAATTATTACACTTTGTTAGCGGCTTTATAAAATTTTTATCCGATTCAACTCACAAATTGAGTGTGAATTAAAAATTCATTTAAGAACTGTTAACAGTAATTTATAAATTTTATCGTATGCACGAACAATTTTCGCTTTCATAATCCAGCATCGTAATAATAATAATGGATGGAGGCAAGAAGAGTCTGAGTGATGAACATTATGGGAAAAACATACATATTTTCACTGACACTAAATTATTCGACTGACCGATTAAATATTTTTTTTCGGAACCTACTTTTCTGCTCGATTAATTCGCAACTGTCATGCATCATTGTAATTATTGCGTGCCGGTTTTTTTTTTCTTTCTTTCTTTCTTATGTTTGGCTACCACTTCCAGCCTCACTTGTTCATTGATGTAAATAAAAGTTTATTTTTTCACTCTCTTACAACTGCAGACAGAATGAGAGTCCAAAACAGAATTATTAATAACAAGCGATTGATATCATTGATCAATTTGTTGATGGCACAAAGAATCAAAGAAAATGTTACTTCACAACTCAGCAAGTGTTTTTTATTCTCTTGTAAAATTTGGAGCAGGGCTTGAGGCATGATGAAAAGTCGGAAGATTTTATCTTCACGTTATGAATTAATTTTGTTTTGATTGTGTCTTTTGTATTTGTTTGACATAAGTAGCGTCAAATCAATCCGTAATTTAACGGCTGAGTGAGTTTTGAATTTTATTTAAAATTTTATGAGCGCTTTCAATGATTTTATTTTGGGAAGTGGTTGTTCACTTATTACAATCAAGGAAAGATGTTGAATTTTAAATTTCGAAAGAGAAAATTTTAAATTTCAAAAATTAAATTCTTAAACTTTGAAAGTGAAATTTTTAAATTTCGAAAGTAAAATTTTGTAAATTTCGAAAGTGAAATTCTTAAATTTCAAAAGTGAAAATTTCAAACTTCGAAAGTGAAATTTTGTAAATTTCGAAATGAAATTCTTAAACTTCGAAAGTGAAAATTTTAAATTTCGAAAGTAAAATTTTGTAAATTTTGAAAGTGAAATTTTGTAAATTTCAAAAATGAAATTTTGTAAATTTCAAAATGAAATTCTTAAACTTCGAAAGTGAAATTTTTAAAATTCGAAAGTGAAATTTTGTAAATTTCAAAATGAAATTCTTAAATTTCGAAAGTGAAATTTTTAAATTTCGAAAGTAAAATTTTATAAATTTCGAAAGAGAAAGTCTTAAATTTCGAAAGTGAAAATTTCAAACTTCGAAAGTAAAATTTTTAAATTTCGGAAGTGAAATTTTGTAAATTTCAAAAATGAAATTCTTAAACTTCGAAAGTGAAATTTTTAAATATCGAAAGTAAAATTTTTTAAATTTCGAAATTGAAATTCTTAAATTTCGAAAGTGAAAATTCCAAACTTCGAATTTTAAAATTTTTTAAATGTTTGAAAGTGAATTTCTTAATTTTATGTGAACATTTTCTGAATAACATTTAATTTCTTACACCAGAACATTGAACTTTAAAATAAATTAATATATTCCAAGAATTAAAAGATCTGCAATTTAAATTAAAATTATTAACTTTCAATAATTATCTCCCAAAAGCCTTTAGGTCAACAAAAAGAAAATAACCTCAAAAAAGTTTTGAAGATAATTGAAACAAGATTAAATAATTATTATGAAAATTTATTTTTTCCTAATTTATTCGGAAGAAATTTAAGAAAAATAAACAGCTTGAGTACATCAGTGCTGTTACTCCCGATTATTGTTATGGCAAGAGTCATTGAGCAAATTTTAAAGATACAGTTTAAGATTGTCGAATGCTTCAAAGCTCAAAAATGTAGGAGTATGATAGAACCATAAATAAATCCAGATCACCACGTCCCATCACTAACATTCCCTCCACATTCATCGGAACTGAATAATTTCAAGAAATTCTGTTATGTTTTATTGTTGTCACTTAATTTAATTTCATCATATTCCCATTTTCTTCTTGAATCTACTATTCAAGTCATTAAGAAGAAGTTTCGTGCACTTTTTTTTTGCATGCAACAATTTTAATTTCAAGTTTCCATTGGAACGACATCGTCATCTAAGACATTCTCTCTACAATATTAAATTGTTAGCTATGCTTTTCATTTTCATTTCACTTTCTGCTTCTAGTATATAAGCTAATTTACTTTTTTTCTTCTTCTTTCCGTCTTTATTTCTTGCTTCCTCTCTGGTACGATTTTCTAGTGTCTTTATTGAAGCTCATCGCTTATTCTACTTTTTAATTTCTTTGTACATTTCATTATTGATTATCATGTTTCCAATGACTCTCACTGTTATTACTTATTAATAAAATTTTATTGGTTATTTCGCCCCACCTCTATCCAACTGAATTAGCATCATTATCATCGATATGCAATAAGAAATTTCTTGAGCGAGAGAAAGATTCGGGTGAATAATGTTGTAAAATCTTGGCATCATTCATGCAATATTGTATTCAATTTACGAAATTCAAAAGTGTTAAAGAGCTATATTAAGGGTACTTGACTCTTACAGTGCATTTTTTGCCGGCTTTTTTTAGGTTAAATGTTTTGGTTTTTGTGAATCCCAGTATGATTAATTTGCAAGTCATTGTCACACTGACAACATACTTTGGACAAGTATGAAACGAACCCACTTCCTTATAACTTGATTTCTGGTATTTTGACTAGCTAAATTTATCTTAGTCTTGACACTCCCTTACATATAGCTTGACTCTATTAAGCTCTAATGCCATTCCAAAAATTCAAGATTTCGCTACAACATCTGTGTCAAGTCATTGTTATGCAGATTCTATTGATAAATAACATCAATAACTTTATTTTATCCAACAATTTACAAGTTTCTAATTGAAAACTTCAATTTTCATCACAAATATTTTTATTTCCAAATTTCATGTGTAAATTATTTATCTTGTCATCTGTCAATCATGGTTAATTGACCAAAGGTATTTACTGAAGGCAAGCAACTGATGGGAAATAAATTATTTCATCTTCAAAAATTCAATTAAATTTACAGAAAATTTCTAGTGGTCAAAAACTTCAGCTGTAAATCACAACGCGCAACGAAACCAAAACAATGTTGAACATTTGAATCTATTGTTTATCTAGAGTTTGTTTAATAATAAAGCTGGAGAAATTGTGGAATTTGAGAATGAAGTTTTTTTTTGTCAATATTGCTGCTTTAGACTTTTTTAACGGTTTTTCTTAGATTTAAATTTTCAACGTCTTTCAAAAATTTAAAATTTTGAACTTTGAATTGACCAAAATTATTTTAGAAATTATTATTTAACGACTTTTTTCGCACAACTTCCAACCAATTCAAAATTAAATTTTAAACGATCGATTTTATCATTAATCTGGCCATAAAACAGTCTTAAAATAATCTCACATGAGAAAATCCCCTTTAATTAAGCAATTGAATAGTGAGCAAATGGCTTTGCGTGTAGTGTCCAAAAAACATTATTATTTTTTTTGCGACAACATTTAATGCTACAAACGATCTACTTTTCGAGATACAGCAAAGACAATGTACCACCCAGCCAGCCAAAAACGAACCAAAATTAGCATAAACTTAGTTGAAAAAAAGACAGCAAGTGAAGAATGTATGACAAGGAATGCAATAAATTACACACATTTTTTTCGCAAGATATTGATTTTCATTCCGGGAGTTTTTTTATGATCTTATATATTATTAGCCTAAAACTTTTTGGTTTACAATTTATCAGCGATACACATGCTACCACCACTACATGCTATCGTGAAAAATAGGCCAAAAGAAAATTTAATAAAAATAACATTTTTTAATTGCTTACATAAAATATTCTGAGCAAGTAGTTGTGCTATTTATACTACAAACTACTCGAACCGAAACTTAAGCTTTATCTGATAATTTTACTATTTTTTTGGCACTGAAATTTTTCCTTCTTATTCTTAATTCATCAATAATCTTGTGCTTCTAACTGAGCCTCACTCGACAATTGGCTCTTGAAATCAAAATATTGACTCTATTCACACATTTCTTTATTTTATTTTTTTTTTTATATATTTTTTATGAGTACTTTTTGCTGTTACATTAACAATTAACCGATCTTTTATTTTTAATGCAGAGCGTGCTTCACGTTGAACGATCGAAAGAAAACTAAAAGAAGAAATATTGAATGAAAGAATTTTCAAGTCAAAGAGAAGAGAAAAAAAAAATGTTAATGTCGAATGCTTGGCATGTTAATGTTATTAATAAAAGAAATATTGTGGAGACATTTTAAAGCCTTTTTTTTTTCTTTATCTTTATCAAAAATTAATCATCATCTTTTATTCATCGTGATATACCGGGAGAAATTTTTATTTTCAATCAGGATTATTGGTTTGATTGCAAAATTGTGTTAAATTTTATTGTGTCAAGTTTAAAGAAATTTGAAACCGTATTCTAAGATTTGAATGTTTACCGGTTTTCTGATTTTTGAATTTTACGTTTGCAGCGAATTAAGATTTTGAATTCGCTCATCAATAAATTCAAAATTAACATCGTCGTTACAAAATCAACTTCAAAATCCAATTGAAAAATATTTTAGCGAATTTTTTCAAATTCAATTACCCTGTTTTTTCGTTATAAGCTACTACTCGTTACTAAGCTACTAGCTTAGTAAAGTTTTTTCGAACTTGAACATTTTTTGTAATCTTTACTAAGCTACTACTAAAAATATAGTTTAATTAATCTTTTTCAACTTTTTAAGTATCAGTCTTATGACATTGTCAATGAAATAAAATCGAGAAGATAGCAAAATGTCTTTAATTAAGTTAAAAAATTCAAAATTTTCATTGAAGTTCAATTTCTTTACTAAGCTACTACTCGTTACTAAGCTACTAGGGATCCAAAAAAATCACTTTTTTTTTCTTCTAAGCTACTAGCTTATAACGAAAAAACAGGGTAGTTTAATTAAACTCAAAATGGAACAAAAATAGTCGCTCAAACTACTTTTAATTCATAAATTATGTTATAAAAACTCAATAAGCTTACAAATTTGTAAAAATGTTACGTCGTGGGAGGAAGAATAGCTTTATAACAATCAAAATGATAAGTTGAAAGTACCGATTTTTAAAAATTTAAATGTTTTCAATATGAGCAACTCACTGAAGTTGACTGCAATTATCATTTCTTGAAGAAAAAGAGGGCTTTTCGTCCGTTTTGTCAGTTTAGTGAATTTTGTAGATAGTCAATGACTTTGGTGAGTATCTACAGACATATTTGTGATGATCAAGAGTAGTGGAAGTGCTTAAAATAAATAAATATAATTTCTACTGGATGTTTCGTAAACATTTATCAACATCCAGCTGATCATTGCGCTTTAAGCAGCAGTAAATGACAATTCTGTACTTGCTAAAGTAGAAAAATAGTCGCAGAAAAAATATAAAATTAGAATTTATATTAAATACATAAAGCCAGGGTCTATTAAAAAGTTATTTTGTGTTAATTAAGACAGTCTAAAGCTGTAAAGAATGATAGAAGCATCGATAATGGTAAGTACGCTGGCCAATTAAGGAAGTGTGTAATATTTTTCTTCTTTCATTGTTGTTCTTCATAATTATCATATAATTTTTATATTTTTTTCCACTTCTTGACATCGTTTCTCGCTAAACTGTTCATTATCTTTGCGAGATAAAGCATTGATCTTTTTAATTTCCGGTCAAATCAATTAATAGAACTATATTTCACATTACAGACGTTCTGAAAATTTGTATTAAGCGAAGATTAATACGTAATTAGAGAAATAGACATAGACACACAAAAAAGATGAGATTGGAATTAATGATGGGCTGCAATGATGTAGACGATGATAATAAATATTCAGTATGTAACGGACGAGGCGAGTGCACTGGACCAAATGAGACGTGTATATGTGAAATTAAGTTTACGGGCGAAAATTGTTCAAAATATAACAGCACTTATCTCGTATCGATTTCATCTGTTTTCTATGTCGTCGCGTTCATCTCCTTGATTCAACTTTTGATATGCTGCTTTGCTGAATATAAACGACTTAAACAACCTTCCTTCTTTAAAGCATTTCGAATTACCACACAGAAGTTTCTGTATTTTGTTGTATTTATTGCTGCTTTATTACGTGCTACCTACTTCTCTAATCCCGAAGTACAACCATCATGGTCCTATTATTTAATGTCTGCATACTATCCATTATTAATGACATGTGCATCACTTATCGTTTGCTTTTGGGCTGAGGTGAGTGTTCAGACTGACTTGCTGCATAAATCTCAATAACAATCGTTGCCATTTAAAAGAAGCTGAATTAATTTAAATAATAATTATTTAATCCACAGACCTTTCATCTTCGTGACATTCGATACGAAAGGCAGTTCCTGAGTAAAAGTCTTTTGGGTTTCCTTGCATTTAATCTGCTTCCATACAGTTTTTTCGGTGCTGAGGTAAACATTTGGCAATATTAATTAAGCTATGCGTTAATACCACTAATCCTTCACTTTTTGTCTGATTCCTTATCTTGATAGATTTTATCAGCAAATTTATTCACTGATAAAAATTTATTACACAGCATCTTTAATGGCGGTTATGCAGTTCTTCTGCTTATCGTTGTCGTCTTTTTCCTAATTTATGGCGTTGAAGTCTTCTTTAAAATTCGTGGTGGTTTTGTGTACGACGCAGTTCCATCTGGTGAAGAAAATTTTAATGTTAATACCTCACAAGTCCATCAATCAAGAATTGGACTGTTATCGCAAGCGATGATGCTCATGGTTATTGTTGGCTTCCTCACATCCGAAATGCTAGGTGATTTTTGGAAACAAAAAGTTCCAGTCAATTCAAGAAACTGGTATGATATCATCTTTCGTATGGTCGAAGTTGGTAAGCATTTGAACTTTAAGCTTTTAAAATAATAAAAATCCATTTTTAATGACGTAAATCTTTTGAAGGTGTTGTAATATGGTTTCTTGCTTGTCTATGGAACTCATTCTCACCTGAAAGTTTATGGATTTTAAATCCAAGACGACTCCTTACACGCCAAATTGATCCAGTTGCAAGTGCCAGCACATCAAAGTCTTCCGCTGAAGAAAATGAAGCTCTTCTCGTTTGTTGGGTGTGTTATGATCAAGATAAAAAGGAACCGCTCATTCAGCCATGTCGCTGTACTGGTGATCTTAGATCAGTTCATCACGAATGGTAATTTTACGGTCAGTGATCTGAATAATTGTGTGCTAAATAAGTTGTTTTTCTCTCTTGCTCGTCCGTATGTGTGTGTTGCTGTTCAGTTTGAGGAGGTGGCTTGTGGAAAGTTTTAAAGATCAGGAAACATCGGATTTAAAGTGTCGAGTTTGTGGAACTCCATATGAGATAAGAAGGACCAGCAAGTGAGTAGTTTTGATTCTAAACGGTTGCGAAAAAATCCAAAAATTTTTAAAGCTATTTTGGATGACGTGAAATTGACTTTAATTTGTTAAATTCAAAATTTAAAGGCTATTTCTCGTTTTAGACTTTATTGGGAACGAGGCTTCGATATCCAACACTGGACAAAGACGATAATATTAGTTAGTTTAATGTGCATCACCGGTGTATTAGCATGGATAATAATATCGTTAAATGTTGATCCAATTGTGCGCGTATTAACGGCTGGATTTGCAATTATCATAGGCTACGTGTGTGTTAAGATGCTTGGCGAGAATACAGTCACAGCTTATCAACGTGCTAAAGTCAGTTCAATAGATATCGTTTCAAACGATTTAAGAATATCGAGGAATTTAGTTCAGGCAAGCGTCAACAGTATATCAGAAGATATTGAAATAGATCGACACTAGAAACCTTATAAGTTAAAGTAATGTGATTTAATTGAGTATAAATCAAGCAAAACAAAAGATTTACGCGACACAAAAAGAGAAGAAAAAAAAAACAATATTAATTAAGTTGATAAGCACTTATCCAATCAGACAAATGCTTCAAACGTGAAAGTCAGTTTTGGTCAATTGTTTTAAAAAACAAACAAACAAAATAGAAATCATTAATATTACTAGAATATGGATTTATACATCATTTATTGTGTAAATATGTGTTGCAGACGAAAAAATTTTGTGACACAAAAATACCTTTTTTTCATTCTTTTGATATTTTTTATCGTACAATAGACTTTTGTCATAACAATTATTGTTTATCTGTGTGTTAAATTGTAAGATGATGTTTGATAAACATCGACGTTTTTTTCTAAATTATTATTATTATAAATAATTTTATCAATTATGAGAACGACCGAGGAAAGGTGGGAAGATCTTTATTGGATGAACTGTTTATGTAGATTGCATTAAAGTTTAATGCCATTCACATTTTGCATATTATCATTTTTTTGTCCAGCGGTTTTTTTAAATTCAAATTTTATGTTCAAAATAACGGTTTTTGTGAATTCAAATTCTAAGTTCAAAATAATGGTTCTTAAGAATTTAAATTTTATGATTATAACAACGGTTAAAGTTATAACTAATGAATGAACTTTAGGCATGGAAATTAATAATTCCGATAAAAATCTTCCCGCCTTGAAAAATCTATAATTAGTATTTATATATAAGCTCAATTAACGTAACATATAAAAAACTATAAAAGAAATTGAAAAAATAGCTCTGACATAAATTAATAATGATTCAAAAAATTAATAATAATGACCAATGTGTACATGATGAGTTCAAATGAATGCAAAAAGAGTTTCAAGTATGATTAGTTTCCATTGACAGACAAAATTTGTGACTCATAAGCCAACATTAACATTTTAATATCTAAGATAATAATTTAATTAAATTATTTTGCACTTCTTTATCTCGTTCAGCTTGAAATAGATTCTTCAGATGGCAACAATTTTTTTCTTCTATTGTTCACACAATTTTGTCATTAATTTATTTATTTTTTTGTGAAAAATTAATTAATTTATTGTAATTCATGCAATGATCTCATGCAAATAGTATATTGATGTCTGCTTTAATGGAAACTAAGTGATAAAAATTATTAATTGGAATTTTTAATGAAGTTGTATCGAATTTCGTTGAGATACATGATTGTAGATTCTGATGCTAGTTCATGTGTATTAAGGTATTTTAAAGATCTAGTAGAATCTTGTAAAATACCCCAGAAAACACTATTTTAAGTGCATAATGTATAAAGTACTCTTGAGTGCCAAAAGCTCTTTACATTTATATCACATGGACAGAAAGTGATCAGACTACAAGTATCAAGCATTAGGCATCAACAGGTTTAACAATGTTGCAAAGACGCAATAGCAAATCAAGTACAAGTTGTATGAACTCACATGTGCGCAAAATTGCGAGAAGTAATAATTACCAAACGAATGAATGCAGTTAATTATAATTTTTGATTGATTTTTTTGGGGGATTCTATTTAATTACTTAATTTCTGTAAAAGATTTTCTTGTACCTGGTTTTGAAAAGAAATTTATCTGTCTTGTGTTAATTATATATATTTTTTTAATGAATGGCTGGAACAAGTAGATTCTATTGCATAGAAAGTTTAAAGCAAATTACTGAGATTATTAAATTGTAAAGCATGTAATAGAGGAACAAGATACATACAAGAATAGAAAGTTTTAATCGTAGATTAACTTCAGTGATGAGGGAAACATTTCGCTCGAATTTGCACATTTTTTTGGAAATTATGGAAGCAAAAACAAAATTGACTATTTTTATTTAAAAAAACGAAGAAAAATTTATTTTATTTATCTGCAAAAAAGAATAAGAAATTGGCGGGATCGAACACCAAATTATAAATTTGATGATAAATTATGGAAAAATGAATAAAGATTAATTTTAAAAAGTATGCGAATGTACTGTTGTGTGGATGTTGAAACGCTATTGAATCATTCTGTGTGAAGTATATACTTTAATTGTTCCTTCATATTAGGCAGGATAAATAGAAGAAGACCCTTGTGTTCCACATCTACTTTACCTCAATTTTAGTGGGATCTATTTTAACCTTTAAGGCATAATTTTAATCATCATTAATTTTAATCAATTCATTTTAATTTTATTTTAGAAAATTGACGAGAAAAGTGTCCATCGTTGTTTTAGCTCTAGAGTCAAGAGTACACATATCTACAAGTCTTTTTTAAGATTAATATCTAGTGATGAGGATTAGGAAGGTTTAAAGTTAAATAAAAATTTACAGTGATTTACTTGAATCTTTATAACGATTTAGATTTTAGTTGCAAAACTTTCAAATGCTATTAAGAATTGTTGGCACCTTCTGAAGCTTACTGTGAAACCTAAATTTTTAAGATTTTATCTGAGCTTGATTCCACATTTCTTTAGTCAATTTCAAGCTCTGGATTATAGCTATTTGATTATTAGCTGATGAATGTCCAATAATGACATCAAGGTTGTCTCATATTTTTTTTTAATTCCAGTTTTTTGTATAAAAAGTCTACCTCAAGTTCTGGTTTCATTTTCAAGTTCGTTTCATATTTTTAATCTTTTCTTGATTGTAAGCTTAAACCTCGCTCCTGCATTATTAAAAATCAAGTAAATGACATAAAAAGTGTGATTGTAGTCTGCTATTAACTTAAGGCTTTAACTGCATAACTTAATCAAATGTCACTAATCGATTCATATTACAACATTTCTAATTACGTAAAATCATAGTTTCTTTCCAAAAGTAGCAATAAATCAATTCTAAACTTCATTATTAAATTCTCGAGATGATCAGAACGCAAAATGATAAATCTTTATGATACAGCACTCAATTTATGACACATTGAATTGAAATGAAAGAGAGAAAGCAAATAAGGAACTAGAAACGATTTGTAAATATCATTATAATGTCAAAGTATTCCCGGACACTTGTTGATCTTTACAATTAATACATGCGTTAACGCATATCACACAACACGATTCACGGCGATCAGAAAGATTCATTCAATGTCATAAAAAAAAATACGCCGGTGAGTATCATCGAAAATATTGCCGATAGTAAACAAAAGAAGCCATAACAAAGAGAAGAAAAATAATGTCTCGGGAATAGCAAAAACATGATAAATCATTAAACCAGTAAGAAACATTCACGTGTATGAAAAAAAAATTGCCGGTCATCTCGAATGTCTCTCGATTCGCTGATAAACAAAAATAAACTATTCACACAGGTGTCATCGACAACGGATAAAACCACATCATCTTCTTTCTATGATTGCTTTCATCTTTATGGAATGACTTAAGAAATTGATGGCATGTGTTATGGATTCTAAGCAATTCAAGTAGGTCTTTAGAAGTAAGATTGTTTGATCAGTTTGTATCTTAGTTCAACAACAGGGCACAGTATCAAAGAAGCAGCTCAACTAGCTTTTATACAATTAAGACTTCTTAGTGTGTAAAAAAAATATCCAAAGGAATAAATATTTGGGTAAGCATATTGATTACTAATGTGACGCATCATCCAACCTAGCGGTTAATTTTATTCAAACTCGTAAAACAAAAACAAAGAATTGTCGAAGTCTCAATCTATCATTATTAGGAAGGTCTTTAAACTCTTTCATTTCTCTATTAATATTCAGCACACCTAATTATTCTCCAGAAGTTAGAGAAAGACTCATCAATCTTATAATCACGCTTCTCAATACTCGACGGATTGTTTAGGTAAATAAGAGACCATCTGTGTACGAATATTATTACACAATGTACACAGATAGTCATCGAAGATGCTAAAAAGAATTGTCGAAAATGAAACCGCTTATGCAAATTAGCGAAAAGATTTTATTTTATCTTCGTATCTTGAATTGCTTAGTTGCTTCTTAAAGCACACATATGCACATACTTAACGATGTTTACAGTGACTCTTTTTATTCCTTATAAATGAACAGTCTTGATTTTTAGAAGACAAATGTGAAAAATTGGATTATTTATGTTTAGAGAGCTCAAAATTGATGAGTCTAATCAGATTCGGTAATGTCAAAATAGTGATAACGTCGAAAATTTATTAGGCAATAAGTTTTTAAAAAGAGTTCATCGATAATGACTCTGTTTTTATGTCCATACGAAAGGAGTATTTAGTTTGCATATGAAATTGAAATAAAAGTTGTCAGTCAGGTTGATTTGGGTTGCGTTTTGTTGGATTTTTGTTATAATTTTGATTGCTTGTGTGACTAGTTGTTTGGGTTTGGATCAGAAGACTTAAGTTGAGTAACTTTAAATTGCGTTTTTGGTAAGACACAATTTCAATAGAGCTGAAGCTGGTCACAAAGACAAAGTAGACAAGAACAGCCATAACAAGAACTTATTATGTCTTCCAAAGGTTCAGCATAGCTTTATAAATTGATAGGTCAATCACATTGGACAGCAGACATCAGTAATAAATTATCCATGTTCAATAAATCGGTTTGATAAAGTAAGATCCAATTTAATCCTTCCAAAAATCCTCAAAACTGTTCAATTCTATCTTCATGCTTAATCCAGCATCAATTCTTGTATGAATTTCCAAAGCCATTAAATCAACCGTAACATAAGCAATATTGTTCCAGATTAAATAGTCTGCCTGGAGATAGAGATTGTAAACCTTAATAAAATCAAACAGATCTTTCATTCATAAATCGATTTCATAGTTTATTGAACTAAAGTGTTTTTATAACTCTCTAGAATCAATGTGATATAGAAAATGTCAATCTTTAAAGCTTTTTAGAATCTTTCATGAATGATTGATTATTGTAGCTTGCTAAGGGATAAATGAACGATTTAGGAGATAAGTTTTAAGTTTTGTTTATTACACGGAAAGCACACAGCATAGAAGAGTCTGAAAACACTGTCACTAGGCTGGTTATCTTATAGAAACTAAGTCGTTTAATATAGACTAAGTTCATAGTGTCACAATAAACTGCTTACTTTGATATATTACCTAAAAGACAAGTCCTTTATTTACCAAGAAATAAAAAGTTTTAATCCATCCGTGAAGAACAAAAACTCTGTCTGCATTTTAAATTAATTTTTTTATATGTCCTCAAAAATTTTTGCTGCTCTTTTCACTTTAGAAGTGGCACGAGAAATAATCGACAAAACAGAACGAATAAATCTTAATTGAGAACATTAAGAAATGAATAAATTTTCACACATTTATGTACAAATATTGACACAATAATTCAAAATGTCATCATCTTTAAAAGTCAATTCCTTCAAATTAAGTTGCAAGGTGAAAAAAATACAGTTCAAGCAAGTTCATAGTTCCTGAGCTTTGGTTGACTTTGTCATTTGCTCATTTTACCTCGAATTATCCAAAACAATCACTCAAATGTGCGTCACATCATGTTTTGCATCTTGAAAGTCTTCCGCGAATGACTTTTACATTCCAAAAAAATTCATGATAAATTAGTATTATTCAGTCCCTTCTGATTAACACTTCTAGCATCCAGCGTCAATTCTGAAGAAATTTTCGTACACGATACGTCATGTCGCCAAGCTGTCTGGCCTTCAACTTCTTTTTTTGTGGTCGAATAAGCTGTGAGAAAAGCTGAGGATTATCATGTTCATAAAGAGAATGCTTGTGACAATTTAATTGATTGAAACAATTAAGAATAAACACGAAAGTAAGGTGCTAAATAATTTAATATTTTTGAGGAATAAAATTATCAAGAATTAGTCACTTTTGAGTTGGAAACGTGACTATGATGTGTAGACATAAGGTGATATGAACTATTTTTGGAGTATGCAACAACTGAAGTTGTTTGAAAATAACGTTCTTTTGTTGACAGGTAAGGCTCCTTATTGAAGAATCTAAAGTTTCAAGAAAGTCCAAAATCATGTGATTCTAAAATAATTTGTTGAGTAAACAATAACTTAATTAAGCTGGGTTATTTTATTCTTAAAAGCTTTTTATGGCTGCAAAAATTCTGTGAATATTTTTAGGGAAATTCTCAATGTTTCGATTTTACAAATAATGTTTACAGTTCTAATTTGTGAATTGTATATTGTGTGGTTGTGTAAATTCCATCATCGTGGTTTGTTGATGTCGCTGAATAGGTTTCTACTTTTTGAGATTAGCAAATTGATTTATAATGTTACAAAATTCAATTTTTTAATATCAGAACTCGAAGTCAACTCGAGCAGTATTGACTGTGAGCTCTGCTTTTAATCATCCATTAGCTTAATGACGTCAGTAGACAACTGTGGATTTTATCATTACGTCAAAAGAAGTAAAGAAAGTTTGAGGCTATTTATCATTGATCAATTTGCGTCAGAAAAATGATGTCTAGAACTTTTGGTATTAAAATAAACTTAAAGATTGGGAAAATCAAACTTGCAGAATATTGAACTGAAGCACATTAAAATTGTCCAATTATCGCATTAATAAACAACAGTAAATTACCGGAAACTTTTTGTCTCATAAATTCGCCCAAATTACTGATTGTTTATAACTCAAATTGGAATAATTTTGGTTTCGTTCAACTTGAAATAATTTAAATTTAAATTTTTGGAACTGAAATTTAATCCATAAATCAAAGAAGTTATTTTTGAGTTCGTTATTATTTCCTTAAATCTTCTGCTGCATGTTTTAAATGTTATCTTTTAATTGAGGACATTTGATCCTAGTCTAAATCTAAAGATAAAGTAATTAAAGAATCAAAATAAATTTTTAAGCAAATAAATATTGATCATCGTCATTAGAAAAGCTTATCTTCTCTAGAATCGTTCTAGTATGACTCGATGTTAAGGCATGACGCAAAAGTACTAATTCCTTAGAACTAATACTTCCCTTTCCAAATTCTGAGTCACAAATTCAAAATTCATTGAACCAATATTTCTTTGCTTAAAATCAATTTATTGCTTGATTAATTCAGCTCAATTAAATTGGACAGTTTAATTTTTTTGGGAATATATTTACTCAGCAAATAACATCCAGGTGGACACATTTTGTCATCCCGAACGAAGATTTCTTATGCATACAATGAAGCCAAAGATTGAACGAGCAATTTAGGTACGAACGGTATTTTCTTCGCTGAAATGTCCCAATATTCTGGAAAATTTGAATTTATTGCTTAATTTATTTCACATGTTTTACATTTTTCATTGTGGCTATGCCTCACGTGAGAGATAATCGAAAGACTCACAAGATGTTGATGAGGAAGGAGAAAATGTGGAGCTGTCAAACTTGTTTTTTTTTCGTGTCAAATAAGAATCTTTATTCCCACAGAAGAAAGCGACTAAATTTTAGCGAAGAATGCACACTTAATTAAATAATTTATGAAAATTTGAAGGCATTAAATAGAACATATTCATGGAACACACCTACAATATGAATTTTCGTCCATCAATACGTCGCACTAAGAACATTATCGATTCAAATGTCGTTAATCTTTATTTTATTCACTTCATTCTATATTTCTCGCATTCACATTCGCATATATTAGAAGGATTGAGTGAAAATGTTGGATTCAAGATTGATAGAGCGCAGCTGATTGATTTTGACCAATGAATATAAAATTTTCCGCCAATTTTAAACATTAAGTTCTTAAATTCAAAAGTAGCAAAATGCAAGGCTAAGGATATACTACAAATGTTACTCAATTACAGTTCAAATTTAAAAAGTGGACATACATCGATTATGATAGCTAGAGATGAGAAAACCTTAACAGAACCTGACTATAATTGCTTAAAATTGGATCCAAATAGCTTTTCCAAACAATACAAACTGATACAAACCATATCTCAAGACAATTAACTACCCAAACCAAACAGCACAGCACACCCATCTCTTTCACAAGAATTGAGTTTGAAAAAAAAAGTCACAATAAAAGAAGAACATCGCACTGCTTGCGATAAAAAAGAAAAAAAAAATCTTTGATTCATTCACAAAATTTTTCGTTCAAAAGCTAGCAGTAGTCAGTTAGTGCTTAACGTTTGACAAGTGAGGATCGAAAAAGAAAATCGGGGAGAAAAATAAAAATGAATTTTTCACAATTTTTAAATATTATCGCCTTTATGGCCACAGTGCATATAGCACAAAGTCAAGATTATTGTAATGTAAATTTGTGTAAGGGAAGAAGGCATGTAGCATGTAATACGTCCGGTGTAAGTTTATTATTTTTTTGTCGTAGATCAAATACGGAAATTTAGATTATTTATTTATCTTTTTTTTCGATAGCTATTCTCGTCATATTGCCCAAGTGATAGACATATCGTTCGCATAACACCAGATCAAAAGCAAACAATTCTCAATACTCATAATTATTTAAGGTGTGAATAAAAACTTTATTCATTCATAATATTTTGTAAATAAAGCTATTTAAATCTTCATATAGGAACAAGATTGCATCGGGTGGTATTAATGGATATTGTCCGGCTAGTCGCATGGCAACGATGCAATGGTCAGATGAGCTTGCATACTTAGCAACCTTAAATGTTCTTCAATGCACAATGAAGCATGGTAAGGACTGAATTAAGAAAGAAAGAAGAAAAAGTCCACTTAAAAATTCAAATTTATTCTTTTTAACTTCACAGATTCTTGTCGCAACACGTGTAAGTATTTTATAATTTTATAATCGCGTGATTTGATACGAAAGCTACATAAGTGAAAAGTGTCTTCTCTCGTGTATGCAAAAATATTCCATAAATTTGCGTTATTAAAATATTTTGTTGAAGAATTTAAGATATTTTGTGGTGGATAAGATGTCAATAACTTTGCTGATTTTTTGAATTGAATTCTTAACATTAAAATTGAATTAGATTAAAGATTTTTTTTAAAAATATTCAATTTGGGAAATTTAAGTTTTGGATTGAATAATTAATTTGGGTTCCGATGCTGGACAGCTTCATAAATGAATAGATTCAATCTAATTCAATTGCTTAAACTTATTTGATTCCACCTGACCAATTGTATGACTATCTTGGAATAGATCTTTATGAAAAAAACACTTAATCCTTTAGAATTTCAATCAAACTTCCTTAATTAAAACCTTAATTGCTTCATTAAACACTGCTGTGTTCTAGACTTATTTTCACAAATTTGACACAATTGACCTCTAGATAGTCATGGTAATTTTCAAAAATCTTGTTCCACTAATCCAATATTTTCATCTTGTCAATCGACTTGAAAATTCTGGTTCATTCATAAATATTCAAATCCAAAATATTATGAAATCAGCTGAAACTACTTATCTTTCTGATATAATATTGCATTTTTGCTTTCTTCACAAGAACACACCCAGGATTTTGCAACAAAGTTTACATTCTTTAAACAAACTTGATTTCCCAGAAAGGAGGAAAAGACTCTTTCAACGTTCGGAAGATTTCCTGTTAATATGGAACAATTATTAACATATTTTAGCAAATTCGATTTATTTATTCAATTATAGTTTTGAATTGATTCAAATTGTTTAAAAACTAATGGATTTAAACACAATGAAGCTGCAAGTTGTATATATACTATATGATATACCGTAATTAATTACGGGCAGCATTTAAACCTCCTTGAAATATAGTTTTCTATTTGGATCTTTATTTAAGGAATATAAACAAGTAAATCGCCATTTTGTAAATTTGTAAAAAGGTGGAATGACAAAAAGACAAATTAATATTATAAATAATGTGTAATTTCTCTGATACGTTCAATTCATGTTCGACAGACTTATCGAAAGTCTAGGGGTGTTTTAATATGCACGTTCGAAAAATTTAAATTTGAAAAACCGTTACAATTTTTGGTCATTTTATTCAAGTTTTTGATAGTTTTGAAAACAAATTTAGCTATATTATGCTTATTATCAAATGATAAAATAATATGTTCATCTAAAATTCATGAAAAAATTGCTTAATTTAAGTTTTTAATATTTCCTAATTTTCGAAAATTTCGAACTGCAGGGTATGAAACTTCGAATTTTGCATGGCAGACAGACAAATAAGACATTTTTACAAGTGTTCTTGGAAACTGTAACGGTCGAAACTCTTGAATTGTTCGTATCAGTAATTTCTAAGCGAGAAATGCGGGTAGTTTCAAGTTTTTCTTTTTAAAAAAGCTATTCACATCAATGACCAACTGAACTCGTCTAAATCTTCTTTTGCTTATAACTCCTGAACTGCTCTGACGTTTGTGGAAAATCTTGTGACCAAGATTTATCATTGAATCAGACAATTACTTACAAACTGTAATCTTCCATTAAACTCTAAGAAAATGGCATCAAGATAAAGTTAAAATTAGCTTAATAAAATCATTAGAGTAGTTAGTAGCTGACAAGATTCAAAATCGATGAACAATTAAAAAACTTTTGCAAGATAAAATTAGCCAAACAAAAATTGAGAGGAATCAATAGACTCATAAATTTTATTCCACACACATTTAAGCAATTAAGAATGAAAAATGGAACACCTGCCAATTAGAAAATAATCTTTGCCGACACAAAGTCTACTTCGCGATAATTTTTATACTAAGAATTTTCGTCATTTAAGTTTCTTAAGACTAATCGAAACATGTGACGTTTTTGTATAGTTCTGGATGGTGTTGCTAAGTTGTGAAAATTTTGGAAGCTTTAAAATTTTGATAATAGAAGTTTGATGGCAATAAAGGTTCAAATTCATTGTCAATGAAGTATGTGATCTTGAGTATTCCAAGGCACACGTAGTCACACTTAATCGAGGATGTTCTTAATAAATTTTTCTTCCCCTTAAGCAACTAATTGATTATCAAATGTCACATCCTGTTATATCAAGTTATTCAATAATTAATAATCAAATTTCATTACCCTACTGAACAGGAGGTAGCTATAAGTATCCTACCAATATTTGAAGATGTCAAAAAAGTGCTAATTTTAATCGAAAGTGTTCTTTTACAAAATCCATAAAAGTAAACCTTAAACACTGTTTACAGAATCATTTACCACCTCATAAATAAACTTGATGTATGAAGACATTGACGAAAGTTTTCATTAAGAATCTTAACTTGCCTGACATTTCGAAAAATTATTTTTTTTTTTTTGAAAAACTTTTGAAACGCAAAAAAAAAAATCACACAAAATGTCATTGGACTTAAGAACATTATCCCAGAAGATGATTAGAATATCCAGAAAAGGAGAGAAATAAATTATTTATTCAAACACGTGCGACGTCCATAAAAAAAAAGATTCTCACAAGTCACTCATGATATCGTCTTTTGATCTCGTTTTTAAAGGGCAATTTAGATTCGCTGGACAGAATTTGGCATGGCGAGGACAGTCATGGGCATTTGAGGATGTGACAAGTGTTATGGTGAACAGCATGTTAATTTGGTTCAATGAATATTCACTGACTGATCAACGTGCAATCGACAATTGTTGTGGATGGAACTTGTAAGTTAGACTGATGTTCCAGTCATGAACAACCTTTTTTCTTATTCATAAATTTTATTCTAATTGATTAGCCACGACATCGGACATTTTACACAAATGGGTAAGTGTGCAGAATCATTCTTACGTGCTAATTTGCTCATATCTCATTCATTAATCTCAAACAGTTTATGATCGTGCAACTTACGTTGGATGCGCGTTCGCTCGATACACCGACAGCTACAAAACAGGTCTATTTGCATGCAATTATGCATCCGGAAATATACAAGGATATAAAATATATAAATGCGGTAAGGCTGCAGATGGATGTTTATATGGTAAAAATCCAAGCTATCCAGCTCTCTGTAATGTTAATGAGCCAATTGATCCCAATCAAATTTATTGATGAAACTTAAAACTTATTGTTTAAAAAAAAGTCTCATAGAATTAAGAATGAAGTGGGAATCGATTGAAGAGTGCGATATCATTTTTGAGTACCCCAGGTGCAAACAGTTTTCTTCTTTCCATTCTCCCGAAAGAAGCGCTAATGTTTGTTCTGGTTTTTCGAGATTTTTATTTCTTCTTTTAAAGCTTTTTTTAAAAAAATAATTTTTGGAAGAAAGAAATGAATTTCTATGGTATGAGAAATGAGATAAGTGTGCATGTGTATATAGGTCTTAGTAATAGTTTAATTCGTGGAAAGCTTTAAATCATTGATTTATATTCATTTTGAGGAAATGGCTAATTATTTCTGTTGAAAATAACATGATGGAGTTTGGGAAGGAGGACGAAGCAGTAATCCATATTGACCATTTTAATACTGTTTGATTCCCCCAACCCCTTCCCAAATTTTCCCCTCTTTTTTGGTTGCTATGGCTTAGAATTCGAAAATCCAGAACGAGATCTTTGACATTTTACTGTCTGAATTTGAATTTAAATCTGAAGTATTAAAAGCAGTTGCATAATTATTAAGTTGAAAGGCTTTCTTGGATCAGTGTTATATTTTGTGAATGTCCAAGAGTTTGGTATCTAGACGGAATCACCTAAGATTGAGGAACTGATGAATTTGTTGATAATTCCTGGCTAAAGCATGACTAGTTCAGCAAAAGATGCTCAAAAAACCAATATTAAATTGGAATGAACTTAATCTTTGAATTTTATTGAGCATAAAATCGATAGCATATGTAAATCATAGTCTAGAATCAAACTCATGTCAATCTAATATTTTCTTCAAATTGTCAAACGAGCACTTAAACATAATTCAATCACAAGAAAGCCTTTACTTCCGAAAAGAACGTTTGAAAATGAATGAAACTTATCAGCTATCAACAAACTAGAAGAAATTTACCACACGTTTTAGAAATTAGCATCCGAATCCAAATCAAAGCTACTTATAACAGCATATACCGGCATATATATTGCAAAACATCAATTTTTATTCGATATTTAAATTTTCGAGACGTGATAAAGTAAAAGAAGATTTCTTTCTCACAATCAATGAATGGAGAATTGATTAGCGGAGATATAGTGTTGATTGTTTTTTCAATAATTTCTTCCCAATTATCGTTAACTGAGAGATCTTAAATAAGCTTCATTAGAGTTTAGTGTCCAAGGCAACCTTGGGCATGTATTCTAGGTTTCCTCTTGTCTTTGCTGATAAGTTTCTTCATCTGTTCGAAACTTCGACAAGTATTATTCAAACATATCATTTTTAAAGCTTTTATAGATCATAACTATCGAAAGCTTTGATGTTGCTCTAGAGTAAATTAAAAAGACTATCAGCAATTTAATGTCTTAGAAAAACTTTGACAACTAATTCACTCAAATTGAGCTGATATCATTTGCATGTTGCTGACATAATAATAGAAATAATTTAAGATTAAAGTAATAAAGATAAAATAGAATTTAAGAAAATATATTTTTTTTCACAGCAAACCATTGTAAAAAGCCGCAAAATTTATTGAAGATTTAAATAAATAATAAAAAAAACTGAAATCAAAGAAGGTCACCGGCCTCGTGATTGTGTACGAATTACTTTGCAGATTTTTTTTCTTCTCCATTCATCTTTAAATGCAGAAGAGAATAAAGTGATTTTAAAATCTTGGTAAAGCACGTGAGTAAAACAAGTTTCATCACACTTTTATTCTACTTCCCTGACTGGTGATTCTCCATTCAAAATTTTTTAACTCAATGTTAATCGATTGTCCTTCAAAATATGAGGTAGTTGTCAAAAATGCAATTCTTATGTCTACAAAATAATATTATTAACACTTAGACATTGTGAACGTCTATTTTTGGGTGCAAAATCAATAGTTTTTAATGAATAGAAATCACACTACACATTTTTAAAAGAAGGAAACAAAGTTTTTGAAGCTTGATCAGCGAATTAATGCAAAAAATTATTATTGTTGACAAACCTTGAGATTATTTTAACCAATCTATTAAGTTTATATCTAATTGTAAGCTGAAGTTGCACAAAAGGAGCTATTTTAAAGTTTTGGTGGGATTTGATTTCTTAAAAATTTATGTCTAAAATGAATGTTAATTCGGAATGCATCTCTAATGTATCTAAAGAACTTAATATCTCATATACCAGTGTACCGTTGCGCAAAGTTTTAAAACTACCCAAAATGGAAAGCTGGACGATTAATCAAGTTCTAAGAACGAATAAGTCATTGCTAGATTTTATTAGGTTTTTAAGTTTTTATCAGTACATACTACTTGAATCAAAATTGACTGGCACTACAAACGAAAAAATTTACACTTTTACATGAAAAGTAAAAGAGTTTTTTTAGGTTTAACCCAAACAAAACTTCACTTTGGATTCAAGTAGACTTTATTTTTGAAAAAATAGTTTTCGAACTCACCTTGCTCCTTCTCAAAGTACTAAAAAACCATTGTCATTGCAAACAATCAATTTTATTCATCAAAAATATGTTTTTCTTAGTGTTTATAATTTTTCAATCCTTCGTCAATATTAATCGTTATCTAGTGTATCAGATAGTTAATTTTAATGAACTATTTTTTCTCATCCTTATTATCATAATTATTAGTGTTATAAGAATATTATACTTTGTAGTAGTTTGTTTGAAAGAATTTTTTTTAAAAGATCAAAGTTGAAAATAAAACAAAACTTTTTCTTTAGCACAATCGATTATTTAAATCTAATTAGCATTTAAAATTACAACTCCAATACTCTTATTAATAGTAAATTATTTTGAAAGATGTATGTGAGTTTTTTTCCTTGCATCATAAAATGTTTTGTTTTTTAAATTAAAATATCGAACTGTCACAGATGGGGGAAGGATTAAACATCGAAGAAAAACGCTTCTTAGGAAGCAAATTTATCGAAATGTTTCGAAAAAAAATTTATATACTATTATGAAAAGACTCGCTCAGGCTCCTGCCATTCAAAAAGTCAATTAAACACGAGAGCTCCTAACAAGCGTTTTTCAACATTTTTCTTCATCTTCCGTTACTCTAACTGTTTTGTTGCTGTGAATTATCAACAATATTTTTATTTCTCAAACCTTGGCAGTGAGACTATCAATCACAAGTTTATTAATCATAGAATTATATATTTTTTTCACAGTTTATCATTAAATCAACATTAAACTATCTGAAGAGAAAAGAGCAAAGTTGAAGGATCGATAAGGTTGCAAAGAAAATTGATAGTTTAAATGTTGAGGAATATTAAGGACCATTTTGAAGGCTATTGAATTATTTAATATAATCACAAAGTTAAGTATTAAAAAGAAATCAACGAAATAAGAACTAGTTGATAATTATGACAAAAAATCAAGAAAATTGCAAAAAGTTTCTACATAAAGCAACAGGAAATTTTCAGAAAGGTTAGTTCCTATTTTTTTTAAGGAAGAGGAAGCAATATTTATAAGAAATTGGCTAGATTAATATAAATCTTCGTCTACTTTGTTTGACTTTCGTGGAAATTAGAATTTTATGAAGACCCGAATTTATAGAAAAAAAATGAAAATTCATCTAATGATCATTTTTTAATTGTCAAATTATAAGATCTAAGTGCATCAACACTGGATGTTGAAGTTATAAATCTTCAACAGAAATAACGTTCACAGCATTAGAAAGAAATTAGAGAAAATTTTTATGATTTTATTATCTTTGGATATTTTATATTTTTTTATCGTTTTTAATTAATTACAAAAATACAATTGTGAGTTTTTCTGATCCACGCTTACTAAAGAATTGGAGATTCTTTTAAAATTCAAAATATGACAGCAAAACCAATTAACTTCATGATTCTACAAGCGTACAGCTTTTTCCCAAATATATATAAACTCGTATAGTTTAGAGGATTTTTTTTTTGAATTTGTCAGGATTTTTCAGGTATCATAATTTTGTAAACAAAAAAAGAATTTCCAATTAAATACATTAACAGGTACATCAAATCTAAACTTTTTCATCAATTAATTTTTTAAAATTTAAGCATGGATCATGAAAAAGTTCACAAAGTCGTTAAAATTTTCAATTGATTTGTTTTAAGTTATTGTTTATATTGTTTCGCAAATGAATTTAAGAAGATCATTTTGTTATTCATAATGAGCCTTTAGGAAAAATATTATTTTGAGTTCAATCGATTAGTAAATCCTACAGAATTTTTCCTTTAATACATCAATTACGTCCAAGTTTTCTTGTAAATATTTTTTAGTGCATTTTTGAGTTATTGAATTGAACCGATGGCTTTAATATACTTTTATTGATGTGAAAACCTTTTTGTATTCACTGAACATTGTTTCATCTGTATTTTATAGTGTACAGAGGCGTATCCTAGCACAATTCGAATAATGTCTAGATACGCCTCTATAGTGTTTGACAAGTTGTGCCAATTCTGGGAAGTAGCTAGATTTTTATAGTTAAAACAGAAGTACTTAGATTGGTAGAAATACTTTTCTGTAGTTCAATTTACTCGGTAGTATAGTGGTGAGTTTCTAACCTTCAAGAATATCACAGGAATTTCAAGTGATTTGGAAGTGACCAAAGCCAAGTATTGCAGTCAATAAATCTGAAATTTATAGATCAAAAGAGTTAGTCAAATAATTTGAATATTCAAACCTTAATCGAAATTCTGCCTTTTTCTTCCCAAAACTGACGCTCCTTGATATTTGGTTTTTATGCTTATCTGATGTGTTACTACTTATTATGATTAATTCAAATATTTGCGTTGCACAACTCTTAACCAATTCATTATCAGAAAATAATTTTATATCCCTTTGTCACCATCATCATTAATTTTATAATCTTATTACATACGTTACATCTATAATTTAATATTTTCGTCATTCCTTTCTTTCAATTTTATCGTTTAGTCAATATTAATTTAACAAAAAATGAAAATTAAAGTAAAAAAAAAATTGGTGCATCTCGATATGGCCGAAAATTGCATCCTTAAAAGTATGAAATTATTGCAAAATCTAATTGCAACTTTGTTAATTTATTAAATTGAAAATAATAAGAAAATTGGAAGAGAAAAAGAAAATTAAAGTTTAGCTATTGATCTGGTGGGTTAGTAAAGAATGAAAAGCATAAACGTTTGCCAAAACTATTAAAAAAGTTGTTGTAGTGATTATGTCTACTCGTATCATCAATGCATCCGTTAGCACTGATATTTGCATGTTATTATGCCAGCAGCATAGTAACGATCACGATATTCTCGATATTCACAATACGTCATTTGGATCTCTTGTGACGTATAACGAGTTAATTTGATGGAACTGCGAGTAGCATTTGTTATCTGCCCGCGATAACCACCTTTACGTAGCAATGAATCAATTGTCTGAATTTGATCCCATCCTAGCATTTTAGTCAGATATAAAGAGATAAAAAATTATGAAATTAAGTAAATGAAATATGAACATAATACCTTGTTCAGTTGCCACTGCAGGTAAATAGGTTGCGGATCGTTTAGATCCACGTTCATTTAAAAATTCTATCCTTATTCCGTGAACTCCCAAAGTCCAATCTAAATATCCACGTGCTTCCTCAAAACCCTATTAGATAAATTAATAACAGGAATCAATAAAAATTGGCAGTAGAGTCAAAGATTAAATTTTTTTAATCGAGCGATTTAAATTTAAGATTACATGATCTTGATAAATCTCAGGATTAAAATGTTGGACTATCGAGTTGACATTCACAACGATTTGATGCATTGCTGTATAAATATTTGATTATTTATGTGCGAAAGTCACACATGATTGATAAAATGTACAAAAGTATATAAAGACTAGAGACTTACTTGTAAAATGGAAACAGACACTGTCAAACGCGGCAACTCATCACGAGTTATTGGATCGAATCTAGAGTCTTTTAATGCGCTTGTCAATGCATATTCTTTCAATCCATTATGAAGATTCATTTCAGAAAATGTTCCAATGCAACCGCGTAAACGTTGATCCCGTCCGATTTTCCAAGTCACAAACAAAGGGCTGCAATTTTGCGTTAATACGTTATTAGTTGTAAATGACGACAATATAAGAAACTTACAATGAAGAGTTGACAATTCCTATGTGATGAGGCTCAACATGACGATCTAAGCCATGTAATTCTTTATGGAGAACATCAAAGCAGAAAAATGCCATTTCTGGAGCCACAACCTTTGGCTCACAGAAGAATCCATAAGAAGCATGTCCATTTTGTTGATTATTCTGTTGGACTGTTGTTGACGAGGACGATGATGAAGAAGATCCATTTTGAAGGGAAAAGAATTTTCTGCTTGACATTCTCACAAATTGATAGTTTTAAGAAGAAATTTTACTGGCTTAAAGGAAATTAATGATTTTTATGAGCTTTGCAAATTTTCTTCCTACTCGTTTCTCTTCTTTTTCTCCGTCTCGCCCTTTGTTGAGACTTTATATCTTTTTTACTATTGAATTTTGAGCACTTTATCCGATGAATATTATGAAAAACCAAAATGGAAAATATTAAACATAAGCTTCCGGAACAGAATCAACAAAATTGACTTTGGAATTCACACGAATTTTAGTTATTTTCGCATTTATTTACTTTTTTATATTCCTCGATTAAAGAAATTTTTTTAAGAAGTTGGCTTGATTTGTGTGACTATAGCGCAGCTGCCTTCTTACTGAGCACTTTATTGCTTGAGAAACTCTTATAAACACTTAACATTCGAAACTACTGAAAAACTGTTTATTATTGTATTTTACAGAAATTAAAATAATTTTTTCAAATTGTCAATTTTTAATGTCAAAACTTAAGGGATTTTGATTTTTTGAATTTTATAAATTAAATCCATTTTCATTGATGAAGTTTTCTCTCGAGTTTAATATCTAATGCAGCTTAATTAAAGCATGATAAGCAAACATTTGGAGTGACTCATTCAGACAAAGTATAGACATTAACACATTGGTTATTAACGTCTTGATTTTGGGTAATTTGTCAGCAGTTTTGGGTAATACTTTGCAGCACCTCATTTTTGTATGGTTTTCAAACATTTTGAAATTTCCGATAATTTTATGCTTTTGATTTTGATTTATTGAATTTTTAAATATAAAGACCTTTTGAGCCATTTAATATTATTTTTATTTATAGATCATAAAAGCAATAGTTGAATTCAATAGAGCTTTTAGGTATGAGAAGTTAAAACCTGCCAAAAACTCAACTTTAAAAAAATTGAGTAATTTTAATCTTTTTTAACATCCAAAAATTATTTCAAATAATACAGAAACCAGAAAATCGTGGTGGGAATATAGGAAATAACAGCTGATTTGTGCTTTTTCAATGTTTTGTTCGAAAATTTGAACTCTCTCTTATGGGCAATTCTTTGGATGAGTGGAATTTGAAAAAAATGAGCTTTCATAATCCAATGTCAATGAGTTTTGTGTCAATAAAATGTTTTCTTTAATTTCATATTACTGTGAAGGAATAATAAGCCAGAACTTTCGTAGATCATTAAGCATAATTAATTCTTTACAAGTGATCTATTGAAATGTTACAACTCACCCAAATTAAGTGAAAAATTGAAAAAATATGTTTGAAAATTTTGTATTTTTTCACGGATTAAGACAAAAAAAAAGCTTCTTTATAACTCGATGACACAAGGAAATTTTTCAAAGAATTGAAATATTTCATTAATTACTGGCTTAATGCACACAAAAAAGCAACCTAATTAAAGATTTTTGTCTGTTCTATAACTCAGTAAAAGTTATTCAATGTTAATTTCAATAGTTTTCTCTAATTTTCGATTCTTTGGATGATGAAAATTGAAAATTCCGATTTCTGTCATCGAGTTATTGACAAAAGAATCCAAATAACTTAATTAATACAGCAATTAGAAGTATATGATATCAAAAGGAGTGTACATTTTATATTTTTACATCGATAAGAGTCATAAAATCAGTGCCTCTGATGGGAAAAATTAATAAAATTTCGATTTTTTGCTGAAAATTTTCCGAAAGTCATCCAAAGAATTGCCCATAAGGGCCCATAAGGGCAATTCTTTGGATGACTTTCGGAAAATTTTCAGCAAAAAATCGAAATTTTATTAATTTTTCCCATCAGAGGCACTGATTTTATGACTCTTATCGATGTAAAAATATAAAATGTACACTCCTTTTGATATCATATACTTCTAATTGCTGTATTAATTAAGTTATTTGGATTCTTTTGTCAATAACTCGATGACAGAAATCGGAATTTTCAATTTTCATCATCCAAAGAATCGAAAATTAGAGAAAACTATTGAAATTAACATTGAATAACTTTTACTGAGTTATAGAACAGACAAAAATCTTTAATTAGGTTGCTTTTTTGTGTGCATTAAGCCAGTAATTAATGAAATATTTCAATTCTTTGAAAAATTTCCTTGTGTCATCGAGTTATAAAGAAGCTTTTTTTTTGTCTTAATCCGTGAAAAAATACAAAATTTTCAAACATATTTTTTCAATTTTTCACTTAATTTGGGTGAGTTGTAACATTTCAATAGATCACTTGTAAAGAATTAATTATGCTTAATGATCTACGAAAGTTCTGGCTTATTATTCCTTCACAGTAATATGAAATTAAAGAAAACATTTTATTGACACAAAACTCATTGACATTGGATTATGAAAGCTCATTTTTTTCAAATTCCACTCATCCAAAGAATTGCCCTTATGTATTTTTAGGGAAAATTTAGCATTTTCGAGCTTTTACTATATTAATATGATGTAATTAAAAGCACTAGATTTAAATTAAAAACAAAAGCTGTACTAAATCCATCCAAACATGTTAATTTTGAATTCGAATATCACAGCATGACTCAACGTTCACTTAATATTTAATACTTTTTGTTCTCTCATTGAAAAGATTTAAGTCGCTTTTCAAATTATTTATTTTTATTTTGTAGCACACAACAGTCTCTCTTTAGATTTCAACCAGTTCTCTTCGATTCAGTCTTAAAAATAAAAAATTTGTTTTTGTTCGAGTTTTAGTTGCAATCTACATTAACCACTTGTTGATTCGCTAATAATATTATTTACTGAAGATGAAATCTTCCAGTAAGCCTGATCGGCAAATTGTGATAAATCCAATCCATTATTCCGTGATAATAATCTATGCATTAACAAGGCAAGTGAAAATAAAAAATAATTCTTTTCAATCTTATCAGTTCGGTGAAATTTAATCTTTGAACTCTGTTAAAAGACTGATCCAGTTCTTGACGAACACAAATGAGTTGTGGACAAAAATTTGGCACAAGGTCGTTGATCTATTTGGTAGGTGGTTGATAAGATATTAAGAGGGTTTGTTCGTAAATGATGTTTTTGGAAAAATAAGATTTTTAAACACCGAATCATTCCAAAAATGCTACGCAGTAGTAGATTCACCTCCTATAAATAAGACATCAATTGTGAACAACCCCATTGACAAATGAGCACATCTAATGTAAATATGATGAATTCCATAGGCGCTGATGATTTCAACATGTACTTTTTTGGAACAACAGTTTATTCAGTATTTTTTACATACTGGTTTTTTGGGGGAATTTTTCTAATCTTCGACTACTCACAATGGCCTGAATTTCTCAAAAAATATAAAGTACAAAGTGGAACTAATGAGCCGGTTGACAGAAAGTTAATGATGCGCGTAGTTCGTGGTGTTTTATTCAATCAAATATTTATTAGCATACCACTAAGCTACTTAGGATATTACATTAAAAAATCTCGGGGTATACAGGAATCCATATTCGACGTACCTGATTTTGGGAGAGTGATTTATGAATTAATAATCTGCATTATGGTGGACGAAATTGGATTCTATTATACACATAGACTAGTTCATCAAAAGCATCTTTACAAATGGATCCATAAACAGCATCATGAATGGTCCGCACCGATTTCAATCACAGCTATAGTAAGTTATTTTAATTATCGCTAAAAAATCATATATAATTCTCGCAACCTTAACTTTATATTGTTTTAAATAACATTGAAAAATTCACAAATATATTTTCTTTCCGGTTCCGTAGTATGCTCATCCACTAGAGCACATTCTTAGCAATGTATTGCCTGTTGGTCTAGGTCCAGTATTTGCTAATAGTCATCTGTCAGTCGCGTGGATTTGGTACACATTAGCACAATTAACAACATTAAATAATCATTCTGGTTTTCACTTTCCGTTCTTTCATTCATCGGAGTTCCATGATTTCCATCACATGAAGTAAGTTTTATTATTTTTAAAAACGTGTTTGGATTGGGATATTCCCAAATTTTAACATGTGACTATCATTTATTTATTTTTATTCAATCTAGATTCATGGAATGCTATGGCAAGCTTGGACTTCTTGATAGAATCCACAACACTGATAAATTATTCCGTAAATCAATATATTCCTATAGACACAGAATCCTCTACTCTCTTAAATCTGCGAAGGAGATGTTTCCGGATAAATCAGATTAATTATATTGTAATTGATGTACCTCTGTGAATGGCTATAGTAATTAAACAATGAGTTTATTTTTTGGTAATGAACTTGATTTTTTAAAACTTGCTGACCTTGTCATTTTCACATTGCCGGCTTTTATTTTTGTTTTTCACACGTCTTATTATGTCTAGCTTGAATTATTGTGTTTTTATAAGAATAGATTCTTGACTTTTCCAAAATGTCATGTGTCTATAACACCATACTGAAGAAAAGATAGATCAACAAAATCTATTCTCGATCTGCATACTTACCTAGTTTATTTAAAAAGGCCTTAGGGGCTGTTCACTTATTACGTAACGCGAAAAAATGACTTCTTAGACCCCCCTCCCCTCGTAACAAAATTTGTATGAAAAAAAAATTTCCTTGTTTGAACCGTAACAAAATCTTAGACCCCCCCCCCCCTCCCCCTAAAAGCGTTACGTAATAAGTGAATGGCCCCTTAAAATAACGTTTAAATTTGTTCAGTTTGGAAACTTATTTAAAAAAAAAAATCAATTCATTTTATTATCATTTTCATTAGGATACAGTTCACTAGCAGATTTTAAAGTAAACAGAGTGCGATGTCTTAAAATTTCACCTGATTCCTCAAACTTTTTACTAGTTCCATGAAACTTGTCTAAAAATCCATTTGTTCCAAAACATTCATTAAATTTTGAATGATGCCAATCATGGAATCGTGAACTGTGAAGAAATGGAATATGATATCCTGAATGATCTCCTAATGTCCATATCGTTGTCATTGTTATGATAACGCCTGATGTTGCATAAGATGTTCTTAATATGAATAAGGATAAGACGATTGGTAATGTGTTACAGACTATATGTTCAATTGGATGTGCATAGATAGCAACTATTGATATTGATGCTAAAATTTAGATTTTTTTTTGTCAGGAAGATGTTTGCTTGTAAAAAATATTAAGAACATACCAGTCCACTTATGATGTAGTTTATGAATCCAGTTGTAGAAATATTTATGATGCATCAATCGATGTGCATAATAGAATAGAAATTCATAAATAAATTCATACATGACTATTGTAACTAGCAATTCTGGAAACGATTGAGTTTGCCTTAGATGAATTCCATTTGGCATCATTTGATAAAATGCAATAATTTTAAACATTAAAAAATTAAGAACAAACTGATTGAAAAGTACAACTCCAATAACTGGCAATAGCTTCTTTGAATCAGAACGTAAACTTGCATTTGGTTGTACCTTGTATTTATCTAAGAACTTAGGTTTATTTGTTATATTGATAGCAATGAATAATAGTCCAACTATCCAATATAGTAAGGTTGTGTACGCGAATGAGACATAAACTTCAAAGAACTCATCATTACCTAAAAATGAGTTACGATTCATAAATAAAATAAAAATCTTTTGACAGACTAATACTCACCAAAATAATCAACGAAATCTAGCCAAAATTGACTCCAAAAATTATAACTTCCAGTCAAAAGTTCCACAAATCTACACAAATTAATTTTGATGTCTTATTAAAATTGCCACCAGTGCCAGTCACCAACTTACTTTGTCACAATATAAACGAAAACGATCCAATAAAGTTGTGGATTTGTATATATCGATAGAAGACCGCGAATCATTATAAAAATTCTAAATTTTATCAATAACGAGGAAAAAAGTCTTATGACATTTGTCTTCAATGACTCGCAAGAAATGAATGCCTTAAGATTTTTTAAAACAAGAATAAAATGCAAAAGAAAAAAAAATCGAGTTTTGGTTGAAACAGTTATTTATAAATGACACCCTGCAAAATTGATATTGTGCCCCCCCCCCCTCTTTAACAAAATTTCAATGCAAAATCTTCTCATAGAATTCTTAACCAACCCTCCCTCCCCCCCCCTTTTCCCAAAAATTTTTCATCATTTATAAATGACTCCTTAAAACGATAAATTACAATTTTTAATTCTTGCACGGATCATTTTGTTTTATTTTCATTTTTATCAGGATAAAGTTCATTGGCAGATTTTAAAGTAAACAGAGTCTGATGCCTCAAGCCCTCAACTGATTCTTCAAATTTTATATTCGTTCTATGAAACTTGTCTAAAAATCCATTAACTCCGAAGCATTCGTTGAACTTCGAGTGATGCCAATCATGTAATCGTGAGCTTCGAAGGAATGGGATGTGATATCCTGAATGATCTCCTAATGTTCCTATCATTGTTATTGTGACAAGAATCCATGATGTTGCAATAGGTGTATCCAGTATCATAATAGGTAAAGCAACTGGTAATGTGTTACCAAAGATGTGCTCAATTGGATGTGCGTAGAGAGCAGTAAAGGAAATTGGTGCTAGAATTTTCAATATATTATTATAAGATGTAAATGTATGCCTTAATTTAAGTACATACCAGTCCATTCATGATGAAGTTTGTGAATCCATTTGTATAAAAATTTATGATGCAACAGTCGATGAATATAATAGAAAATAATTTCATAAATAATTTGATATAATACAACTGTAACCATTAAACTTGGAAATGACTGCGTATATCTCAAGAGATTTCCTTTAGGCATCATTTGATAGGTTGTGACTAATTTAGTTACAAATAGGTTTATAATTTGATTCAATAGGACGATGGTAATAACAGGTATTAATTTTTGAGGATCAAGAGGTGCATTTTTATTTGGCTGAACCTTATACTTTTCAAAGCATTTTGGTTTATTTGTAAGATCGACAATAACGAACAACATTCCAACAATCCATGTTAATACAGTCATATATGCGTATGTGATATAAACTTCAAAGAATTCATCATTGTCTGGAAATTAGGATCGTATTTTATTTTTTTTCGGTACAAATTCTAGCTCAAATCAGCAAAAAAAACCCGCCAAAATTTAAGATTTTGTTTTCTTTCTCTAACTTTACGAATTGGGTTTTAATAAAGTGACGACCATCTCATATGTTCTGCTTTCTAATTTTTTACTCACCAAAATAATCAACAAGTTTGATCCAAAAATGACTCCAAAAATGTCGGTGTCCAGCTAAATATTCAAAAAATCTTTCAAAATATTCTTGATTTTATAACTTTCACGATTATCACCAGAATTTCAACTTACTTTGTCACTATATAAACAAGACCAATCCAGTAAAGCTGTGGATTAGAATGTATTGAAAATATTCCACGAATCATATTTTTAAGTAATAAATTTCTTTACGCTTGCATTCATTGACTTACGAGAAGAGAATGGCTTAGTGCTCTTTCTTAGATTCTAAAATAGTTCAAAGTACAATTTTTTTAACATCGCTTAAATGCTATTGCTACATAAAAACACCTGTTAAATATTTTTTAAGAGCTTTTTATTCAAGTTTAAAAAATGGTTTTTGAATTGCTGAACGCCTGCAAACGAGCTTTTAATAGTAAGTTTATGCTTAAATCACACTCGTAATTCGTAATCGTATCTTTTAGATACGTACTTTGTTTGAAGAACCGAATTTAGATATGGGGCCATTCACTTATTACGTAACGCTTTTAGGGGGAGGGGGGGGGGGTCTAAGATTTTGTTACGATTCAAACAAGGAAATTTTTTTTTCATACAAATTTTGTTACGAGTGGGGGGGGGGGGTCTAAGAAGTCATTTTTTCGCGTTACGTAATAAGTGAACAGCCCCTATGAGATATTAAAAATTGAAAAATTTGTTCTGAAAATTTTTAAGGACATAAAAACAAGGTTTAAATTTGTCATTAAAACCTTAATAAATTTCATTATTCTTTTTTTATTTCACAGAAACTTCATTTAAAAAATAAAACTTAAACAGGAGAACATTAACACTTATATTACATGAGAATTCATACACCATTCCTTACTGATAAATAATTTCTCTTCTTCCTTCGTTTACATCCAAATATAAATTGAGTTAGATAACATACAGCTAATATAAGTCCAACAAAATTGAGTATCATTGACGTTAAGAGAATATGAGTCCATGTTGATAATTCATTACAACTTAAATCACGAAAATGAACAACATTGCCGCCATCGGGAATTTCTATGTGTCCATTAGTATCCATAAGACCTTCAGAATCATGACTTGATGCCACTTCCTTTGATAATACTACCTCGTTCCTTACATTAAATACACAAATACATGACGATGAATTTATGAAAATGTTTTCTGGAAAGCACTTTTTATTATCGGATGTGATGCTGACGTAATGAAATGTTGCATAAATTAATGCCAGTGTTGTGAGAAAAACTGATAAAATTATGATAACTGTTGCATTCATCTAAAAAAATTAAATCGATTACAATTTGAAGTCAGAGAGTAAGTTTAGGGCTTAACTGAAACCCGCAAATCACAAAAAACAGGATTCATCATATGATCAAAAACATCATTTACAAAGCCTGATTAGCCAATTTCCAAAACTTACCTTAAGGAACCAAAAGAAATTCATCTTAATTTTAGACCGACTCCTCTTAAAGCTCAACAAATAAAGCCCTAAAAGCCCCGACACAATAATAATCAACCCACTCCAGAATGGATTTTGACTTAAAGGCGTTGAATTAGCAAATAAGCATATCCAAGCACCGAGAGCAACAAGACAGATTCCAATGAGAATTTTTAAGAGTAAAACAAATTTTGCTAGCCACACATGCTTAATATTCAATGAATTTGAATGTGATGCACCTGAAATGATAAGATGGAATTTATTTAAATTAATAAAGGCATTAGAATCAGCATAAACATTACAAGATTACCTTGGACATTTCTCACTATTAATCGTGAGTGTCGTAAAGAATTTCTTGTTGGCTTGTGTCTTCCCATTATGTTTTGGCCTTTGATATTTTGCGGAACGGTTGTTGACATATAAACAGCCTGTGATGAGTGAAGAATGAATAAATAAATATTTATGCTTAATAGTTGTTGTTTTAGTAAAGAAAAGAAGAGCTGGGATGAATAATTCATTCATAACAAAAATGTTGAGGAATTATGACTGTTTTTCAGTACGAATAATTAACAGCGAATTTTTCAAATAAATTACTACAAAAACTCATTGAACAGTCAGAAGGACTAATTGCGATAATAATATGTTGAGAAAAAAAAATGTAGAAATTTCCTGGAACTGTGCAACTGTCAAGTTTATTTAGTCTACATAATAATTGAGTCGTACATTAATATCATGTTACTCATAAGCTGTATGTGTGACAAATGCTCCTGCTGATTGAATGTGAAATCGCAAATGAAATTATTCCCGCCAAAAAATAACTTATCTTTTCTCTTTTTTGATTCAAGGGGTCATAACTGGTTGGTCTAGTCATTGTTCTTGAGATTTTTTGGTAAACTTTTGGGTTCGTCTACAACTACAAGGAACATTAAACCAATCTTAAGCTTATTCGTGTAAGTCGAGATTCCTCCCTTGACTACTTCTCTTTTAGAGAATAACGTGGCCAGTTTCTAGAGATTCTATCGTGGCATCTATCCTAGATCTTGACTCTCCTTCTTTCTCTTTGAATATAACTCACTACTGACTCTCCACTGCCATGAGCTAAGTTCTTTTGAATTCACTTCCGTTTCATTTGAAAGCAAAAATGTTAATCCCATTTAATTACTCACGCGAATCTCAACACTTAAAAAAATTCTTGAATCTCAAGGACACCATTGACCTCATCTGAACTGATAAAATATCTTAATAAATTCCATGTTCAGTCAAGCAATAAACTTAAATATTTAATTTAAATCAGGGGGGTTCACTTACGACGTTCAGGGGGGGGGGGGTCAGTAAGAAAAGAACAATAGAAATTCCTGGAAATTTATTGTTCATTTTTGAAAAATGACCTTTAATTTTGGACGTCATAAGTGAACGACCCCTCATTGCTTAAAAACCTTTTTTTATTTTATTTACGCGAAGCCTTCACTACTGTGCTATTTGTGAATTGGAGAGAAAATGCGAATGTTTAGACACGATCACCAATCAGCAATTTAAATAGGCACGCATAAAAGTCACATTACGATAATGTCATTTGAATATTAAGATTTGATTATCATAAATAGCCCCGCAACTTGCAACTTGATATCAATTTTAAGTGGATACATACATCAGCTGTACTGATAACAACAAAATATAAGAAGGAAGATGATGAGTTAATTCCACAATTCAAGCTGATGTGTTAAATTTATGTATAGATGATAAATAAATTCACACATGCATACAATGAACAAGATCATGATAAATGACTGTCAATAATTATCGTATGCTACTCACTTGTGATGGAGTTCCTTGTAATGATGCAGACATATCAGGTAGAATAAATTTTGGACTTTTACTTCGATTACTTCCTTCACTATTTTTTCGACTGTTGGATCTGTCGCCACGATTTGGTGACGATGTTGGTGTTGCTGTTACTGATGAAGATCCTGATGCTGATGATGTTGCACTCACTTGACCTTTATCATCATTCTCATTATTTAAATTCACATACTGTACTTCATCTGAGATGATTCTTATGTCTCTATGATCCTCAATAAGCATCTCCATATCATCATTCTTTACCGTACTTTGCATGTGTATACCAAAGAATGATGATTTTGCTTCACTTATAGCGGGTCTATGGTTTGGCGATAACACATGTCCATCAATTTGTTCAATATTCTCGAATGAATTGTCATCATCTCGCATCTGGAGTGTGTCGATTACATTCTCATACTGTGGTCTGTGTGATGGAATGGATGTTATTGCATTATTATGGTTATTACTATTGGAATTTTGCATTGATGAGCTCATTCCTGTTGATGAAGGAAAATCATCAAAATGGAATTTAATGTCAGCTAATGGAAAGTGCGTTTGTAATGTGTTGTTGTTGTTGTTATTGCTGTTGCTGCTGGATGTTGTCGTAATATTTTGCAAATTATCGTATTCACTCAATGGACGCTGATCTACTTCAAATGAACTTTGATTTGATGCTGACGATGAAAAATTATTTGCGTCTACCTGCTTCCGTAGATAATTGTTAACTGAAGACATTCTCTGTTGAAATGAGAAGTAAATGAGAGAATTGTTAATAAAAGTCAGGTAAAAAATGAGAGAAGTGCTGCAAAAGAGAGGAGAATATGAAGATCAAGAGAAATCTTTTAGGATGAATTCCGTGATTTTGGAATGAATTTGTTAAGGTGTATCGGATGTTTTTATAGTTCTTACAGCCTTGCTGCTCATCTTTAAATTTAAAAATTCATTAATTCTACAATTAAGATAACACGCAATATCCCAAAACCCTGACTTGTACACACATCATTATATCTCATATAAAATCAATTTCATCTTCATCTCAACAATCATCACGTACATGCAGAGAGGATTCTTTAAAATCTTGTAAATTAATAAGAAAAAAGTGACTGTTGATCACCGATGAAAAACCAGAATAAGAAGCCAGTTTTCTCTCATTCTCACTATTAGACTTTTAATAGCCACAATGAAAAAAGGTTTTATTCCCATTAAGTCATCTTCAGCATTTAAATGAAAACACAAGAAGAATTTTTGTGTGTTCTCCTTCTTTTGATTATTTTCGTCATCTTTTACTGATAATTAAGACCAGATTCTTCTCTCTCTTTTTTTGGAACTAATTAATAGCACGTTGGAGTAAATGTTTTGGCATTTTTGTGGATAACAATGAGTTCTTTATATTGTTGAAGCTATGGATTATGAGCAGATGATGATTGATGCAGACTCCTTGCATCTGCCGTCATACGAATTTATAGGCAAGATTTACATGACATGATGACGTCCATAGTACAAATCAGAGGAAGTAATGTTTAATTTTAAAATTTTAAGACCCAGGAACATAAAACTTCGTTTCGAAATCAATTTAAATTCATACAGAGTACGGACTTATTACAAGTTTGACTATGACGTGCAAAATATCTAGATTAACTCAATAATTCCACAAACTTTACATTAATCTAGTCAACAATCGCTCGTAATAATGCAAAAATACACAACTAGAGAGTTCCAAAAATTTCAACAACAAAAATTGGCAAGTCAAAAACCGTTAAAATATGCAAAGCACCAGCAAATGTACACAAAAATATCCTCATTATCACCAAAGACACAAAGTCGGTGACTGTAAAATATTTTTGTAAAGCAACTGTATTATATTAGACTCAGCACATCCAGTCATTTAAATTACGCATTTATGACGTTGAAGATGACGCACAAAAGTTCCCATCCACAGAAATTCAATTAATGACGTGAATTAAAATTTTTGAATCTTAAAAACTTGCTTATTTACATTCCAAACATTTTATCTCCAGGATCTTAATTATTATTCACAGTGCTAATGATCTACGACTGCTTATTATTACGTTTAACTAGATGAATGTTTAATTGCTAAGTTTATAATGAAAGGAAGTGTTCCTTCTAATTAGTATTAGACATTTTTCACCTTCGTAGAAGCAGTTTATTCTATAAAATTACTCATAAAGTCTGTCCAAGTCTGATCGTATAAAAATATTAAATTTATGCGACACCGCGCTATGACTAATGCATGCAAATTCTCATCTAAAAACGTAATAATTTTCATTATAAAAAAAGTGGATATCAGATTTTAGTTGTGTGGGTTGAAATCTATGGACATAATGACTTGATGTCTGAATAATAAATGTTAATGCGGCAACAAGTCCATAAAGATTAGCCATTTTAATAGGTGTTAATGATCGTTTAAATATTCTTATCATTGGAATGCGCTCTAATTGCTCCTGCCGTTCAATAACCGTAAATTCTGGTACTTTTTGTTTTATTATTATGCACATTTTATTGCCTTAATAATGCCAGAATATTTTTTCCAGGTAAGTGACACAAAAATTATTTTTTTGCATGAAAAATGGATGGAAGTAGAGAGAAGGAACGATGAAAGTCAATTAAAAGAACGTGTCTTACAACAGAATTAAAGTTATTTATTTTTTAAGCATGAAAAGAAGCACGCAGAGAAGCATAAAGCTGAAAGCAAATGAAGCGATAACGACGAATGGACCAGATGACATGAAATGAAGAAAATGTAAAGAACAAGGTCGCATTCTTATGTGTCCAACTTGCATGTTTGTGGTGAAACTTTGACGCAACAGTTTTCATTTCACTTTTAATGGGGTTTGTTCTTAAATGATGTCTATTTGTTGTGGGGGGTCTATTGGGGAGCTGTTATGTCTTGAAAGAGTGCTGTTAAAGCATCTTATACCTCTAAGGCTGACTTTTAGTGTTATTCAGGGTATATTTTTTTGTGGACCTGATCTGATGTGAACCTGGGTTTTGAAGTTACTCCAAAACTGCCATTAAATGATAAATAGCTTCAGGTTGGGGGCCATCTCAAAATTCCATAACTCGATGGACATCATTTAAAAACTTTCCAATTATCACTTTAATGATTTTTTGTCGCTCCAATTTTCATAAATGACTTTTTAATAGACTTCCATACCATTTCTTTCCTTTACAATTCCTTTCTTCTTCATCATCAACTTTACATTTATTATACTGTAAGAAATATCATTTATTGCTTATTGTATGAGCTGTCGCTTGTATGATATTCGTTTAATCATGAATCTCTTTAACATGTCGGCATGAAAGTTAAACGTTAATGATATTTCTTCATTGTACGATTAAAATATTAACATAACAATGAGTCGTGTTGGATATAACAATTTATATGCTTCATCAGTTTTATGCTAGAATTCTTTCTTAATAAGAATTGTCAAATTTCAGCTTGAACATGTGATTTGCATAAATAATTCAAATGATTTCCCTTAATTAATTATGTTTTGTGGATATTTTAATGGAAGCTTTTAAGTAGCGCTTATAAAATGTTTAATTGGCTTGCGGTATTCATAAATTTTCGTTAATTAAATCTGAGACAATAATTAAAGTAGATGGCAATTATTTGAGACAATTCGATAGAAACAAGCTTGCAGCTATTTTTTGTGAAGTCATTTGGACTAGACAACTGCTCCAAATTATTTTAGTAGTACTTGTTACTTTCGTTTGGCTTATTATTTTGATAATTGGACTTGTTATGTCATTGGCATGTATTTCGTTAATATTATTAGGTTGATACATGTTTTTTTGGCGAATTTTGCTGTGTAGTTGTCATATCTCTTATGGCTTAATCTGAAATTGCCTTAAGACTATGTTTGATTTTTTAGATATTAGACTTATTCTATTATTTAAAAATTACATCTACAAGCTATATCTCTAGGCACTTTTGTAAGGTTATGGGTTCTATTCCAATTTGAGATCAACTTGATTCAGGTGTCAATGACTATATCTCTGGGAAATGTCAAACACATTCCAGTAATAATTCGCTAAAATCCTTAATAAATACTTCTTAAGGGCTTTAACATTTAGTTTAATCATATGCATCACCAAATAAGTTTCAAATATCAACCAAAAATCATGATTGTCTTCAAAGAAAATCTCTAAAAGTCATAAATAAGATGATTTTATAACACATCAATAAACAAACCACAAATTTGAGGTTCATTAGAATTTCAATCATAATAATTTATGATAAACGTAAAGCTCCAAAAGAAATTCGAAACATATCAACTCAAATTTGTCACATAAGATGATAAACATTAGCATGAATAAAGATAAGCATCCATAAATATTTCCTCATAATGTTCATCCATATACATAATCCTCCAATCATTTTCTTTTTCCCATAAACAACCATTCAATCATTATTGTCACTATCAATAAAACTCTTTTCTATTTTTCATGTTTTCTTTTTTTTCGTATCTGTTGCTGACAGAAAGAGCTTAGAAAGACAATCAAAGATCAATTGTTTATTTTCTCATCATTTCTCATATATGTGAACACTTGAATCGTAAAGTGTTTATATTAAATATAATCGACACATAAAAGCGAGCATAATAGATTCGAACTTCATTGGAGGTCATTTAACTAATCAATTCTATTGTTTTCTATTTGTTGCTTGCACTAAACGATTCTTATCTCTCTTTTTTCGGTTCTTTGTTTGTTCTCATATATGGTGAAGTATGCATCGACATAGAACTTATAAATTTTTTTTGTTAATGGCATACATAATCATTATTCATTACGAGTAAATTTACTATAGAGATTGGAACTGGAGGAAGGAAGATGTGGAGAAAAAGTTCTTTAGACCGTATATCCGGATATTGTAATTATTGGTAGTCACGTGCGGGTTTGTGTAGAGACAATAAACAAAATATGTTCATTTCACGGCTTAATTGAATTTTATTTTCTGATTCTTTGTGACTTAATTTGATTTAAAGTTTGTGAAACATTTCAGAGTGAGAGAATTTTCTTTCTTCGTTTATCTTATTGAAGGTAACGAGGATAGTCACGTTTGACTATGTGATGTTGGGTTTTGTATAGATTTAATTCAGTAGATTAATCCAAAATATTAAAACTTTTCTTAAATTTTTGTTTTCTTTTGTTTACAAAACTTTAACAATTAACTTTAAAGCTCAAATTTATATGAAATTATGATGCAATTCATTTTGCTCACAACCAATTTATCATTTCCACAAATTTTATTGCTTGACAGAAGCTAATTTAATCAAATATCAATGCAAAAACTCATGATATGAAAACTTTAAACAAACCTTTCCCGCCAAATCCTCATTTCTATCTTATTTTGATTTTATAAACTCAAAGACATACTTAGCCAGTCAAGACGCATGACTTCGAACAACTTTAAGAGTTATAAAAGTCTAAAGTCAAGACTTACGATCTCACGATCCTTTTGTAAGTTGATATTTTCATTCAAGAAATTTTCCTCCTCATTCTTCAAATGCTTAACATTTCATTCATTCCATAAATAATTCAAGAGACTTTGTGACTTCACATGCTGCAAATACTGATCAATCACTTTTCTCAATATTTTAAAAATCAGCTGCTTGCAACACAAAAGCTATTTCTACATAACATAAATGGATAATTTTTATATAATTGAAAAAGACAACATCATAGATGGTGTAATGGCTAATAATTATTTATAAAGTATGTATCTCTTTTTTTCATAAAGTCCGCTCACCTGAACAAATAATATTCAGGTATAATACCGAAAATAAATTATTTTTGTAAGCAAAATATGTGGAATTTAATTATTGCATAGCTTCGCGATGATGATCATAATTTATGCCGCACATATGAAACAGATTTTATTGCGTAATCCTCAAAAAAAAATTAATTGAAGCATGATGTGCCTTAAAACTATTATTTTCATGCTTCATGAAAGATCTTAATGATTTCAAGTTGATCATCTTGATTTGCTGAGTTGGATTGTTTTTGTAGCGGCTCGTCACATTTAATTTTTTTTTTGTTAAGTGCATTACGATGATAAAAATTGACAACTCAATGAGTGGTTTCGGAAAGAGAAATTTCTTTTGTAGCATTTCTATCAATTTTATTTCTCCACAAGACCTTAAAAATCACTTATTTTTTATTTCTCATGAACATGGTATGTTAAATTAACTACTGCTGGTGTTATGTTCGTGAAAAATTTTCTTCAATTTTTTTTTCGAAATCATGGAGCAGTTAAGGTAAATTCAAAAAAAAATGTGCAACGTTACGCAAATGGTAGCATTGGGTTATGCTATAAATAAATCAGGGATTGACGGCAATAGTAAATTACAAATTGAAAGACATAAAATGTGTATAAAAATACGATGTTTGAATAAAAGCCTTTATTTAATGAGTAAATAATAAGCAATAAGTAAGATGTAAAATTATTCAAGTAAATATGTGAACGTCGAATGTAAATTGTGGATGAGCAATGAGAACTAACGAATGGATGAATTCTTGTGTTGATTTTTCTTAATGACAATAATTTATAAAAATATTATTTCTTTGTTGAATTGTAATTGGAAGAACTTTTAAATGTCAAATGAGGTTTTGGTTTGTGAGTTCTAGTTTTATTTTCGAAAATGTTCAATTTCGAAGGTTTTCGAACTATTTTTAACTCTTCAACTGTCAGATTTTGTTGGAATTTCGTCTGAAATTTTAACTTCAACTTCGAATTTTTCGAACTTAAAGTCTAGAATTTAAACCTTTGTCTGAGCATTATTATTCCTTTTTTAATAATTTGTACTTGATCTTTTGCACTCAATTCCATTTGAATATTAAATTCGTGTCTTGAAAGATCTTTTTCCATGAAAAATTGCCCTTAATTGCACGACATTGACGTCAGTTCTGTTTATGTTTCGTCAATTATTCAATTCGTATCAGATTTTGTAACTCACGCAAAAGATCTGTCCAAACTCTTTCACTTCAAATATTTTAATTAGGTATTTTTTTTCATAATTAACTGCCCAAGCATAAATTGCGTAACTCAACACGACTCCAAAATTTCTTTTTGTTTATACATTTCGCTCTTGATTTCAATCAAAATTAAGAAATTCTTTTTTGTATTTTGACATGAAGTAACACAAGTCATGGTTGCACAAGACTTCACACACTCGAAACGAACAAAAATGTTAAGCTCCATTAGTAACTCTACACTGATTTATCTCAAAAAGATACTTTAACAATATTTTTAGAACTTTCTTAATCCAAAAATGCACGTTCTAATTTATTTCTTTGCCCTCCCTTCCTTGATTCCTCTGCATGCTCAACATTATAATTTTCTTTTCTTGTTTCTTAACGCATAACTACAATAATATACAAATACACATATTTCGGGGCATTGCCTTTCTGTTATGCTTCCATGCGCTTCAACTTTAAAGAGCATGATCGCTCCACAGATTAATATGGATACTCCAAAACAAATTCTTTCTTCATTTTTCACCTTTTTTGTGCTTCACTTTTTAATTTCGTTACCTTTAAAATTATTATTATTTTTTTTTGTTCCACTTCTTGTATATTATTTATAACTTGTGCATCCAAAAATGGTTATGCAATTTTATATTTCTTGCTGTTAAGACAAAGAATTTTTGTGTGACAACATTTGTTCCTTCCTTCGATTCTCTCTATCGCGCGTACATTAAAAAATATTTTATTTTATTTTCCAGAAAACGAGAATTGTGTGTATAGCGCGCACGAAGCACCGAGTGAGACTGACTCATTGTGTTGTTGAGCGGAGAAGCGTTAGATGGAAAAGCATGAGTCGTTGTTTGGAAAAATAAACGTGTTAGAGAATCAAAAAAATAAATAAAATATATATAAAAAGATTGTTACATGTTGAATTATATATGACCTCACGGAGAGCAGCTCAACAGTCTTTTTATGCGTTACCTAAGTTGGTTAACTTCTTCTTTTTACTCTCTCGGTATGTACACGTCCATCATGGGTATATGATATAAGTACAAATTACATGAGACATTACTGTTAGGTTTTAATCGGTTTAATTTTTATGGATAAAGATTTAGAGGTTTTTTTTGAGGAGTTAACTTGATGGAATTAGTTGAATTGATGTAACATTGAGGTTAAGTTATGTAGAAACTGTTTTTATCAGAGATCGAAGCCGATTTTTTCGGCTTAACTCAATTTTTGATTTTTTTGATAGAAAAAAGCCATTTGACACCCATTTCAAGTATTTAAATTGAACTTTACATGCTTTACTATGATTCTGTGTAATATTTTGTCAGCATGTAGCTATAGTGAGCTCAGAATTTCAATTTAGCCGATTTTAAGCCGAACGGCTTAAATTTCGGCTTAAAATCGGCTGAATTGAAATTCTGAGCTCACTATAGCTACATGCTGACAAAATATTACACCGAATTATAGTAAAGCATGTAAAGTTCAATTTAAATACTTGAAATTGGTGTCAAATGGCTTTTTTCTATCAAAAAAATCAAAAATTGAGTTAAGCCGAAAAAATCGGCTTCGATCTCTGGTTTTTATGGTCAAAATAGTGAAGATGTTAACATGCACATTACTATTTTGGCTAAATTTAATCTATAGAGGAATTTGAGCTTTTAAAATCAAAAGTTTCAGAATATTCCAGGAAAACACTGTCTTATCACATTAGTACGAAGGAAAATAATGTTAATAAATTTCATCCATTCGATATCTGGGGCTGATTTCTATTGCTACCTAGGACTCTCTGCTTAAAAAATAAACTTCAAAAATAAACTATTTCTACACGAGTAGCCTTAGAAGCAGGACCTACGCATTTTACCAATGTTAACCCTGGTTGATTAAGTCAAACACTTTGCAATATCCCTGATACCCATTTTATTCAAGTCTAGACCAAAAATTCTACAAAGCCAATCCATCAAATTATTTCTCATGATTATGAACTCTAACTCTCAAGACGATTCATCTCATTTTAAGATCAGATAACATAAAAACCTAATAAAAGAATTCGTAAATGGAATAAAGATTTACTCCACTAAAGTCATTACCGTCGATTCATCATGCTTTACACTAGTTAACAAGCATCACGAGTGTAGGTGTAAATTAGAGATTTATTGATGCTTAACTTTGCCTATTCATTAAAATTTGTCATATGCCTCCAGTATGCCTCACATGATGAAGAAATAAAAAAACTTTTCTTTCCACCCTGTTTGACAGTCTTGAATTATTTTCATGCTTTCTCACTTTCTTTACTCTTTTCTGATGCTGATTTCATGTGACATAAATGACACACATATCCTACATATGAACAACCATCGATTTTGTGTAAACTATCGACAGTTGATTTGTTTTCATTAAAATTAACATTGCTTGATGGATAATAAATGAATAAAAAAAAACTTTCACAAGATCACATAGTAGCAGTAACATAGCTTTTATGAGCACATCAACATAATAGATAATGTCTGCAATGCAGCAATGTTTGAATAGATGAATTATCGATGATGCAAAATAATGCTGCAATACCTAAATTGAAAATATGGGAAGCTTTAAACACAAAAAATATGCAAACGATATTGTTTACATTCTTGATGCCATTGTGAATTGATTCAAAAGCACATAAAAATACCATGTTGAAAATTTTAATTATAGATAAAATATTAAAGCTATTATTCTCTGTGGATTAATGATTCATTCAGTAAAACCTCATCAACTCGACATGACGTTCAATGTGTCTTTTAAAACTATGCAGAAATTCAACCTTCTGGTGTGTCACGACTGAGCATTGTTTTCAATTTGTAAAGCATAATGTAGCTGTTTCGTATGGTCAATGGATGCATTTCTCTTTGTTTTAATCAGGATGTGATTACTTGGGTGGTTTGATGAATTATTTAGCATCATTCATATGTAGCTGTGTCATAGCTTGTTTATCAAAAATCTAGAGATTTTTATGATTTTGTAGCATATGATGAATTTTGTTGTATGATGTTTGAAAATAGAATTGGAACTACAATCATTGTTCATTAATAAGCAGTTGCCAGACACAGACCCTAGCGACTAGCGAAAAATCGAACACTCAGGAAAAAAATTCAAAAACTTTCACTTTAGATTTTAAAATTTGTAAATTCTAATTGAAATTTTTAAATCTAAAGTAAAACGTTTAAATTTTAAAAATTTCTTCTGAATTTAAAAATAAAGTTTTGAAATTAACAATACTCATTTTAAAAATCTAAAGTGCAAATTTTTAGATTTTCAATCCAAAATAAAACTTTTGATTTTAATGTAAAATTTTTGATTTCGAAAAATTTTGCAACTTAAAGAAAAAATTTTAGATTTAAAAGTTTTTCTTTTTGATTTTTAAAAAGAACAATTTGCAGAAATATTTGAAGAAAAACAAAACTTCGCAGAAATCATGACATCAAGTTCAACCTAAATTTCCATACAAACTTTAGATATTTATAACAATATCTTTCACATGAATGAAATTTCCACTGCCTCACAAGCATTCGTGCTTTATGTTTTTATGAGTTCTGTCACTTCCATCAACTTAATTTGGTTTAAATTTAAAGATTAATTAAATTTAAAAAATTAATCTTGAGTTTTGGGTTTAAAAGAAAAATTATTCATTTTTTTAAAGTATGAATTAAAAATAAAATTTTAGAATACAAAATTTTCTTTTAGAAAATCAAAAAATTTTTCTTTTAGAAATCTAAAATAATCCTTAGGGTTGCAAAACAAAAATTTTCTATTAGATTTTTTCATACAAATCTAAAATTCAAGATTAGATTTTTTCTTTGGGTTAACCTAAAACTTTAATAAGTCAGCAAGTTTCGCGCAAAATTCGCTACCCTTGAGTCCAAACTCTATTTATTTTTTTTTTTTGCACAACAACAGCCTAAAGATCAAAATTATAATGTACATAAAAGTTCGATAATCACATTATTCGCCCGTCAGCTAACGTAAATGTGTTTCATAAATATTTATATATAAAAAAAATTAGAACACAATGCGGATCACAAAAAGAGTTACCAACCCTAGCAGAAATTTACTAGTAATTTCCTAGTAATTCACTAGATAACTTTCCATTTGCTACTTGCTATTTACTAGTCAAAATCCAAGTTCAAATCATCGCCAAAGACCCGCATTTTCGCTTGCTATTTGACTAGTCAATTCGCTTGCAATTTAACTAGTAATTTACTAGCAAATTTGGAAAAAAATTAAATGAATATAACCGTTGATTTCCACGTGTTCTTTTGATTTTTTTTATTTGTGTAAATTATTGTAAAAGTATTAGTGTGTACTTAGTTGAAGTTAATTAAAGTACACTAACACTATGATAAAAAGCAAAAGACCTAATTTAATTAAGTCGAACACTGATGAACGCCCATGACTCGCACGCAAACCTGAGGAAGATAAATAATTAATTGAATGTCACATACAAATTTGGATCGACCTTATAAAGGTGATTTCTGCGCGCTCTTGTGAAGTATATGGCAAATGCCAAATTTAGAACAAAATTCTTTATGACGCAAAAAATTCTTTTTTTGATGATTTTTCGTAGGATTCGAACTTAAGAAGATTTAATCAAACATTTTACATGGTAATTTGCTAGTAATTTGCTAGTAAATAGCAAGTGTAATTTTTTAACAGTAAGTTGTTTTAATAATTACTAGTAAATTGCAAGTAGTAAAATAGAAAGACTAGCAATTTGCTAGTTAGTCTCGCTAGGGCAAGATGAATATTTGCAGGAAGTAAGTTGATCGTTTCTTGTTAGATTAAAATTCGTATTGAGGACACAATTTTTATTTGAATTCTATGACTAATGAAGATTAATGGATGATTTAAATCATAGATAATCATTTTGGAATTAAACAATGTTTGCAGTTCCAAAAATTGGTGTGAATCATCTAAAACTACGTTTAAAATTCTCAGAAAAATTCCAAAAAGCAATAAAATATTTTCCTTATAAAATGTAACATTTTAATGACTATTTTCAATTCCAAGAACTCAAGGTGTTATTTTGTAGCTATTGAAATTAATTACAATTTTTTCCGGTGTTTTATGGACGTGAAATTTCCACTGCATTTTCATTCCATGAATTTTAATTCTAACTTCTCGATAATCTTTGACTTCGATTAATGGGAAGTAAATTGATGACTTAGTAAAGTCGTAAATGTCATGAGATATGTAGTCAACATCAAGATTTACTGCCACCCTTATGAACGCGTTGAGAGAATCGCTTCTATTCATAGTGGTATCATAAAGTATTGAAAGAAATGATAAATAAATTGAGAATAAAATAAGTTTCGAGGAGGCTAGTTAATTATTGGATATTTCAGATATTATGTTCTATTTCGTGATCTTATTGCCTAGCAATTTTGCTGATCATTCAACCTCGAAATTGCTAAAACCTTTTACTGTAAATTATGTTCACCTCAGCTTAAACATTTAGAAGATCTATTTACGAATGTAGCATAACTCATCTGTAAAATATTTCAAAAATATTCTTTAAATTGTTTTTCTCGTCTAAAATAGCAAATTTAAACCTTTTCATATTTACATCACCATAGCCGTAAACACACCATTAGAATTTCTAAATTTATATCAAACCACATGTAGATCAACAGAATGCATGTTTGAAAAGAAGAAATAAATATCGTGTGTAAGAACTATGTTGTTTATAGTTAATTATTATGAGCAGCGAAGGTTTTATAATTTACGATTATGTAAAAAAAAAATAGAAAAAGAAAACAGAATCGGAGTGCAAGTGAGAAAAATAAATGCAAAAGAAGGTGGAAAGAATATACCGGCTTTTATTGTTTGTTTTTCTTCTTATTATTCATGTTATGGATGAATCAAGTATGCATGTCGCAAACAAAAACAGGAAGAGTTTTGAAATCACTTCAAGAGGGTGTGAAAAGCGATTTTATCTTTGATTTTATCGATTGGGTAAACCCCGTTGAAATTTGAAATTTGTGCGCTCAAATAAAAAAGAAATAAGCCCAAATAAGCCATTTAAACCAAAATTTTGTTTGCAGTTCTGTGTAAAACAGTTGTACAAACATTTCTACATCATTTTGGACAGTCTCAAAGCTTGGAGCAGCTTTAAATTTTAAAAATTCAAAATCTCATACAAAATTGTGATTTTCATATTTTAAAATATTTGGACATAACCAGTGCTGCTTGTAATCAAATCACAGTTTAAATATAAAATTTGATAATTGCTATAATGTTTCAAAAAAATTCAAGTTATAAAAATCATTGGAAGTGCTTTAAAAATTGATTTTAAAATTTCTTGATTGCAAATGTTAAAATTTGTGCGAAATTTTTTTACAATTTTTGAAATTTGTGCGCTTTTTGTCGTGGAAAGCGATGGGAATTTTTGTCAACAACAAATATTATTTACGTATGAAGTTCATGTTTTTATAGGATTTTACAAAGAATAGCATAAATGGAACTACTGAATGTCAAAAACTAATAACAGCTGATAAAAATGAAAAACGTGGATCATTTAAAATTTTAGATAAAAATAAAAAAAATTCAAAAGACTTCAAGAATATCCATACATTCAAAAAGTATATCCTATTTAGTGTTTAATTTCAGATCTTTAAATAAAAACATTTTGATTTCCTAATTCTCATCTTTTGATTGTTAAAACTCTATGCTGCATAAAATCTACAAAAAAATGAAGGAATTGCTGTTTTAATGGATGTTCCTTTGACGGTTGTAAACTCATTCAGCTCAAACTGAGTTAAATCTTGAATCTTGCATTATTTCTTGAAGAAAAGGTTTGAAACAAATCAGCTTTATTTTCTTATTTTCATTTAAAGTTTATTCAAAGTAGTTCCTTCAGCAAAAATATCAATTTCTGTTCCAAAAATATATAAATAAAATATTTGTTTACATTTAAGAATTGCAATTATGTCAAAGATTGCTATTAAAAAAACGCACAAATTTCAACATTTTTTCGCACAAATTTTAAAATTTTCCGCACAAATTTCAACATTTCATCGAAAAAGTCAAAAACCTCTTCCCATAGGCAGCATAACCTTGAAAAACATCATTAACTGAAAATTCCCACAATTATTGATCTTTTGAGCCCATTAGCAAATTTACATGATCAGTCATTAGCAACTTATTTGCAAATCAAATCTTCATGTGCAAAAACACACAAATTTCAACGTGGTTTACCCTACTTCAAAAATATGTAAATTTTAATTTTCGTAAAGTTCTAAGAAAAATTGAGAATTAAAATTTTTATGTATTTATAAAATTCAAACTAGCTTCAAATAATTTAAAGCTTGAAAACTCATAGAATTAAATCTTAATTTATTCGTTCCAGTTCTTTTGAGAAATTGTCAATTTTAATTTAAAGTGACTTACATCATGAGTAATAAGAAGTTAACAACTATTTCCTCTTTTTAATTCTTTACAATAACACTCAAGTGTGTCCAAAATGAACATTTTACCTCTTTCCTATCACAATTTCATGCATTTTGCTTTTCTTATTCAAAGTTATTCATACACAAAAGAGGAAGAAATTTGAATAGCTTTTTAAAAGCCCACTTGAATCCATATTTATGTACATTTGTGACTTTATGAATATTCAAGTAATCTTTATTCTCAAATTCAATTACTTTCTAAAGGTCTTACATGCATGTCATGAATTTATGATTTTCGTTCCTTTAGATCTTATCACGACTTTGTTCTTTTTAGTGCATTTTCGAAATGATACGAAAATTATTTTTTGTTGCTTAAGGTCATAAAAAAAATCGTTTCCAAGATAATTTCCATGCCTGTTCATCGATTTTCAATCACTTTCGTAATTCTAAACTGTTTATGGAAATCTGATAGGCAGAAAAAAGAAGAAATATGTTTGCATCTCAAATTCTTTAGCCAATTGAAGCCATCAATCATTCGAGCTTATGTTTTATGTTCGTCCAATTGAAAATCGAATGTTATCAGATGAAATCAACTTGATTAATGAATCTAATTCTGTAATTTGTTTATTACTTACCCATTTCTAGCGAGATTAAAGCACATGATTTAAATCTTCAATGTAAGATATCAACTACCAAGACATTAATTAATTTGAATAATGTTAATTTACATAAAACTTCAATTTCAATCTAATCTTTTTGAATTGAACGATTGAGCAATTAAATCTGAGAAATAAAAATTATTTCAAAGTTTACTTCAATTAATCACGTTTTACTAGAACGGTAGCACAAAAAGTAAAATAAGATCATGAAACAATAAATAATAACGAGTCTTATTTAGTAGCTTTAGCACAGATCAAAGGCGAAAATGGAACTGAGAGAATGAGACGAGATTTTTCTTCTTTTTCCTTTTCTTCATTTTCAGTCTCGTTTGTTTACCGAAAAAAAAAATATATATAAAATAAAAATGTAGAGAGACAAAAGAAAAACATTAAGGAATGGCACAGACGAATCAGAATGTCTCGGTCAGTTTTCAGAGTTGTCATTTTAAGAACGTCTGATGCTTGCTGAATTTCAAGTTGTTTCCAAATGGTTTTAGAACCTTTGAGCTGTTGATATTGTAAAAGGGTTCCAGCAAAGCAATGTATTGAGCCTGATATACAGAAAGACTGAGATCCTAATCGATGAAAGAATCTTTTGAATCATTTTGAGCACTTAGAATTGCACATGAAGCTAGTAAGGAATAAATCCTCAAAAAAAACTAATTCAGACATCCATAGATACCTTAAAATTGTACTTAGTTTCTCAAAAAGCTAATGATAGCTGTTCAACATCGATTCCACAACCTGCTAGATTTTCCATCGAAAATTGACAACACTGCAATCGCCTCAAGAATATAAGCAGACAGTACAATTCACTGGTTATTATCCATTCAATAAATTCAAATTGATTGATTTCGTGTGCAAAAATTTACACAAAACGAACGAGGTATAAAAGAATTTCTATTGTATTCCGCATCGTCTTATTTCAAACGAAGCTCTTGCTTTTTTTCTAAAAGTTTCAACTAAAATAATTTAATAAGCATTTATCTCTATATTATTTTTTTTCGTCGAGCTATAGTCTGGCGAACAAGAGTGTAGACACACACAATTGGCATTATATATAGCGCGTTAACATGATATAATTTCTACGAAAGAATGTGTGTCTATAGTACAATAATAGAGGAAGTACAAGCAGCCATAAACACCTACAATAATTTTTTTTGTTTTGCTTCACTTTCGTTTATTCTTTTCTAAAAATGATTTTTTTGTTGATGTTTCACACACGCTTCAAAAAAATCGACAGCATTAAGAGAAAGTTTTTATGCTCTCTGGGCGAGCATTGACATTAATTGCTCTCTGATGTCTAGACTTCCTGTACGAAAAAGATTCATGCTAAAATGTAAAGGCAAATAAGTAGACGCTGCAGCATAAAAATACAATTTAATCCTCATGAGTCATGACTGCGAATCTCTGTAACTTAGAAAATATCAAACAACATCCAGTAATTTTGTAAAAAAATGGAAAATGAATTATTAAATGCATCTTTTTTCAATTTAATTAATTAATAAAAAGTTTTCTTGATGTAAAAAAATTATAAAAAAATTCATCTCTTTTGTAAAGAATTAATAGCGGAGGTAGATTTACATTGTAAAGGGATGAGTTACAACATATTGTGCTTCTTTTGCATGAACTTTTCCGATACCGGTTGCTGGAGTTCCTATTAATGAAAAGAGATGATTAATTGAAAGTTAATCTACTAGATTTGCCAAAATAAGTCTTAAGTCTCAAACCTAGTCTCAACTTACCAGCAACATCTCTTCCTGAATATTTAATTCTCCTTCCACACATATTTTCAAATCTCGGTTGAATGAAACTCCATGCACCCATATTTCTATGCTCTTCTTGACTCCAAATGCAGATCTTTGCATTCTTATATTTAGCAAGTTCAACCTGAATATCATGTACGGGGAATGGACACAATGATTCAATACGAATAATAGCAACATTTTCAATATTCTTTTCGATTCTCTCATTATTAAGTGCATAGAAGTGCTTTCCACTGCATAGAATAATCTTCTTGACATCTTTAGGATTAGAAATATTATCGGGAAGTACGTTAAGGAAATGAGTTCCTGGCTCAAAGTCTTGGAATTTCGATGTTGCTTCAGACATTCGAAGCATTGTTTTCGGTGCAATTACAATAAGTGGTTTACGGAAATTTCTAAGTATTTGTCGTCTCATGGCATGGAAGTACTGTGCAGGTGTTGTTGGGAAGATCAAATTAAAATTGACATCGTCATCGTCAGGTATTGTTTCTTTTGAATCAGTCATTTGAAGGAAGCGCTCCATACGCGATGATGAATGTTCACTAGCCATTCCGTCCATTCCATGGGGTAAAAGCAGAACAAGACCACTAGCATGCATCCATTTTGCTAAAGTCATACAGAATATAAGGTAAGATATAAGTAGCAACATGTCAAGTACTTACTTTCACCACTGGAAATAAATGTGTCAAATATAATTTGAGCACCATTGTAAAAGTCACCAAATTGAGATTCCCAGATGATTAAGTTGTTTGGATTGTCAATACTCATTCCATACTCGAAACCCAAAACTGCCTCTTCTGATAAAATGCTGTTTGCAACCTCATATTTACCACCGAGACCGCCTTTCAATGAGTTTAACGGTACAAAAACTTCATTTGTATCCATATCAATCAGCATTGCGTGACGCTGTGCAAAGGTACCACGACCAATGTCTTCACCTGAGAGTCGTACATTATGACCCTGATACATTAAACTACCAAAAGCCATAGCTTCAGCTGTAGCCCAATCAATGGCATTTCCTTCAGCTAGTTTCTTTATTCTTGAATTAACGAATGTTTTCTTAAGATGTGGATGTACGTTCTATAAAATTAAGGTACGATTAAGTAAGATTATTGAAATTAAAGAAAGTTTTGATCCTTACAAATTCAGGTGGAGTATAAACTGAACTGCGTCCAATATAGCTCAATAATTCCCAGCTCATTCCTGTATCCCAGATTGAAATTGTTCCAGGTGTTTGTCCAAATCCGTCCCATTGCTTCCTAAAGCATGTAGTCTCAGGTACAAATTCTTCAGCATGAGTAAGCTCAGTTGCATAGTAATCAAATTGATGCTTCATTATTGACTTAATTTCTTCGTCTGTTATGACACCTTCTGCAATTAATTTGTCTGCATATTGATCGGGTACTGATCTAAAGATTTAATGATTTCGTTAAAATATTTATAGCTATTGTGTTAAAAAAATCTCATTTACTTTTTATCGCGGATTAATTTATACATGCACGGACTCGTCATGGTTGGATCATCGACTTCATTATGACCCCATCGTCTATAGCAATTGAAATCAATGAAAACATCTTTTCGGAACAATCTCTGGTAATTGAATGCTAATTTTGTAGCAAGTGCAACAAGCTCTGGATGTTCTCCATTAACATGAATGATTGGTGCATTTACTGACTTTGCAATGTCTGTGCAATAACGACTAGATCTAGCACGATCTCCTGGCGTTGTATATCCAATTTGATTATTAACAGCCAAGTGAATAGTTCCACCGATTTCAAAATTAGGTGTATATGTCATCATCACACATTCTTGGTTTATTCCCTGACCAGGAAGTGCTGCATCACCATGAAGTATAACATTTAGTACATTAGTTCCAAATTCCTTTGATAAATCATCATTAAAGGCTCCATCCCTTAATGATTGCTGCTTTGATCGAGTCTTTCCCATTGAAACTGGATTGACTGCTTCAAGATGTGATGGATTGGGTAACATTGTGAGATGGACTTTCTTTCCATCAAATTCGTACTCCTCTGATACGCCTAAAAAGTTGAACAAAGAATTTATAATTAGCCATTAACCATTCAAGATATTTCAATGATAAGGCATTTGTTAACAGAACTTTTATCAGGTTGAATAAGTTTTGAACAGATTTTTGCTCTCATGCTTATTTCGAGGCTTCATAAAATGCAAACAATGGATATTTGTGATAAGATAAAAGGTTTGTAAGCAATGTCAAGTTGTTGAACCAGCTGAGAAGTGGATCATGAATATAACTTACTAAAATGACTAGGAATGTCCATCATAGCATTTGAATCACCACCAAACTCTGGAAGTCCTTTGTATTTTCTAAAAATTCTTGCTGGTCGATGTCTAAATAAAGTCACTAAAGCACTCAATTTTCCTCGATGTGGCATACCGAGAACAATGGAATTAATGTCTTCGTACGCTGCATTTTTAAGTATATTTTGGAAGAATGCAACCATTGATTCAGCACCTTCACCTCCATAACGTTTAATTGCCGGTAATTTAGCATTCATAAATCTATCAAATTCTTGAAATTTAATCATTTCTGTGATGAGCGCTCGCTTCTCTTCTACTGTAATGAACTCTTTCTCTTCCATCAGCTTCTCATAATTCTCCATAAACCATTCACGCTCATATTCATCCTCAATTTGCATGAACTCAACGCTTATGTTCTCGCAGTAAGTCTCTTCGAGTTTCTTCTTCAAATCTGCAACAGTTTGAACTTGTGAACCACTAAATGACACAATTTCATCAAGACCAGCTAGTTCTCGTGATTCATCTAATCCGTAACGAGACATTTCAATCTCTGGAACTACATCCATGCCATCAAGCCATTTAATTGGATCAACTGCTGCAATTCTATGTCCATGAACTCGATACGCATTAATCCATGCATTTAAATTTGCATTCGCTTGACGCGCTGCCAAATGTGTTTGTGGAACTGAAAATTATTTTTATTTAAAAAAAGGCATTAATTTCTCTGGTTCCGCTCTCAATTTTTGAGTTGTGCGTTGTAGCTTATCACTTTTACTCTCAATAAAGATGTAACGTCACTGATCAAAGTGTGTGAAGGTTGACAAGATAATTCAAATGAAGTATAAAATGTGCTCGAAGATGATGAATCAAGCTTCTTATTTTCTCAACGGCATTGAATTTATTTTGGTTCCTTTACAAGATTATAAAGTAATAAAAATATTGAGACTTCCGAGCATCTTTTCACTGCTGGATACGTGATTAGAGGCAAAGCATTTTACTGATTATCGCATTGACCGTTCATTAATGAATATAAGCAAGTTTTATATAAATTTTTACTTCCTATCTCAATGCCGACAAGCTTAAATATTTTTGTGAGATGCCGAAAATAACAACAATAGAAAACATACAACAATATCCAGATGGTTGATAGTGGCTGTTATGTGTTGGTGAACAGCACTTGTCAAAACTAAATGTTTATGTTATTGTGATATGGAAGAAATGCTTCGGTTGGCTGTATATCTTATCTTGAATTAATTTAGTGATGGATTGGTAATTATGTGGAAATATCTGAGGTTGATAATTTTGAATAGGACTATTTTGAGGCCAGAGCTTCTCATACTTTGCTTCGTGACACGATTTAAAAATTTTGATAAGTTTCATTATTTTAGTCGACACCCAAAATTTAGACTTGACAAACTTGGCACATACGAGTGTATACATGATTTATAGTTGAGGGCGGATTTTAGACACTTGTTAATCCAGTATAGTCAAAAGAAGTATTTCATATCACGGTAATTGTTTAAGCTGGTCTGAAAAAGCACATTGAAGTTCAATTTTTGTACAGCTCATCGAACGAAAGTCTTCATAAGTCATTAACACTGCTTTAGAAGACCAAAACATTGTTAAAAATAAGCAAACATTAGCCATAGAACAAGAAAGAATACGAAAAAAAATTCTAGAACTATTTTTGGATACGATTTTTGCCACTCGTTAGAACTTTTTTTGTCAAAATTGATTTTAAATGATTTCTGTAAACTTCTTTAAAATCTCCTAAAATCGTGAATTTTCTATTGACACAATAATTAACTCAATACAAATGAAGTTGTTTTCTTAACGTCTCAAACTTATTTATTAAGACTGTCTGAAATTGTTTGCTTAAAAGGTAGAATCTTTAACAAGGAGTTCACTTAGGTGAACGAAACCTTTATTATCAATTAAACAAACCAGGAAATCCCATAACTTGATCATTAAGAACAGCAATTTTTCGATCAATTTAAATTTTAATTGAGTAATGCTATACACTCGTCACTATCATTATCTGTTCATCACACATCCTTCAGGCAAAATTTCTTGATATTCAACGCACGTCTTCTCACTTTTAGTTTACACTTTCGTCCATTATAACTTTATTCTCAAAGATTTATTTCTCTGTTTAATTGTGGCTAAAATGTTTTATTAATATTTATTCAAACACTTTAGCAAGTGCTTAACAAGTCTGATAATTGAGTTATAAATATTTTCTATTAGTAACTGCAAAATACTCTTATTGATAAGATTCCATGCGAACGTGTCAATAATTGCTGTAAAAATATTTCTTTCTGATTGCTTTTTTGAAATTTTTGTGAATTTTGTTGGAATTTTCTTGTTTGTATGTAGATTTATTAGTAATTTGTGGCTCCCCATGAAGCTTATAAATATTTAAAGAATTTGTTTAAATTACCGTTATTTTTAAATTTGAAATATATTTTTGAGGATTGAGAGGGGTGAGACACTTTTCATGAAACAGTTTAAAATGAATTTCGTCTCATTTTTTTTAAATCTGAAACCTTTGAGATGAAAAGTTCCAAACCCCTCTGAGAATGTAAACAATTTGAATTTTAACAGCCATTATTAAAATTATAGCTTTATTTTAAGACAAAATAACGTCAGTCAACTGAAATATGTATGATTGAAACCTATTGACTCAAAACCTAATTTACTAAAGGTTTCTGAAAGATTTTAGCTTCAAACCAGATTTAATAGAGTAGAAACATCCAAAATACATAACAAACGCCTTCCTATCATGTAAATATCATAACATTCCTATCTCTGATCACAGAATCTGCTCAATAAACAATCATTCAGCAAGGAAAGCAAATAAAAACAGAAATCAATGCCCTAAGAAAATCAAAACATACGAATACATTGATCTCATATATTTGAAGCACTCTGAACAGCACTCTATTTATGAATCAACAAGTTGTAACGACTAACTTGACACAGGCACATGTAAATATTTCTAAATGAGTATTTAAATTATTTTCTTTTTCTTTTTTTGGTCACACGAGGTTTACTTTTAGCATACTGATAACACTGCTTGAGCTGCCTAAAAAGGTTCAATATTGAACTATTTCCAGAATGAACGTTCACAACGCATCTCACTCAATAAATAAACACAGACACATTTAATGTCGTAATGTTTTAGTTGCATGCTTTAAAATTTTAAGCCGATATGAAGATACGTGACGTTTTAACTCCGCACAATACACTCAAATAAAAAAAATTAAAACATTTAAACTTCTTCTCCTTAAGAAATTGGGGACGTTAATGAGAAGGATAAACCAAGATTCAAAATGAATTGCATACTTTTCCACTCTTTCTTGACTCTCGGACGATAGCCATAGTAGGAAGACTCATTGTGATAACATGCGACTGAGAGTGTCTGATACGTCAAATATTTAAACTTTGTTTTATTGTATTGAACACTTTTGATTAGATTTCGGTACATGTTGTATTACTGTATTCTAATATCAGTCCATTAATGCATAAGCAATACCATAAGTCGAATTGCGTAATCTCAAATTAAATTGATTAATTCCAGCGTGTCCAAAAAATTATTTTTATGTCTTTGTTGTTGTTATTGTGTGAGATTTGAAAACTTCACAATTCTTCACATGCACTACAAAAACGCGACCGATAGCGATGAAGATTGAATACACACTGAATTGTGCTCACAGCTCTCCCAAAATATAATATATGAAAAATATTTAAAATTCTTTTTTTTCTGTGTTTTTACGCGCATAATGAAACTTATATTCACACGATGATGATATCTTCATTTATGTTTTTCTACATTGAAAATTATAAATAAAATTAGAAACGTTTTAATCCATTTTAATAATCTTTAAAAAATTAACGGTAATTTGAAATTCAAACTAAGACAATTTCTAACGTATTAAAATAATTTGAATTCAATATATGCTATAATATTTTTATAGTAAACTTTAATCGCATTTAATTCAATTATTATCATGAATCACACTATAATTGATACATTAGAATTATATCTAGGGACTTTATTAATGGTTTTATTCACGGAAGTTCATTTCGTCATTTCCAGCTACTCTAGAAGTAAAAAAATAGTAACGGAAAAAAAAAGTTCAAATCAAACTGATAACATCGTCACTAGCCCTATACGTGGGAAAAAGCTGTGTTGATTGCTGAAAGGGCAAAAAAATATTCGGCTTTTTTTGTGAATTTGTTGCTTTTATTAATTAAAGCAAATTTTTCGGATCCTGAAGTGAAGAAAACAACAAGTCATCAAAAATGGTAAGTTAATTAATACGAAATAGCTTCTAAATACATGGATTTCAATGAAAAACCTTCGAGGTTAAAAATTTGATAAACGATTTGAATTGTTTATGCATCAAAAATATCATCAATAATGTAAATATGTTAATTTTATTATAATTCCAGACGATCGGAAAGAACAATAAGATGATGCAGCATCTGAACTATCGTGTTCGTATAGTTCTACAAGATTCCCGTACGTTTATTGGAACATTTAAGGCATTTGACAAGCACATGAATTTAATATTAGGAGATTGTGAGGAATTTAGAAAAATTAAGCAAAAGAATGCAAAACTTCCTGATCGTGAAGAAAAAAGAGTTCTTGGATTTGTTCTATTACGTGGTGAAAATATAGTATCATTAACTGTTGAAGGACCACCACCTCCTGAAGAAGGTTTACCTCGAGTTCCAATTCCAGGAGCTGGTGTTGGACGTGCAGCTGGTCGAGGCTTACCTCCTCCAATGGCTGCAGCAGTTCCAGGTGGATTAACAGGACCAGTTCGAGGTAATTATAAAGATCCAGTAAAGTTTATTTTACCAATTTAACAATTTTGTTATAATTTACAGGCATGGGAGGTCCAGCTTCTGTTCATATGGCACCACAAGGAATGCCACCAAGACCTCCAATGGTTCCAGGAATGGTAGTTCCACCTAGAGGACCTCCACCAGGAATGATGCGTCCCAATTTCCCTCCTCGATAAACTGCAAAATCTGATTTCATCATAAAACATTTGAGTATAAGTAAACTTAATTTTAATCTATTCCGATTCTGTGTGTAAAGCATTTTCAATTTGAAATAAACTGGATTTTGAAATTTACATCTGAAATTGTTGTCTTCTGATTGAGACGTTTATCCTATACTGTTTGAATTTTTTCAGTTACTCTCTTTGTCATGCTGTGATAATGTGAATGCATTGATTTGTTGTGACTTATAAGTTTCTTCTAAATTTAACGATATTTGAGATTTTGAATTTTAACGTTTTCAATCATTTTGAAATTTCATGGTACTAGATTTCTTTTTATGAGTAAAAATTTCAAATTTTTGAAGGACGTTATATTTTAAATTTAAAAAAATCGTTGAATATATTCATTTGGTTTATCATTTTTGAGGAATAATTCTTGAATTCAGCATTTAAACAAAATTGAATAATAATATCACTAGAAGAATCCCAATGTGTGGATATGAAATTTCACTATTAAGTCCCGATACGAATTCTCTCTGACTCTCTCACAAATGACTATTATTATTATTTTATATTGAAAAAAAAAAGAAAGAATGAAATACGTTTGGTACGATTCCGAAATGTGAGTAAAATAATTTTGAATAAATTTCCTTCTCACATTTATTTTTTTACTGTCATATTTATTCGTCATATCTTGATGATCAAGAATCTATAAAAAAAAGGATGTTAATAAAATAGGATGTTATATAACTGAACTTCTAAGAGTCCATGACAAAAATCACGAACTGATCTAATTAAAATCCAGATCAAGTCTACTTTTAACCACTAACATGACAAAAGTATGTGTAACTCTTATATCAGCATTTCCTGATACCAAAAACAACAAATTATTTCTAAATCGATTATCGCACGTGTAAGTGCAAAGAACATCTTTTAAAAGTCAATAGCCAAGGCGCTCTAGCTTGGAGAAATTTATTTGTTTTTTTTTTTGTGGTCTTTTCATAATTAGATTTGTGTGCGTGCCAAACAACTCCATTTTACCTATGTACATAAGACCTCACCTTGACCTTGAGCCTTTGATTTGTTTTTGTTTTTTATAGATTTTTTTTTTGCTCAGCGGATTCTTGCGAGAATTTTGCATAAAATATGCCGATTAATCAGAATAAATTGAGATTGAAATGATATATTGGATATATTCAGTGATTTCTTATGGATTTCAATTCAGGTCATTTCCATTTTATTTGATTTTTTGTGAATTTAAATTTCAGAGATGAAAAAAACAAAAGAAATTTTTAATGTTGATGCATTTAGAGATTTGTATGCTGTATGCTGCATCAAAACATTGATTCAACAAGTTGGTTGCTTCAAAACATTGAAGCTTCATAAATGTTTATGTTTTGAAACATTTGATTGGTTCTTAAGATTGTGGAAATTTCACCTTTATGTCTCTGTTATCAGACAAATTAGAACCTAGATTAAAGATACTAGTCATGCTTTATATTTAGAATTGCTGTCATGAAAGGTTTCTGAAGCTAGAATGAATTGGTTTTTGGAATTAGATTATTTTTATAGTTTTGGAAGATTTAAATGAAATTTGTGTAATTTTGAAGCCATTCTGCTTTAGTAGTATTGAGGCCCCGATGTCGAATCTAAATCCAAGAGTACTGTGCTTTTTAGTAGCTCAAAAATAACCAACATGGCAAAACTATCGTCTGATTTCACAACCAAACTATTATGAACGACGGTTTAATTAATTAATTATCATCAAATTTTTATTTTCAACGCCAAAATTTCATTTCGAAGCCATCGACCGTTGTAAGTTTGTTAATTATTAATTTGTTCTATTTCCACTTGCTCTCAACCTTATTAAATTTATGGAATTTTTATGGTCGTAACTTTAATTAAATCTTCCGGTGCCATAGTTGGAAGTTAAATTAATTTTTGTACATCCTCATCATTGTCAATAAATAGATGCTGTTAATGTGAGCAGGGAAAATGATATAAATTAAAGCTACAATGCGTTTAGTTCATGTTCCATGTCTACAAACCTTTCTCTTTCACGTTAACAAGCTTTAAGAGATGAAAAAATTAATTGTCAGAGTTTTTTGCGTACACAAAATGAATCCTTAAAAGCTTTGGAAATAATACAAGAAAGCCTGACTAAGCAGCACAATGAAAGTAAAAAAACGAGAAAAAGTTTTTTCATATTTCTCGTTAATGAGTGTGGATTGGAACTGGATGCTATATCCTACAACTGTTACAATTTTTTTTCTAAGCTTCATACGCGGTGCTAAATCATCTTTATTGCTATATCCTCGAATATTTTATTCTGGTGTTGTTTATGTGGTTATTTTATGAAAATGTAGCTTGGGAAATTTGGCTTTAATTAATATTTGGATCTGCAGAGTATAAGGATTGAGGAAAGAGTCACTTGAACAGAATGCGTTCCAAACAAATGTCAAAACTTCATCATTCACTATTAGAACGTGAATTTTATGTTACAAAACCTAATAGTGCCTTGCAGCATGTCATATTGTGTGTAACACTATCCTAGAATCAACCCCAGTTATTCAGAAACGAATTTATTTCAATATTTGCTGCAATTAAATCCTAAGAAAAAGCAATAACTTGTCAAGCGACTCCATTCATTTTTAAGAATGTTGCTATAAAGTTCCATAAAGACTTTAAATCATAAATTTGCAACCTAACCATAAATTCAATTTTAATTCACAAATCGATGTTTATCAGGAACAAAACTATTAAATTCCACATCTCACCACTATACAACATATTTCCCAAAATGAATTTCACATTTATCAGACAACCGCAACCTATTTTATGAATAATTCTCGAAAGGCACAAATCAAATTTAAAATCGGATATTAATTGACATATTTGGGAGACAACAAAATCCAATTCAAAAATTAATTTTATGACAAAGGTTTGTGCATTGAAATTCCATAAAATTGTGATTAATTTCATTGGAATTAACAAATGACTTCAATTAAGTTGATGAATCATAAGAGAATTCACTAGTATATCCAAGATTTCACTGGATCTCATAAAAGGCATAGGCATACAATATACATAAAATACACACACGAGTGTTGTTTTCCAATTTATAGATAAGATAAAAAATTAAGTTCCATACTTTAGTGGTGGATGATATGTGCGTATATCGTACTTTTTATGACTCTCAATTACAACAGCATAGAATCAAAAGTGGAAGAGTTTCCCAATAATCAGCATCAATGTCACTTAATTATTCATTATATATCCTCTAATTTCATGAATCAGTAAGCAATTTTGGTACTTTCATGAATGCATCAGTGGAAACTGAATAATTTATTGAACGGATAATGCTTTTGATGCTTGTTGCCATTTTTGACGCTCCTGTTATACATACACAAAAAATATTTTACAGTTATCGCTGTTATCTAAAAAAAATTGCACTTGATTTGTGTTTGTTTTCTTATCAAAAAATAGGAGGGAAGGTGGGGAATTGTAGGAAATTTGTTAACTTAAATGTAAAGCATGGAGCTTGGGATTATTGTTTATGATTATTCTAAGAGTTGGTAACGCCATGCATCGCTTTTCCAAAGTCATTCTTTTATTTTAAACAAAATTTTAAAAAGATAAACAAATATTTGATTATTTTGCAAAATAAACAGTTTTCAGCATTAAATCGTGACAAAAGTATGTCTTAAAACATTCATGCCACTTTTTACTATTTACTTGACCACAAATGCAGGAGTAACCAAGCAAATTAAGTTTAAATTCTTAAATTCAAAACTTCAAGTGGAAAATAAAAAAAAAAATGGCGCGATATTCATGCAAAAAGTAAATAAAGCATAATAAACTAGCAATCACTCTAATTTTGCCAAGAACCACTCCGATTTCTAAAAAAACTGCTGATAAGATAAGAATAAAAAAAAGTTTTCATGTAAGCAGGTTGAGAATAACTTTTTCATGTCAGATTTCAACAGGTGCGCGACTAATTTGGACGTAAAAAAAATAAGTGCGTGTAATATTTTCTAGTCCCATATCTTATCAAGACAACGCCCTAGTGATAACACAATAAAATTGTGAAATTTTGCTATTGAGAAACCCAAAAAAAAGGTTAAAATAGTTTTAAATAAAAAAATAAAATCAAAATCAAAATGAGGTGGAAGTGGTTACTTCTGCTCTCATTAATTAGCATCTCATTAGTTGTCGCGGCAAGTGAAGAAGATGTGAAAAGTGAAACAGAAAATGTGGAAGTAATAAGTAACGATGGTGATAATAATAAAAGTAATAATGATGAAGATGATGTAAATTATGATGAGGAAAAAGTAGATGAAGTAGTGCTAAAGGATAAGATCGAAGAGAAAGTTGAGGAAAAACCTGAGGACGAGATTATTCAGGCATTAAATTCACCGGTTGATATTGCACCTCAGGATGTTGAGGAGCAAATAAACGAGGATACAGTTGATGTCGAGGAAGTCAAGCCTCAAAAGACAAAAGGAAAATACATGAATTATGATGATTATGGTGCATTCAATCTTGATTTAGGCGACCAAAGCTACGATTGGAATAGTAAGTATATTGCCCAACCCTTTAAACTCTATGAAGAAAGAAACTTAATTTATGAGGAATTTCAAGTGAAAAATAATCATTATCGCATGACAAAATATATATTTTATTATTTCTCCTACCTTCACTATCTTATCAATGGCGAATGAAAAAATAAAATATGCTTGTTGTTGGAAATCGATAAAATGACATCATTCATCACTGATAAAATTATTTTAAGGAGTATGAAACATTGACTTATTTTTTCTTCGAATAGCAATTTCTCTACAAGTGGTAGATTAAAAGCTCTTGTTATGCTATTGTGTGAATTACATAGTAATTTTGCGTTCGGACGAAAATCTTTAATTAATTTTTAATTGGAATGTTTGAGGGATGTGGATGAATCATTCCTAAGGTATTCATATCAATATGTGACGTATTTTTTTTTTTTTTATGGCCTTGCCTCTAGAGATTTTTTTTTGAGAATTTCTTAAACTCAAAGGGGTCGTTCACTTATGACGTCCGAAATTAACGGTCATTTTTAAAAAAAAAACAATGGATTTCCAGGAATTTCTATTGTTTTTTTCTTGCTGACCCCCCCCCCCCCCCCTTCCTCCCTGGACGTCATAAGTGAACGGCCCCAAAACAAATCAATCAACAGAAATCTCCATCAAAGCAACATGATTTATATTTTCATTTCAAGTTTTTAGTCAGAACTTCCAAGACAGTGAAATGAACTTTTAGTAAAACTCAATTCCTGAGTTATTTATGGACAATTCAATCAAAAAAGTTCCAATTAATAAATTTAGAAAATGCCAAACGAGGTCTAAATTGAAAAATTCATCCTTTTACCTTTTAAAAATTCTAACCTTTCTATTGAGAAATTCGTTCGGATAAAGCGAGCAGCACAAAACAGAAAATAGCTTAAAAATTCCCAACCTTTTCCCTCATTTACTTTATAAATCGGTCTTTTACGGTTCACAACACAGTCTAGGATTCATTAAATTACGCTAGTTCAACAATGGTTGTAACTTTATTTCCATAAATTTACAAAATCGTTTGATTTTAATGTCTGCATGAGCAATTTCGATTCAATACGAAAAAAAAAAAATTCAGATCGCTTGTTATAGATGCATAAACATCAATAAAGAATTCATATTATGATGTTCACTTAATTGAGTATGAGATTGAAATGGATGATTTGATTTATAATGGACGTAGATGCAGCGCATAATTGAAATGAATTTTGTTAAAAAATAATATTTATCTCGTATTTGAAAAAGAAATGAGATTCATTCTATTCGTAATCATTAGACGTTCGCATTACTCTTGTTAGACATAAGGAGATAGAGATAAATTCATAAGCTCAAATTACATTTTTTCCACAACGTTGAATCGAAATCTTATTTTCTCTCTTCATCGTGTCTCATCATTTCATTCTACACATGTATGGAATTCATATCAATGGAATGCGATATATACACACTATCTGAAGACTGATAACGATATATTTATTTAACATAATTATTATTGCTCATATATATCATATTGCATTACTACGAGATAACACTCTTTGGTTGTATTTTTGCCATTGTGTACACACGTTAAATTAAGCTTGGTTTATATGAAGGTATTATGTCTATGTGTTGAATGAATAAATAAACACATTATTTCTCTGCGGTTATGAAATCACTGAATAAACAAAAGGCTTGAGTCATGAAAAGCTATAGTGTTGTGAACTTTATCATGAATAGATGTTAGTAATACAGCCATCAAGCTTCAAATAATTTTCAGCTTGACAAGTCTATCACAATAATGACGATAAAAGCTGTGTTGAAATGGAAGTTTTTTGTTCCTTTTTATTGAAAACTATGATGTTATCTCTTTTGACTTCATTTCCTGCAGTGGTGAATGCTTAATTTTTTTTTTTTTATTTAGTTGATTCATTATAATATATTAGCATTTCTGCTTTTTTATACTTAAATTAATTTTTATAATATAGAGTAAGCATCAACATTAGGTAGTTGCTCATTACAACGGTTGTTCATTAATGAATGGTTCATTAATAAATTCTTTGAGTCTGGTTTTAAATGAACTTATAGAGCTTGCATTTCTTATGAAGTTTGTAATATTATTGTAACTTACAAGGGCCCGAATGTAAAAGTTCTGTGCTCCTAAATGAGTGTTAGTGGCTTCTATAGCAAAGTTGCTTCGATTTCTTGTACGAAAATTGTGTATTTGACTCATTGTTCTAATCGTGACATTATTTTTACAACAATTGTTAATGATTTTAAATAAAAGAATAAGGCAGCTGATGGAATAAAGTTCAGTTTTACTTGAGTACCAATCTTTTTGTAGAACTATTCATAATGCTTAATTCGTAATTTCGTTATATATTTGTGTTTTCTGTACGGTTGATTTTGAGAAATAATGAAATTTTTGGTTTTTAGGTTCTTAATATGTTTTAAACCAAAAGGCACGAAACTACGATTTTATCAAGAAATAAACAACATAATTTTCTTCCCTTTAATAAATTAAATTAAGAAAACCGTTTAAAAGTCTAATGTAGGCTTCACAATTTCAAACTCTGGCATTTTTATTCCGATTAATGTCACTAATGTTCTGTCCTGAATTCTTCATGAGTTAATTCGCACAGTGCTGTACGTTTGAATGCGAAAATTATTCTGTCCGGAAGTGCAAATGCCTTAGTTTAATAAAAAATTTAAATCTGTGCATTAATTTCAGTCACACATGTTTGAATGTCCTTAAAAAAATTCCTCATAACTTTATGGCCAATATATGCAGCGCGATAATCTTGAAATTTTTTGCAGTCACATAAAAAATCTAAATAAGATCATTTATAATTCAGATTTATGCTGACAATCTTCATTTTCATTCCTATCGTTAAACTAAAGCTCCACAGTTGTGAATGAAATATTTTCTTTCAATTGCATCCGTGCCAAAAAAAGAACGATGCTCATTTCAATTTTAATGACTTTTCAGTTTGTAATGCTTGCTTGTTTTATTGATCAAATTGTCGAGATTTTAAAATTTATTGCCAATTTTATTTTGTCTTGAAAAGTTCAATGTAAAAAGCACAATTTATGAGATTTTAGTCCATGTCACCAAGATGTCTATTACAATGAAAGGATTTTCATGAACTTGCACCCTCAATTAAATTCTGAATTTATAGTTTGCCAATTTTCATGTCAATTCCAGTTGTTTTGATACCTGAGGGTTAGGTCAGATTACAAAGTTGCATGTAATTCCGATGTAAAAAGTAATCACTTAGATTAAAAGCTTCAAAACCACTTACAGAGAACTAGTTGTAGTAAAGCTCACAGCATGCAATCATTCGGTTTACCTTAAAAATCTTTTTAAGTACATGAATGAACTTTCCATGACATAACGTCAGAAATGTTTGTTCATTGCCTTCTTTGAAGCAGTTCTTATACGTAGGTAGATTAAAAAGTTGTTGAAAAACTCTCCAGGTCTTCTCAAAAGCTCTCTCATTAAGTAGTGTGGAGTAGGTTAATTCGAAAATAGAAGAAGTGAGTTCTGCTTTAACTGTTTTGATTCTGCTGCATTTATTTTATCCACAATCCTTGCGAGGCTTCAAAACAGAGACTTCAACTTATATTTCCTTTATTTTTATTCTCTCTTCCTCAATTTCATCATATTATTATTTTTCATCATCAGAGTTGGCATGCAGGCAGCTTCATTCTTTATATAATGTGTGAAGGGCCCAGCCTTTCAGCTGGAGGCACTGCGATTCAAATTAGAACAGAATCTATTGTACCACACCCTTTAGACCTACAGTTTATAGTGGGATCCGAACCACTTGCAAGCTCTGTACATTGCAAAGACACGAGTACGTCATAAGACCTGATGAACCCTGCAATGTACCTAGTCACAATCCGTGTGCGCAAGATGCCGTAAGGAAGTCATCCAGATGCTAGTATATCCTTGTATACCTAGCAAAGGAGGCATATTCTGTGCCAAAGACATCAATACTACACCCAACACACGAACCGAGCTTCGCAACTAGAACGGTGAAATGGAAAAAGAGCTTCGAAAATTAGACATGGCCTGGGATTGAACCCAGGACCTTTGGCACGTAAGGCCAACGCTCTACCATTTAGGTCACTGATGCCATTTCACCGATAAAAATTTCATTCTTTAAGTCTGATATTTTACAATTTAGACTCTTTTATAAGTGTCTTTTTGGATCTTAAAAAATTGGCGGAAAAAGATCCAGTAGAATCAAACTATTGCCAACTCTGCTGTATGATAACTGCTATGTGGTTATTAAATAAATTGCCATCGGTCTGATTTATTTGTTATGACTCGAAAGCACTAAGATATAATATCAGAAATTGTTGTTTATATTCTCATAATGATTATTTCATTTCTATAAGATTTCCTTGAAGCTCGTTAAGTTGGAAAGTGTATTTTTTATTCTCTGTAGATTTATGGACGTGATGTTTACTAACATTGTTTGAAAATATTCGTAGTTGAGAGTCGATTTATTGATGAATTTTGTGATTATTTATCAATTTTGGACGTAAACTTTCGGAGTCTAGCTGGAGACTTTGAGATGAGCTTTTTGCAGCTTTTTCATTGAAGAATGTTTTTTATTCAGTAAAAGAATAAAGAATGAAAGACATTTCCGCACAAAATTCTTCCTTCCGTCTAAAACAGCTCATTTCCAGTTTCTTCAAAAAAAGAGTTTATTTCCTGCTTCAAATTCTAAAGCATTTGTTTCAAACTCAATTTTCCCATTCCAAAGATTTCATAGTTTTTTTCTCTGAAGATTTAAACTTTTTCTTGATAATGGAAATGAAATTATTTAGGAAGAACTCGATTGGATAAGGTTTCTTGACAAATTGGAATGAATTTAAAGGCGGCAAGTTTATTTTTAACTTCTAAAAGCATGCAAGTTTGTCAAAACCAACAGAATCTTTCTTCCAGTCTCTATTCTAGCTCTAAAGTAACTCAAATTACCACAAACTAGTCAAACCTACTTTCATTTCCAGATCCAAACAATCGCATAGCACCAAATGAGCCTCCAACACACAGAAATGATGGTCGTGGCTACACAATCACACACGAACGTCTTCGACAGATCAGAAGTAACTTTATGTACTGGTTCTTTGACAAAGGTGGTCCTGAAAATTCTGGAGATCTTCAAAGAGACATCCACGCATCAAATCAACAAGTCCATAAAAATTTCAACTTCCAGTTGCCATTCTTCGGATTCAGATTCAATTACACAAGAGTAAGTAGTATTAGGGATTCTTTTAAATTATGTCCCTTAATTTAATGAAATTATTTCAGGTCTCAATGAACGGATATCTCGAGTTCTCTGATCCACCAGAGCATTACACATATCCATTAGTTTTCCCAATTAAGGACTGGCCCAGACGCAATGATCCATCATTTATCGGTATTTTCTTCTCACGTTGTCGTATCGGTAGAATTTATCAGACTGACTGGGATCAAAGAGTTCCTGGCGTATACTTCAGGTGAGTGTCTTCATCATTACTATTGTATTAAGAACTGTAATCTCATTTAAACATCGTCAAAAGGTTTTTTTTATCCACAACTCATGCATTCACTCAATGAAACGTTATCAGAGTGATTAAAGCACAAAATAGTAAAAAATCCATAATGTTGTGAATTTTTGAGTGAATACAATGAAAGTTCTTATTTATTATATGTCATGCTTTATATTTCAAAGCATGTGAATTTTTCCTGTTACTTTTTCTTTTACAAATATTGCTACATTTTCATTCATCGCATGGGATTTTAAAGGGATTTTCAAGTTAGGAATTTAAGGAAAGAGAATGTGACGCAATTTTATTCACTTGAACTGAATATGTATGAGTTTGTGAAAATTGTAACGGATTTCAAAAATTCAAATATTGTCAATTGATGACCGATTTCAAAATCTTGAAGTTTTTAACGGTTTTCTTTAAAAATTTGAATCCATAATTTCGTTATTTAATTTCTATTACTTTCTGACATATTGAGCTTAATACCCAATATATTTTCAAATGTTGCTTCAAAAAAAAATTTCCTTTTTCAGAAGATTTTTATTCCTTCACAAATATGTGATCTTTTAGCTCTGACTGCAGAAACAAGCTTTGGTAAAAGATTAAAGAAGAAAATTTCTATTGACGTTAGACTTTTTAAGGATTCAAAAGGAAAAAAAGGGATTTAAAAACTTTTGTACTATAAAGTCCCATTTTTCCTATAAAAATAAACCATTTTCAAACTACAACCTCATTCTTAATGGAATCGTCTGCTTTACGTGATGTAATAGTAATCCTTTGAATGTATGAACTCCCATGTAAAGTATTTAAAAATTTAATGCAATTTCTATCCATTTCTGCTTAGCTTTATACATTAGCTTATCAATTGTCTGTCTACATTATGACATGTTTCAGCAGCTTCAATTATTCTATTATAAGACCATGGCCGACATCAACATTGTTTAAAAATTAAAGAACCCTCACAATGTGATTTCATAGCTTGCAGCATGACTTTGTTAATTTATTTAACAGAAATAATGAAATGAGATCTTCAAGACATGCCTCAAAGCTCTTTGCCTTACATATCGATTTTAATTTCTCGCATTCGAGTGTCTAAATGTCACAACTTTCTCTCTTTATATCCTCTTCCTTTACATTCAAAAGACAATAGCAGAAGAGCTCTTTGTCATTGTGAATAGAAAAAGCTCTTCTGGCAAATTCATCAGAACGAAATGGTTTGGAATGGCACATATCGGATGCAATTGTATGCAATTTATACGCAAACAATATAGAGAATAATGGATGATGATGTGATTTTATGCAGAACAATGATTTTTAATGAATATCTGTGGCATAAATATGTACGGACTGGATTCAGTTTGACTTAATGTATGGATATTGTCGGTTTAATTAATGCTTTGATGCAGTTTGAGTTATTTGAAGTTGAATTGAATTTTTGATCTCGAAATTCGTTAAAAATTTAAATATTTAAAAACCTGTTATTCAAATTGAAAAAATCCGTTATGAATTTCAATGATTCTTTTTCGAAAATGTCAACTCAAAAGACATACGCTCTATCCAACCACACAGCCTGATCCTTTTCAACTTTTTCCTCTCAATTTCATCCCCAAACCATACACAAGTATAACAGTTGCCATGAAAATCGTTGAGAAATTTAAAATAATTGCTTAAATTTATCATATTGTGCGACAGATATTGATAATGCGGAAATGTACAATGCGGATAAGCCAATGAAATATTTTTATGCTTTATTGGATAATTCAGCTTACTATCCGGCAACAAGCTAGGATGATAAAATATACAAAAATTACTTCCGACTGTGTAGACTCTGTGTTTCCGCAATACTCGTTGCCAAGTTCGGAAGAAAAAACAAGAAATGTAAAGTTTTATTCCACGATAGCGTAAATTCATGAAATAACTTATGTCACTATCTAATGTTTTATGCTAAATCATCGTTATTTGTTTTTTTTAAAAATTGTAAAATTGAACAAAATTCCCATGAATGCAGCCAAAAAAATTTACAAAAATATGTTTGTGCCGTAGATTGTAAATGCTATGTCTTGTCGTTCCAGTTACTAAGTGTTTTGTTCAAGAGCATTGCATATGCCGTGCTAGTCTTTCTATTCTACTACTTGCAATTTACTAGTTATTATTAAAACAACTTACTATTAGTAAATTACACTTGCAATTTAATAGCAAATTACCATGTGGAATGTTTCATCAAATCTGATTATGTTCGAATCTTACGAAAAATCATCAAAAAAAGAATTTTTGCGTCATAAAAATAATTTTTTGCGTCATAAAAAGAATTTTTGCATCATAAAAAGAATTTTTTGCGTCATAAAAAGAATTTTTTGCGTCATAAAAAGAATTTTTTGCGTCATAAAAAATTTTGTTCTAAATTTGGCATTTGCCATATACTTCACAAGAACGCGCAGAAATCACCTTTATAAGCTCGATCCAAATTTGTATGTGACTTTCAATTAATTATGTATCTTCCTCAGGTTTATTTTATTTTTTTCACAGTGTTAGTGTACTTTAATTTACTTTATCTAAGTGCACACTAATACTTTAACAATAATTTACACAAATAAGAAAAATCAATAGAACACGTGGAAATTAACGTTTATATTTATTTAAATTTTTTAAAAATTTGCTAGTAAATTACTAGTTAAATTGTAAGCGAATTGACTAGTCAATTAGTAAGTGAAAATGCGGGTCTTTGGCGATGATTTGAACTTGGATTTTGACTAGTAAATAGCAAGTAGCAAATGGAAAGTTATCCAGTAAATTACTAGGAAATTACTAGTAAATTTCTGCTATGATTTCATATCTTGAAATCAATTAATTCTCAAACTTTTATATTCGATTTAAAACCGAAATAGGTTAATATCATGTCACTTATATTTTTTGTTCCGCCTTATATTAATGAATTAAATAAAAGGAGTTTATTATCGTTAAGGACAGAAAAACTTTAAAAAAGGAAGAGCTTTTGTGAAATAAAAGCAGGGTTGCAATATGTGATGACATGTCAAAAAAATATTTCCTGTGACGCATGAAATTATGTCACACATTTTATTCTGCGATTTGTCAAACATATTTCCTGTCAAACATATTCATATGTCCACATATTTTTTCTGAAACATATTTTATGTGTCACATATTATGTTTTTCAACATAAAATATATTTTTCCCTTTTTTTTGGAATCCAAATTAGATTAAAAAGGTCCAAAAATTAATTTTCTATCAAATTTGACTCTAAGCATATCATTAATGCAAAAAAAATCAAAAAATTTATAATATTGAGTGACAACAACATTTTTTACTGCTTATTTAAAACATTTTTTAATTGTTTCTGCTCATTTTTTAATAACAGGAAAGTTTTCTTACGGTCCAAAATTGTCAAAAATTTATAAAAAAATATTTTATGTTTGAAAACATATTATGTGACAGGAAAAATATGTGGCACATGAATATGTTTGACAGGAAATATGTTTGACATATCGCAGAAAAAAATGTGTGAACATGTAAAATGTGTGACATAATTTCATGTGTCACACATAAAATATGTCTCATATATGCGCATATTCTGTAAAACATAATATTTTTTTGCAACCCTGGATAAAAGAATGGTTTGGCATTAGATCTTGACATTTTGGTCATTCTAGTAAAATTTAAAAATTAGATTCTATTTTCAAAAATGAAGTTTGTGGTACTAAGATCATTTCTACCCTATTACTATGTAAAGTACTTCCGAACAAACTTAATAACACAGCGTAAGCAAATATTTAACAATTAGTCGAGCAAACTTGTGTACACAAGCATTAAAACGGTGTCAATGATGTGAATCATTAGAGAAAATGCTCAAACATTATCGCAAGATTCAATTACTTCAGAAGTGAAAAAAAAAAATCCAATCATGTCAAGGAAGAAGCATAAAAATCCATTGAAATGAAAAACGATTTTCTTTTTACTTAAAGCATCTTTGCGGATTCTTAAATGTTTGACTCTTTCACAATAGATTGAGTTTGCTACCTTTTACATTATCAAATCAATAAAAATAAATTTTGAACCACACTTACTTGTTGCAATCTATTCTTTTCACTTCTATCATCATAGCTTGATCCTACCAACACGCTTATGTTAAAATTTTCTTCATCTTCGAAACTTCTTTTGCCTTCTATTTATATTCAAATTGATGTAAGCTAAGGAAATGATAAATAATACAAGATATGAGCGAATGTATGATGAAAATTTCTCATATGTAATAAGATGTGTTGATAACAAGCCGAAAATTGATTTTCTTCTATTTTTTCAAATGTTTCCTTCCTTATAAAGCTTCTTACAATTTTCTTTTTCTATTTTCATCACATTCATCATCTTTTCATGGATGTAAATGAAGGATATTCGGGTATATTCTATAAAAGGATTAAGAAAGTAAACAAGTCGTTCGTCCTTATGTAGGAATGAAATCTAATATCCAATTTACATCTGTCAAATGGATGAAAATTATTTGAACTTGTCAAAGTGTAAAATTTCTATTATTTTTCTTATTAGGAACTTGTTTTGAATGCTTTTCTATATATTTCAAGAATATCCTTAATATAAGTTGAGATACATACCAAAAATGTTTGAAAAGATTCAATTAAAGGATTTCAAGTTATTTTTTGAAATTTTCCAACACTTTGTGAACAAATTTAAAGATTTTTTTCATTGATTGCTTTTTTAAATTAAAATTGTTTCAAATTGTTTGCAAATTTCCACAAACAAGATGAAAATTACAAAATTGGGAATGAAGCAGATCAATTTATTCCAAAAAAATAATTAACATTGAATTCTTTGCAATTCAAATATGCAAAATCCATTGAATCATATTTTTACTCAATTACCAATCAACACTTAATAGAAATGTCACAATTTACTTTTTCTTTTATGAATTCCGTCTGTCTACATCTCAATCTTCTCAAATTTCATCATGAACATACTTTTTTATTCCTTAAAATATCAACCAGAAATGATGTAAATGTCAAGAATATTTTTTATATCATCTCATTTACATTTTTATCATTTCTCACAATTTTTCATAATATTATGATGAGAAATTCCAATTTTTTTATGCTTTATCCTTATTTTTACATATTTTCATTTTTTTCATTGTAGACAAGAACGTGATCTGATGACAAGAACAGATAGATTCGGTGTAGAAGTGCGTGAACGTGTTATGTGGGATATTCGTGAAGGTGTTGTTGGGTCTGATACGTTTGTACCTAAGCATGTTGTTATTTTAACATGGAAGAACATGAGTTTTGCTGGTGGAATTGATAATTCATTATTCAAAGTGAGTATATCCGGTTTTACTTCAAAGTTGCGATGAAATTACAATAAAATATAATGTACATCCTTTTAGACCAACTCATTCCAAATGGTTCTTGCCACTGATGAAGTTTACACTTATGCAATTTTTAATTATGCCGACATTGCTTGGTCATCACATACAGAAGCAGGTGGTGATACAACTGGAGGCGAGGGTGGAGTTCCTGCATATGTAAGTTGACCTTTTTTCACTTCCTTTTTTCCACTTTTAATGTCATTTCTTCATCATCATTTATAACAGATTGGTTTCAATGCCGGAAATGGCACCCAATCATACGAATATAAACCATACAGTCAAGCATCAGTTCTTCGTGATTTGACAGGAAGAGGATGGGCGAATGGCTTCCCGGGACGACATATATTCAGAATAGATGAGAAAATAATGCTGGGAACGTGTAATAAAGATATAGATGCGGCTCATTTACCTCTAGTTTTTGCACCGGAATCTGGAAATATGTTGGGTGGAACAATCATTAATATTACAGGACCTTGCTTCATGCCAGATGAGCGAATTGAGTGTATGTTTGACACTGAACCGATTCCTGTTGTTGGTCATTATGTGGATAGAAATCGTGCAATTTGTATTCAGCCATCATTAAAAGTTCAAGGTTATGTTCGATTAGCTATTCGTATTGGAACTGAGCCTTTCAAATGGAGAGGATGGTTCTTTGTTGAAACACCTGCAACATCTACAGATCGTATATTCTTTGAAGATTCATCTGTGCATCAACGAAGTCCGCCTGAAATCCGAATATCCTGGAATCGCTTCAATTTAACATCAAACTTTAATGCACCAATCAGAATTTCACTTTACGGCTATCGAGAAAGTACAATTCGACCTGAATTGGAATTTATTGATGTTATTGAGGAACAATTGACTAATACTGGAATTTATACAATCACACCATCACATTATCGAACAAGACATAATCCTAATAATACAGACATGCAATTTGGATTCCTTCATATTCGTCTTGTCAACCCTGAAGACTTTAATGGATTGAAAATTTCACCGTAAGTTAATTTAATTTTAGATAAATAGAGGTTTTGCAAAGCATTTATAGAATTTCCTTAATTCAACTTAAAACTTAATAATTTACGTACCTAGAAACTCACATAGAAACTTCATTTACAGAACACTTTGGTCAAAACCAATCCCCCTTGCCTGGTACTTTGGTCCACAATGGGAACGAATTCACGGCTTAAACTGGCCTCGAGCGCTTTGCGACAATTGGATGCGTTTAGATCGTTTCTTAAGAAACTTTGCTCACGAAGTTCCAATTTGTCCATGTAAACTTGACCAAGCTCTTTACGACAAAGGACGATTTATGCCTGATTTTGATTGTGATCGTGACACAAATCCAACATGTCTTCATCATCGTGGTGGTATTCATTGTGTTAGAAGTGGAACACCATCATCACAGGGTTCTGAACAGCAATGTTGTTATGATCGAAATGGGTTCCTTATGTTATCGCACGATCAAATGTGGGGATCTCGTCCTAGAAGAACACATAATATCGGTCAATTCCCATACAATGAAGCTAATAAAGTTCCTACATTATCACAATGGTTCCACGATATCCGTCCATACTACTCATGTTGTCGTTGGCAAGATGAGCAAGCTGTTGGATGTGAAACATTCCGTTTTGAAAGACGTCCATCTCAGGATTGTGTTGCATATCAATCACCTGGAGTTGCCTCTATTTTCGGTGACCCTCACATTGTTACATTCGATGGCTTAGAATATACATTCAATGGAATGGGCGAATTTGTTCTTGTACGTGCTAAAAATGGTGCGGAAGAATTGGATGTACAAGCTCGATTCCAACAAGTTCCAAGAAATATTCACGGACAAGTAATGGCAACACATCCCACATCTATTGCTGTTCGAGGACATAATTCCACAGTCATTGAAGTACGCGTTCGTCCACGAGATGCTCAATGGCGTTACCGATTGGATGTATTTGCTGATGGTCGACGTGTCTATTTTGATCGTTTCAGTTTGAAATATCAATTTTTCCATGGTGTAACTGTCTATACTCCATCATACATCCTTAATCAATCAGAAGTTGTCATTATGTTCCCATCGGGAGCTGGTGTTGAAGTTGTTGAGAATGCAGGCTTTATGACAGCTCGAGTTTATCTTCCTTGGGGCTTTATCAATAAAACACGTGGATTATTTGGAAATTGGAGTTTTGATATTGCTGATGATTTCACTCGACCAGACGGAACAGTTGCTCAAATCAATCTGAACAATTTTGAGACTGTACATCGTGACTTTGCGATACGGTGGATGTTGTCTGACAGAGAAACAGAAGGCGTCGGAGCGGGTCTATTTACAAGAGAATTTGGTCGAACAGCAAGTTATTATGCAAATGTAACATTCTTACCCAACTTTATACGAGAACCCAGAGATTTCTTGCCTGCTAATCGGTCTATTGACATTGAAATGGTAATGAGTTACATGATTTGATGTTCCTTCATTTGGTTTGCTAATATCTTTGTTGTTTAATTAGGCGCATACGCTGTGTGGTGAATCTTATCAGTGTCGATATGATTATGGTATGACTCTGAATCGGGAGATGGCTCATTTCACAAGAAATTATTATGACAGTGCTGTTAACATCCAGCGTTCTAATCAAGTGTAAGTAACATAACCTCAAAATCTTTAAATTGCTTATTTAATTTATGCATTTTAATTTTAATAGAATTTAAAATAATTGCTTTTATTCCTATAAATTAGTTGAAAACTTTATAAAATTAATTATCCAACCCCACGTGCCAAATTGATCCAAAAATTCCAAAAGCATTAAATTAACAAGCAAAATCTCATTTCGACTAGTATTGCACGAAAAATATTGACACAGAGAATTAATATTGAATGTTGAAAACACATTCAATTACCTTTCAATTTAGTGCTCAACTAAATAAATTAAATGTCTATATTTAGATGTGATGATTATTGCTCTGCGTTACCATACATTATAGAATTGAGCAATATACTCGAAACCTAATTTAACTCTGCTATTGATTTTGATAAAGAAAGATTATTTCATGATTATGTCTGTCTTTGTTTAATACTGCATAAAACTAGAGTCTGATCTATTGATTATACCATTATTAGTAGTCTGGGTTGAGCTTACAGCCAAGTATCATAAGCAACTGATCTGGGGACTTTAAAATTCATGCCTAAAAACCATCTGTGTTGGTTTCTAGAGTTTAATTACACTTTAGAGTTAGGTACCTCTGAAAGTCTTAGCAATCATCCCCCTTGCTTTTCTTTAGGATATACTTTACTCTTGTTTAAGAACTGATACCTTCGAAATCAAGCAGATATCTGATTAAAACTATATGATCTAGTTTAAAAGAATTGAATTTAACATTTCCATCCCCTTCTTTTTATATCCAGTCGAGTATTGTCATGTGGAATTCTTGAAACCCCACGTTTTGGTCGCAAATCAAACTTCCAGTTTACACCAGGTGCAGTCATAACATTTGAATGTAATGAAGGCTTCTTCCTCAAAGGTGATCGTCGTAGAATTTGTGGACTTGATGGAAATTGGGATTTGCCAGAGTATGGATATACAGAATGCTTACGTAAGTACTGCTTCCATTATTGTGTTCGATGCTTTTATTTGTGTCATAAATTTATCTTTTTCCTTAAAAATGAACATTTATTGAAGAATGCTATATCAAAATCCTATATTTTTATTATGATGTTTATAAGTCACATAATTTTTGGCACAAAAAAGAACATTATTAATATTATTTTTATGAACAAAATTATGAGAAAAAATGTTAAGAACCAAACAAATCCCTGAATGAAAATTTATAGGCGAGGTCTTCTTCGTACGAAACATCTTATGGATTGTAATATTGGTCATCGTGTTAGTCATTATGCCAATGATTATGTGCATCGTTTGCGTCGTCTATCAATATCGAAAGAAACAACTGAAAAAGGATCCAAATTATGCACTTCCGATACCACATTCACGTTCTGTATCGAAATCATCATTGAAGGGTATTACTAGTGACGTTAGTGATACTGGCGATGATTCATCAATTAAGAAAGTCAGGAATTATGATGCATCCTACAATACACATGAGCCATTGAAGCATAAACCAGCTGTGGAGTTTGATCCAGCAAAGAAAATGGATTTGGATGAAGATGACATAACAAGCAGTGAAGGTAGTTCATTTAGAGATGTAATTGCAAAAGATTTTGAATTTGTCACTATGGCTTCCTCAGGTTCTGGTCCAGGTCAAGATCGTCAAATGGGTAGACGTTCACAGCGATTGGCATCTGACTACAAGCCAATAGAAGAAGAAGATTCACGATATCCACCACCTACTGTAGATTCACCTCAATTATATAATAGCACTTACAGTCCAACATTTAGTAACCTTGATAGATCCAGTTTTGCTTCCGATCCTAATCAATCCCCACCTGTAAAATCCCCAGTCGGTGCTATACGCGTTCTTCCGTTAAATCTGCAGCAACAACAACAACAGCCACAGACATCGAGATTCTTTGGTGAACCAAGTCGCCAAGCACCATCACCACCATTGACACAAAATGTTGGTCTACCACGTGTTGCTGATTCTCGTTCAACGGAAGTTTAAGTATTTCCTGTTTTTTTTTCCGCTACTTACACCTGACATAGCATTTTTTTTAAACATTGCGGATATAGTAACTTACAAATGCATGAATTTAAAATTAATATTTTTTTTCCATTCCAAATTATTTTTTCATAGTTAATTAAGTTAAAAACTCGTTTTTAAGGCACTTTCATGAGTACATTCGTAACTATTAAAGAGAATTTAATTAAAATAATTGTAGATTAAATTTTGAAGCATGTCATTTTTGTTATTTTGTACTAGCAAACTACATAACAATTAGATAAAGTGACAATACCCACAGTAAATTTGTATTACTTACTTTATGATGTATATGCTTGTGATGTTGGTAATTCCTATGTTTTTAATAGTGAAGGTTTTTGGTTCAACGGATTTCAAAATTTCAAATTAAAAATTTAAACAAAATTGTAAGAAAAATTCAAAATTAAAATTGAGATCAATTTGAAATTTTTGAAAATTGTTGGTCAAAAATCTAATTTTTTGAAAAAAATTTAAATTCAAAATGATTTGGAAACTTAGCTTTTTGTCAATTTTACAGACATTTACAACACGAATTAATTAATTTTTTCCAAACTTAACAATTTTTTTAAGATTTTTAAAACATTAATTCAAAATCGTAATACAAAATTCCTACAATTTCACCCTTCAGACAAATCATCCATCCATCTTCCAACCCAGAAAAAAAAACTTAATAACACAAACGTTCATTTATATTGTAAGCTTTTATTGTTAATTATAAGCTCCTTAATTAGAGAGAAAAATACAAAAAGAAGAAGGATGAAGAAAAAAATTAATTAAAAAGTTAGTTGTAATAGTCATGAAACAAGATTTTATATGAAAAACCTCAATATATGAAATTTACAGACAGACACAAACACATCAAACAATAAAAATCATGAGATAGAAATGAAAGCTACAAAAAAAAGTTTTTCATTTAATGCTGTTTAAAGTTTTTACCGTTTTCAATTGGGATTTCTCATTTCCATATTTCTGTTTGCCATAAAATAAAAGGGGATATTATATGTCTTTTACAGCTATTGTGCATGTATAGCAGAGCATGAAAAACTTTCCGAATCGTTTTTCAAAAAGCGCGTTGAAAACTTTTCAATAAATTGATAAATTTTGTTTGAGGAGCTTAAGAGTTTAAGTGAACAAAGGGAAATGGAGTTAAGGGTAGCAGATGTATCTGCTGAATATCAATTTTCATTAAACTTTTTTAAAAGTTGAAATTTAATAATTTTTGAAATTTTATTTATTAAAAATAATTTCACTTTAGAATGTTCAAAACAGTGCATCCTTTGAAATCAATCCCATAAAAATCTTTCATAATACAAACCTTAAACGACCCAAAAAACTAAAATCCTTAATCCAAAAAGCACATAAAATGTTAAATTCTTTTTTAATCCCAAAATTTATTTTCCATTTCCATTAAGATTCAATTTTTTTAACCCAATTGTAAAGCAAACAACTCTTTTCACACAAATGAAAGGATTAAAAGAATTTTCATGCTGTAACTTTCACTTCCTTTTAAGCTGAGCGGATATTTAAAAATATTAAAAGATTTGTAAATGTGTGAAAAAATTCATTATTTTCTCAATTTATTTGTAATCATTGCTGCATTCTCTTTGTCATTTTTGTTCGTACTCGTTCGTACACAGTAGAGATTTTCATTAAATATGAATTTTCTGTCTGCTTATTGTTTCTCATGAATTTTGATTACTCGACATAAAAGAATGCAAGTTTACTCATCGCAATGCAATTTTCATTCCATTCTTTAGGGATGTTTTTGTGGGTTGTGTGCTCATTTTGTTAGAATATAAAAGAATTTCATTAGTTTTTAACGGTTTAAAAACATTTGAATTGAAACTTCCCACTATTATTTAAATAAGATATTTTCGTTATATTTGATTTAATTTAATTTATTTCATGCGTCTTGTTCATCTTTAATTATCATGAACATTCACCTTCGTGCTTATTTCTTCTGCTGTCCTTAATAATATCTATGCTTTTGCTTTTGTCCTTGTCGTGAAAATAGATGTTCATTTTTATGAAAAAGAATTCCATTCTTATGCTACAACATGGAAAGCAAGCTGCAGTTTCTTATAAGATATTACTTTAGTAGTATTTGCTGATAATGCAAAATGATTAATTCTACTCATTGTCTTCTGTTTATGTCCATATTTATGCATAAAAATGAACTGTCACAGAGGCAATAAGGCGCTCTCGTTCTTTAAAACTCTTTCTGTTCATGATAAGATGACAATAAATGCAGGAAAGAAGTATCTTTTGTGTACTTTTGAGGAGCAAATTGCTATTGTGCTGCACACTTCGAGCATAAATTTTGAATCTTGTTGAAAAGTTTTCTTTCTCCATAACTTGAGACTTTGAATGAAAAATAAACTTAAAACTGAATGAACGAGAAAATTGCAGCTGTTGCAAAAGATAAGCACTTAAGACAGTGAAAATTGTCTTTACATTCTTTTCAACCATCTATTTCAATAATCAGCACAATGAACAATTCCATTAATGAAGAGCTTTTACACTTGCTATGAATTTTTATTACGTAACCCATTAAATTCAATCCACCACACACTTCAAACACAAACTCACATGACGAGATTTGTTATCACATAGAATAAGCTGTTAAATTGAATGTATTTATAGAGTGTGATTGCAATGCAAGGAAAATTGCTTTTAGATCCAGGGATTTCGCTTTCGTAAGCAACGAAAATAAATTTTTATAATCAAATCGTAAATTGTATTATCTTTTTTATTGGATTGAAGAAATTTGTGCACTTCCATTAAGGTAACTGACTTTTCCAAACTAATTTGATCGAAATTGACCTTAACGTTACCGAGAATTCACTTATTTCTTTCAAATTTACAAAACTCTTGTGTTTTGTTCGTCCGATAACAAAAATAATAGGGATATCAACATTTAGGGAAATATATGTCGATTAAAGCGTTAATTATCGGAATAGAAATTGACTCCAAGTGAGAATGTTTAAAGTCAGGTAGGATAATCTGCATTGTCATCATTGATACTCAAAAAAATCACAGCTTTTAACCATGATTCCAGACATTAAGCTTTCAACCAAAATTATGCAAACGTAAAATTCTCATTATCACATTTTAAATATTCATGCTTGAATTTTTGTTACAGGTGAGCAAGAAGTAACAGCTCGAGCAGCAGGCTTTTCGACATTTATAATTATCTCGACATTCGTTCCCCTCCTCTTACTCATCATCATAATAATTTACCGTCATGTACAAAAAAAGCAACAAGAAATTGAAGAGAAGGCAAAATTGATACACTTTGAGGAAGTGGAAAGAGAGCGACAAAATATTTTAGATAAAATGCAAAAAGACTACGCGAGACGTGAGAAAGAGATTCATGAATACCTTGACAATAAATTGAGGGAAGAGGAACGACCATCAACGTCAGGCTTGTCAAAGAAGATTGATGTGCCGAACATTTTAAATTTAGATTCCGACGAAGGAACAGATGATGAGTTTTTTGAAATGCCACTGCCTCCCATTCCATTTAAAAGTCCTCGATCTGCCATCAGCGGTCAATTATCAATTATTGATAATGAGGCAATGGATATAGATACGCCATCGGTAAAATCTGCTCGATTTACAACACCGAAATTACAAAATATTTCAACAAGTTTTAAATTTCCATCTCCACCCACTCGTTTTGCTCCACCACCTCCTTTAAATTTAGAATCCAATAATGAATCTGCAACGTCAACTCCATCACCACAAGAACCAAGGAATTTTTCACCCACATCTGTAAATATTGAAGCAATTGTTCATTCACCAAATGAAGTTGCACCCCCAATTCCTGAACAGTCAACACCCAGAAGATCATCTGCTCCAATAATCGTTGAAATGACTGAAAAGTCTTTGCTGCAAAGTGATTTTTAAAAAAATGACAAATAGGATTAATTTATTAGGATATCAGAGTAATTGATTGTGATTGAATTTTGTCTTTAAGATGAGTTTAGGAATGGGAACAAATGATTTAATCATTATAATTTATATCGAAGCTTATTGAACAATTTGTTGGATTTATTTGGTAAGGATTAGTTCACTCTTTAGAAGTAAGTTGCATATTTTTACTGTATCTAAGGTTAAAATCTTGGTGCTGGTTAGGAAAATCATTATATCAAGCAGAAGTTGCCAACATTGTGGATAGGACTACAACAACAACAGGACATAATCTAATAAAACCACTTTGATGAAAACTAAAAGTATCATCATTAAAAAATCTTTGTTAAGTTTAGCTTTAATGAGAAGAATTCACTTTAATTGAAACAAATCTTTAAATAAAGCGTGTAAAATAGACTAGATTAGACAATAATAAAGCTGAAAGTTTTTGCTACAAATAAAATTTGACTATTTTGATGATTTTCACAAATCAAATAACTTTAGAACTTTCAGAAGCTATTTAATTTTCTAACATTTCTAACATTTAATAGATTTATCAATTCGACGCAGAATTATCAATGGCAAGTGTAAGAAGATATGGTATTAATGAATCAACTTTTCAGGCGTGTCAGACAAGACGATTTATGAACAAAGTTAATAAATTATCGACATGAGCTTCAATAAACTAAATTAAAAAGTTTCATAATGAAGGTAGTTCTTTATATTCCAAAGTGTGCTAGCCCGAAAAGCACAAGTCGGATAAACGAATAGAAATTCAGCACAAGGCTGGCTTGACTCTGACATGATGCTGGATTTGATTTAAGTTCAGCTCCATGCCAAAGTAACACCGGATTTCTATTCGATTAACTGGCTTGTGCTATTCGGGTAAATTAATTAATTAGTCTAGAGATAAAACAATGATTTAAACATCATCATTATGCTTGAAAATGATGATATTGAAGCATTTTAAAATCTCCAACAAAGTTTATAGTTACTGCAACTAAGTTTGGTGCATCCTATTTGCATAAAAGCTCCTTACTTCAATCACATTTAAAAGAAAATCTTTTCTTTGTTGCTAAAATGGAACTGCATCAATTTTAATTTAAGCTTCTCATTCCTATTATTGATCAATTCAGAAATCAATCTTGAAATATTTTTTAAGAATCAGAATTAAACTTACATTTATTTTAGGAAAGTTTTTGCATTCAGCACTGCTCATAAATTTCTTCAAGATATCACAAAGAATCAACAATCAAAAAGCAATAAAACTACATCAATTAGTTATGAATGAAAACTCAATTATCAAATCAATTAAAATTTCATCTTTTCATTCCTTTCTTGATTTTTATCAATACTTCTGGTTTTCTCTTCCTTCAAGTCTTCCCACAGGTCTCCTAACGAGAATTGAATTTCTTATAATTGAAATCAAATACTCAAGTTTTTTTTATCAAATAATAATAGCTCATTCATCATTATGGCCTCTAGAGAGAAAATACACAAAAATAAAAACTTATTCATCTATGATTGGATAAGAGGAAATGAAAGTTGCTATTTATGAGAAAGAAATCTTCGATAAGTTGAGTTGGGAACTAAAATGAAGTTTATTGGAAAAGTTTTTTTTTCAATATTTATGAAGATGGTATCTAAGATTTACATACAGTTGGCATATAAACTTGATCTGAGTCAAAATTGAAGTCAAAGAACTTACTGAATTTGAAAACATTTATCCATCATTGTTTAAATTCCTCAACTCATATACTTCTTTTATAATTGCTGAAATGTTCTGATTTAATTATACACAATGGAATTTAAATGCAAACTTCTATTAAGGATGTGAGAGCTTCCGAAAAAGCTTCACAATTGAACAAAAATGTTCGTTTTATGGTTTGTGGTTCCATTCATTTTTTATAATTTATCAAATGACGAAAGAAATCTTACGTAAAATTAGGAAGGAAGAACTATATGCTGCAATATTCATAGCTTTGTTAGTGCAATGAAAATGAAAATGAATGAAAACTTTAATAACAATCTAAAAATTTAATATCAGCACCATCTGCAGTGCCACAAAGAATTTTTTCCATTCATAATTTTTCTGGTTCGGAAGCTTATGAATATCTGCATAAATTATTTTAAAGAATCAAATATGAAAACCAAATAAGTCAGTTCCCATCTGCATAATGCACAGAAAATGTTTTTGTTTCTGATGATGAATAATATCCATAAAATGTATGATGAATAAAGTTTAAAATATCAAATTAATTTTGCAGCAGTGATGAATTGTTAAATATTCCTTGCATATTCAATGACACGCTTCAATTTTCAGAACCGATACGCTTTCTGTATTGCAATGCATTAACAATAATAAGTGCTTTATTGGATTTTAAATATTCTATCGGAGTTTTGTTTGTTGGCTTAAAGTATTTTAACCTAAATCTAGATGTACGTGAACGGTCATCAAAAAATTGAGTTCTTATTCGTTCTCTGATGCTGAATGTTTTTATAGAGTTTTAGAATAATTTCTAGGACTGTCAAATAATACAAATATATTGACATTTTTGAGAGCATCTAAAAAATAATATTTATTCCAGAGATACTAATACATAGGCCTATTTATGAGTAACTATGCTAGAGATGTGCCATATCAAAAAGAATATAATTTCAATCACATGCTTAAAGTTATTTGATACTTTTTTACATTAATTAAAATTTTATGACCAATAATTGAAGGATACAATCCATTAATTTGATATTTTAATGGATCCAAAAGCTCTAAAATTATTTTTATGTTTTCATACTTTTTAAATTTCAGTCAACATACGTGAATCTATTTCCAAAATTGTAAAGAAGCTATCGTAAAAATTTAAAAAATCTTAAAAATCAAAAAAATATCTTAAAATCAAGTCACGTATCATTTATGATTTTCAGAACATTTATGCCTGCGCAATTGAGATTCTTTATTAAGTGCTCATAACCTCTAAATATATCCCACAGTAACATTCCACAAGTTCTTCTTCTTCTTAAATTTATAGCATAAAGTATCATAATAAAAAGATGATAAAAAATTCCGAAGAACTTTATGAATAAGCAAACAAAATAAAAAGATCCAAAAAGGCTGAAACGAACAGCCAAAGGGGAAAAATTTGCCATTTCCAAAGCCTTAGAGAGCCTTAGAGTTTATCAAACATGAACAAAAGGATCAACAGAAAGTACAACAGAATGGGGAATAATGTCATCTTTTGTTTATCCTAAAACAATATTCAGAAAAAGTCAAAGCATTGAGAGATTGATGACTGATGGCATTTTTGGAAATAAATCAATTTAGGAAGGCGTAAAAAAAAATTTGATTTATTTACTGCCGATGGGTATGAAAATTCTCATATTTTGTGATGAGCTTTGTTGTATCTCTTATTGGATATTTGTAACAGCATTTGGCAATTTATTGACATTACCAAGCATGAATATTGGGAGTAGGATGGCTTGGATTAAACTGTGATTTTCTAATGGGAGCAATAACTGCTGGAATGTGGGAAGGAGAATATTTTCAACAAATATCATCTTCCAGCGCTTACAATCCATTCTAGCTCTTGCATACTGAATTGAAAATGCGTCACAAACAACTCAAATATCAAAACCTTGCTATGCTTATGTTTAATACCTTTTGTTATTTGTGTCATTGATCAAGGATCAAAAAATATGATCGATGAAATATTATGTGAGCTTGTAAATTGTGCCTGAAGTATTAAGGATATAAATGAAGCTGTCTTTGACATGGAAACATCAATTTTCAGACACATTTGTACAATGGCTCAAGTGACTTAATTCGTTCGTAGATACAGTCAATAAATCAATTAATAAATCGTGGTTTAAGTTTATAGAATCAAGAAGGTCTGAATTTTTCAAGAATGCTAAGGACTTCCATTTCATAATGAAAAAGATAGAAATTGTTCTTATATGCTTAACTAATCAAAAAATTGGAATAATGCCTGAAATTGTCATCGGTATCAAAAAAGCTTTCAAGTATTACCCTAGCGAGACTAACTAGCAAATTGCTAGTCTTTCTATTCTACTACTTGCAATTTACTAGTTATTATTAAAACAACTTACTATTAGTAAATTACATTATTAAAGTTCAAATCTTACGAAAAATCATCAAAAAAAGAATTTTTGCGTCATAAAAAGAATTTTTTGCGTCATGAAAAGAATTTTTTGCGTCATAAAAAGAATTTTTGCGTCATAAAAAGAATTTTTTGCGTCATGAAAAGAATTTTTTGCGTCATAAAAAGAATTTTTTGCGTCATAAAAAATTTTGTTCTAAATTTGGCATTTGGCATATACTTCACAAGAGCGCGCAGAAATCACCTTTATAAGATCGATCCAAATTTGTATGTGACTTTCAATTAATTATTTATCTTCCTCAGGTTTGCGTGCGAGTCATGAGCGTTCATCAGTATTCGACTTAGTTAAATTAAGTCTTTTATTTTTTTTTCATAGTGTTAGTGTACTTTAATTAATTTTACTAAGTGCACACTAATACTTTTATAATACTTTACACAAATAAGAAAAATCAAAAGAACACGTGGAAATCAACGGTTATATTCATTTAAATTTTTTAAAAATTTGCTAGTAAATTACTAGTTAAATTGTAAGCGAATTGACTAGTCAATTAGCAAGTGAAAATGCGGGTCTTTGGCGATGATTTGAACTTGGATTTTGACTAATAAATAGCAAGTAGCAAATGGAAAGTTATCCAGTAAATTACTAGGAAATTACTAGTAAATTTCTGCTAGGATTAATAAGATTAAGCTCAAGCATCATTCAGTAATGACTAATGACATAATTTTCATTAATATGAATCTCACAAATGCAATATTCTTCAGTTTCAGTCTTAGCCAATCTCATAACTCAATAAAATATCTAGAACTACAAGATTTACTTCTAATACTCACAAAAATATCAATCATCAAACTATTTTTGCACTTGGCACAGATCCATCAGTGTCTATATTAAATCTTGTGATCTACCTTCGTTGCCAGCCTCATTTTTCACATTGCATTGAATAGCTTGACTTCTCTTCTCCACATCATGTGGTTATGATAAAGAATAATGCTGTAATTTACTTACTGAGCCAAATGATAACAATTTATTTTGTTTTATTACCTTCGAGATTTTCTGTGCTCGTTGTTGGGGATGCTTATATAGTTTGCAGCTAGTTTTAGGTGGTTTTGTATCTTGTTAACTATTCAGGGGATGAGTTCTTGTGTTGAAAATTTATAATTTACGAAATTTAAATTTTTTTAAGTCTTTTTTGTAGGAAAGCTTGCTAAGATTGCATGTTTATTTGCATACTTAGATGATCCTACAAAACAATGAGAGCTTTTGAAAAATCCTTTTGATGTTAATTTCTCAAAAAGCTCATCGCTAGGCTACAACAGCATGTAAACGAGATGAATTTTATTCAATGACAAATTCATCTTTGAATAATTCATGACCTGAAAATGAATTTGCAGTCATAGAGTTCAGCTTACTAGAATGATTTGACAAAAATTGTATTCAGCAAGCTATAAACTGGATTTTTTCCTGTGAATTTTTAGATAAAAATTGAACCTTATACAAAGCACATATTATACATTGTAGATGTGCACAAATATTGTCAATTAAAGAAAATTCACATTTTGCTCGCTTCCATTTTTCCATCATCCTCTATTCGAATAAAACTCAACACAATTTTCAAAATATTGTTAAACATTGTTATACAACGACAAAGAGGAACAAGAAGAAAGGGAAAAATGCTATCACAAAAGCTCCATACCAAGCATACAATCAATGATAAAAATAATTTTATATTTTATGACTATCTGTGCTATTAAAAACCTTTTATTGTATATTTCAGAAAATATTAGACTCGTTATTTTCAACATGCATGCATCATAAAAAGCAATTTTGTTGATGATGAATTTTCTTTTGTGTACTGAGATGCTTATGAGATTTGAGAAATTCATTTAAATCACAGAAATAGAGACAATAACAAAGAAATATTGAAACAAACAAGAATCATTACAATGTTATGAATTTGATAGCAATTATTCAAACGCAATTGATACATTGAATCAACAGCTTCAAAATGCTCAGATTTTGTTGTCATATGAATTCATAATAAAGACTTTTCGCAGCCCCTGGAGTCCATATAAAAAAAATTTAAATTGTAAGATATAGTCATCATCATCATTCTCCCTTTCTGCTGTCCTTCCTCATCACTTCATTTCATAAATTTTACAAAATGTTCTCCCATAAGCTTTCAAGTTTATAAAAACATAATGTCAGACATGTAAATCACATGAAGGAATAACATACAGTAAGAAATAAGAAGCATGTAAAGCGACAAGGAACATAATGTGAAGAAAAGAATGATAAAAAAGAAATTTCAAATTGAGTTATATTTTCTTTTCCTAAATTTTATTCCCAGTTTGATACTAGTCATATGGGGAGCATATTAAATTAGATTATATCATTTGTTGCCTCGTGGAGATATTTATGTTATGTTATTTACTAAGTAATATGAATGATGAAAGTTTTGTGATGAAATTTGAGAAGATAAATGTTAATAAAACGTATTCTTCATAGGAAGATGTTATAAAGTGTTGTCAGAACATTGTGGAAGAGCTGGAATATATGACCATGACTTCAACTGTAAGCATCTTGAATAAAAACATTAAATTTGGATATGAGCACCTTAAATCTTTGCCATAACATAGATTCCTCATATAAATATATAAATCTCAGTCTAGAATGAAACTTAAATGCTGGCTAGTCGTTGAAATTACTTAAAAGCTATTAGAATCAGAAGTAATCCCTTACTTAAAACACATTTCCACAGCTTCTTCACCATACTTACCACACAGCCCATAAGTTGAAATTGAATGAAGCTAGTTCAAAGACTGTCGATCTATTATTCAGTATAAAAGATCCATTTGTAAATTGTTTGGAAATAATTTTCCATCCAAGATTGCAAACTTCCTCAATAAATTCAAGAGGCTGTTGCAGAACAAGGAACAAAAGTCTGCAAATCACAAGGAACAAAAGTTGTCCAATACTTACAACTGCATCATTTATAGAAAATAATTTAAAAGAAATGTTGTACAGCATGAACTGACAAGCACAATCCCTTGGGTAGATTGCTTGGATCTATTTTTAGAAATATCAAGCTCCTGTTTGCATTCACAGCAGACTGACTGAAAGGAAAATTTTCATGCACATATGCGATATTAGGAATAAAAATTTATCTTTTTTTCAACAAAAAGTTTTTTTTTATTCTTATCAATTTAAAAGCTTTTCAGTGCTACAGAATGTCTTACAATATATCTTTTCATATATAAACAAGAATTATGTAAATTTTCTCCTTCTATGTCCTTTTTTTCTTATAAATTCAATGGGATACCTTATAAACATTTATGGATAAAATAAAATAGCAATTATGGTAATATTAACAATAGTAATCTACAGTATTTAAAGATAAAATTTCATATCCTTTAAAGCTTTAGGAGAGGACGTTCCATTATCCTTCTTAAGGATGCATTTAATGCTGGTTTATCTGTGTTTCGAGTAAATATTAAATTGCTTCCATTTGAGGATCTTATTTCTTTCGAATGATTTTGAATTTTAAGGTTAAACGAAATATTTACTTCCGATTTCCATACATTATTTTTGTTATCTCAAAATAGAGCTTTTTTCTACATTTTTAAATTAGTTTAAATCTGATACGAACAATTCATGTTCGACAGACTTATCGAAAGTCTAGGGGAGTTATAATATGCACGTTCGAAAAGTTTAAATTTGAAAGAAACCGTTACAATTTTAGTGATTTTATTAGAGTTTTTGATCGTTTTAAAAAAGATTTAGCTTTATTATGCTTATCATGAAATGACTACATAATATTTTCATCTATATTTCATATAAAACTTGTTTAATTTAAGTTTTTATTTATTTCTAATTTTCGAAAATTTCGAACTGCAGGGTATGAAACTTCGAATTTTGTATGGCAGACAGACAAATAAGACATTTTCACAAGTTTACTTGGAAACTGTAACGGTCGAAACTCTTGAATTGTTCGTATCAGGTTTAAATTTAAATTTTGGACGTATAGGAGTAATTAAGGTTGTTTATGTCATAAAGTATTTAAAATGACAAGTTTTGTCATAGATTTGACTAAGTTTGATTGATTTGCAGTCATTAATAATAAAATAAGACGAAAAAATATCAAATTAAACTTAATTTTACATACTTTCTGGACAAATCTGCTCTAATTTGAATTAATTAATTATAAAATATGAAAACACCATTAGTATTCTACCTGGCAATTCCTTACATTTTAATTCTTCATAAGAACATACAAAATGAAAAATAAAACTTTTTTTCCAAAATAATTTTTTTGATTGTGCAATAATTTTTCTACAGTTATTAAATTTGATGCTACAGTTGCAGTTAATTTATATGTTTAATATTATTAAGCAGCTTCTTAAGAATTAGATATTCTCGATAAATTCTTAGTATGAACAATTATTTACCTGACTTTATTAAGTTTTTACTGAAATTTAGTTCGTTCAAAACAAGTTAAGTACATTGCTTATTAGAAACAAAATTCATTTTAAGCTGGGTTCTCGTTAAAGACACTCCACTTCAAAATATCAAATCAATGATTATCAAACAAAAATCAAAATTATAAAGGGATCGTTCACCAGTAATGTCAAAAAAAATAATTGCATAAATCGATCAAACTTTTAGTCAATAACTTAAAATTTGATCGACCAACGCAATTTTCATCAGCTCATAATCCTATAAACATAATAGCACAAAAAACAAAAATATTTCATTAATTTCCAAAATACCTGATTCATTACTTTAACAATTTCCATTTCCTAGATGAGTTGTCTTCTCCTCTTCACTCATTCTACTGAAATTCTCAAAATAATGAATCAGATATTTTGTTTTGGACTATAAAGCTGATGAATGTTGACGCGTTGACTTGACTGCTGCAACTGTTGTTGTCTGAGCCTTTATGTTAACATTTGATGGTGATTTTCGTGATAGAATCCAACACTCCATTGGCTCTGGTTTACCTTTCATCGTTACTGATCCACGATATTCAAGATTCATTGAAGCATCATGGTTCACTTCGTCGAGCAATAATCTGTTTGGGGAAATAAAAATTTGATGGATCAGCTAAAGTTTTTATAACAAACTTTTTGCTGAGATGAAAAATTAATCAAACGTAAAACTTTGACTAATTGAGTTAAAAACCATAACTGACTTGTTATAAAAACACAATTTTAAACTCTTTTGATGCCTGAATAAAGATTTATTGAAATATAAAAAAGTATCGTCTGCTGTTTCGCGATAACTTTTAACTCAGTTTTTATGGATGACTAAAGTACTTTCTTATGGAAAATCTCATAAAAAATATTTTATTAAATTAGTATAAAGCTTCAGAAATTTATTTAATAAGAAACTTTAGTCAAACAAAAGTTAAATTGAATTATTTCATGATGAATCATTCTTGATATGTTTATGCTTTTGTATCATGATACGATAAAGTTTCAAGACTTACAAATTTTTGTCAAACATTAAATATTAATATTGGATGAGATGTAGAAAATTTTACTATGAAATGCTTGATTTTATGTCTTTTTATTTATCCAAGTCATATCTTACAACTCTATAGCATATGATACTAAATTTAGAATAGTCTGATGTAATACTAAGAATTGAAAATTTGTAGACAAGAACTAGGTTTAAATAAACACAATTTAATGATGGCCATGAATGATAGTTGGTCTGTGCAAACAGATAAATAAATACGCAAGTCTAAGTTTGACTTGTCATCAAGATTAAATAGGACATGATCCTTAAAATTAAGCATCTATAATTCAACCCAAAGTAAAAGTTTCAATCTCCAAAATCCATTCTTAATCTCATCAATAAAATCACGTTCCATTACATGTCAGTGCAAAACCTTTGATATACCTTTATAGAATGTCAAGCATAACAAAATTTCACTTAAATTTATTAGATTAAAATTTAATAAAAATTTTCTGATCTTAATAGAAGGCATCCTGTATACATCTCCTTATTTATAGAATGTTAAATAATTCAGTTACTTGAACGAAAAAAGCAGCGATTTTCTATGAAAATTTCATTATTGTCGTTGATATTAAATATTCTATTCTAGCGATATATGAAATTTTTTAAAAGCCTGTGTGATGGAAGGCTTATAATGCGATAGACTTTAATGAGGAATTGTAGAAGTTTTCAAGTGTTAAGTTACAAGATCAGAAAAAAGTATTGCGGAAATTATTGTGGTTGTAAAATCCATTGAGAAAACTACTTTGATGGAAACTTTTCGCTTATGGATGGTAATTTTATTGCAAGTTTCCAATGTGAAATTTTCATAGTAAAAAGTTTTTCGAGTAGCAAAACCACATCCTCCATTAAGATAACTGGTTATGAGTTTGAAGAAACTTATTACTTTTTCATGCAATTTTCTCTTCTTTTTGAGTCATTTCTTGTGTGAATAGCTTCGAAGATAAACGAAATTTTGCTTTTTCTGTTTAATTTGATGCGAAATTCTTTTGCGTCATTTTTTTCTAAACGTACTTTTAATGCGAAATTCTTCTGCTTCACTTTATGCTTAACACATTCCTAAAGAAAAAAATATCCTCATTTTGTTATTGAATGATAAGTACATTCATATTTGCAGACAATCCAAAGCCATTCCTCATGTTAGCAACCAAATCACTTTATAAAATGAAATAAGTATGTATACCTCATTCGTAATCCAATGACATAGTCATATCAAGCGAGAAAAATCCCGTACATATTTATAGGTCAACTACAATCATTATTTCCATAATCGATAAATTTTAAAGCATAAAATCGTATTGAAATAATGCAGCATTCACCTAACAATAGCACTTCAATGTCACAAGCGAGAAGAAAAAAAATCAATATCTTCTTTCTATTAAAGATGCTCTATTTTTTTTATCCCAGCATCATTCATCGTATCTTTCAATAATTTTTCAACATAACGAGAACAAGATGGAAATGCAAGTTTTAAAAATTAATTTAACTTACTTGTAGGTCACTTCACTGACATTAATCTTGCCCTGTATTCCAGTGGTCTCCGTTCGACTTGTTATATTTACTGTGTTGCCAAATAAACAGTATCTTGGCATTCGATGTCCAATTACTCCTGTCACAACCTCACCTGAATGAATTCCGATCGTGACTTGCTGTTAATTGGACGAAAAAAATTTAAAATCAGGTAGATCCTAGACATCCCCAACCTCCCATAGACCCAAATAAATAATTGTTATACTCACAATCGGTTGATTTCCCATTTTAACGCTGTCAGCCTTATCAATCATGTCGAGTGCTAAACGTGCAATCGAAACAGCATGATTTTCGCATTCGTCTGGTAATCCGGAAACTGCCATGTATTTATCACCCACAGTTTCTACCTGTTGAGTATTTTTCACGCTTATAAATTTATTCATTCACTATTTGTGTTTGAAATTAGCCCGAAGCTGGAATTTTTGCCAGTATTTACCTTGTAAATATTAGAATTGGAGTCTGTCAACGAGTCAAATGTTGTGTAAAGTTCGTTGAGCATTTTGACAATTTTCATCGCACCTAAGGTTCAGTACAAGTATGAAAAAAGAAATTTTAGATAGAAAACAAATTACACAAATTCACAAATCAAAATCATTCATGTCAAATTCCTGTAAAAGTCTCACTCGGTCCTCATAAATTTGTTTACCTTCAGTACTTGTATTTGCCGCACAATATTGACTAAATCCAACAATTCCTGAAAAAAGTACTGTAACAATTCCATAGCGTTTTGGTGCAACAGGTCGTTGATGTCGAAGTTCATTTGCAACTGTTTTTGGTAATACTGAGTACAACAATACATCTGTCATCTTTTTCTCACACTCTAATTCTCGATACGTTTGCTGCAACTTGTCTGTTAAAATCTCTAAATTCCGTGTTAATTTATATTCCGCTTCAAATTGTTCAGACAGCAAAACCAAATCGCGTGTAGCATCATGAAGTGGGACATCAGAGATGCAAAGTCCTTTTCTGTTATTTAATTTGATAACAATGGTGATGAAAAGCGACAAAGTAGAGGATATAAAGAAGATGTTAATGTTAATTAGATTGTTTTGAGGTATGGTCACTGTTTCAGTGAATGCATGCTAATATGGATTAATTTAGGAGACTGGAAGTATTCAAATGATTTTACAAAGTTGTAAAAATAATTTTCTGAACGCACAATAAATGCAGAATTGTTTTACTGAACGTACTTTTGATGCAGAAGTTTTGCTTCACTTTGAAATATTCTCAACTTTATTAAAGACAAACGTTATAATCAAATTAAATCTAATTCCATTTCTCATGCTTTGTTGCGTGAAAATCAAAAGCCAAAGAATTTTCATCAAGAAGCAAAGAACCTTTTTGTTTCTGCTAGATTACCGAATGTCTTTAAGTTAATTGAATTAGTCGCATTGTTAATGATTTTATCTTTTACTTCAAGCACTTCATTGTCTTGTATCCAAGAGATTCTTATTTAATTTTAGCTTGAGAACATGTTCATTAAGAGACGTGAATGTTATTAGCTTAACAAATTGGTTTACGCTCTACAACAGAAGTTGATAATCGTAGAGGAGTCTTATGTATTCAATTAAATTAGTAAAGACTATGTAAATGAAACATCAAGGAAAACACAATCAGTCTGTAATTTGTTCGAAAATATTTTGATGCGCCCACAGAATGTCATAAATGTTTTGACATTTTAAACAAATGTTCGTCCTTAATAGAATGACAAAAATCGGTTGAATGTGAAAATTCTTCCCCCTTAATTAACAGAAACATTTTCTGTGTATCTTCTTCATTTCTCTTCTTCAATGAGGATGTCTTAATATGAAAAGGTTTCTTGTTGTCAAATATTTATGAAGAATTCTTAATTTTTTAAATCAGGACAAATTTGAACAATTAATTTAAATCTAATTAATTAAAGTAATTAAGTGGAAAGGAATTCGGTCTACCTAAGCAGATTTCCTGTCTGATTTGATCTAGACTACACCCAAATTATGTATAATATCAACGACATGTCTATGTCATACGTGACAAAAATAAAAGTCATTTCCCCATTAAGGTCATTGCTTTATGCGTGTGCTGTTAAAATGTCTGGCTTAAAACATTCATCGTTGGTATATTCACTTTCAATTTACATGCTTTATCGCTAAGAATAGATATAATTTATAGACGAAAATAAATGTCTTTGAAAGAAGTCATAGAAGTGCTTGCAAATTAGACGGCGTCTAAAAAAGAAACATAAGAACCTTCCTCGTGTGTAGAAATGTGAGTTCAAGGCAATACTATATTCCTAGTAAACATACAAAGTATTTTGCATAGCTAAATAATCCACACTTACTTAGTCAAGTCATCAAGATTCAACACACTCGGATAGCACTGAAACATTATCAAGTCTGACTCTTGAATGTACATCATTTGTCCCTATGAAGTTAATTGCCATAGATAAGAAGAAAGAGATTATTTAATTAGTGTACATAAAATAAAATTGCATACTAATATGAAGCAATGAATTTTCTCATTTATCTCTTAATTATACATCATTTACCTTCAACCTCATAAACATATCCTTCTCAAGCATCATGCCAGGCTTCGTTTTAAGGACATAAATTGTCGTAATATGAGATAATATTGTTCTAAATGAAAGCTGTATATGTGGCCGGATTGGCTCGAGAATATCAAGGAGATTGCAATTCTCTTCGGCTATTTTTGGTATGACACGTAACACAGATTTCCCTGCCTGCACAATGTTCATTTGTCGATTAAACATGAGATGGAATGGAAATACTTGACAGAATATTTGTGGCGATATCAAATTCTCTTCAGATACCAATTGAAAATCATCGAGTATCTCTTTCTCGTTATCATCTGAGTATTTTGTTGTGTCAACATTAACATTGTATGTATCATTTGTGGTTTTTGGAGATTTCGGGGATTTTGGTATTTTTGGACCAACTTCGGTGATTAAGAATTGGATGTGATTATGTTGAGCATTTTCTGAGTCTCCTGTTAGTGTGTCTGAGTCGAGATCGTTGCTGAAGTATTCTGTGAAAATGTCAAATATTAAAATTTTATGTTCAGGGACAGCTATTAAATCTGTTGATTTTTTTGCAAGAGTTGAAAAGTCTCACTTCAATATCAAAGCTCAAAAGGAATTATTTTAATTATGTCATTTACATAAAATATTGAAAAAGTTTTTTTATGGTTCTAAAATTGTTTTAATTACACTTTAAAAGCTTAACGAACCACAATTTTGAGACATCAAAGAGACTGAAAATTTATTTTTAGAGCAACAGAATTTTCTGCAAAATTAATTTCAACTAATGAGATGAATAAATCATGAAGAGTTGTGGAAAATTTTCGAAGAAAATCTTAATTCTATGATGGTTGTTCGCAATATTTAAAATAAAAGCAACCACAGAAACCAGAATGGTTGGATATGACCACAAAATACTGTGGATTATGTTTGCAATGAAATTTAATGAATCTGAGGAATTACTTGATTGAATAAAGCTGTAATCTTCATTAATTCAATTAATGATTCAGTTGTTGTTATGAATGAGTAAACCATGAATAATTATTATCGAGAAGTGCATTTCATATTGATAACGTTACATTTTGTATATTAATGATTTTTCTTAAACGCATTTTTATTTACATTTTCCACATCACAAGTTTATTATTTGGATTTGGCTAAATTAAGGATTTAATCAGTACGATTTTGATTCTGATCTTTAGATTTTTTGTGAGCAAAAAAGTCTTTGATCCTATTTTGCTATCATTTGTGAAGATTACCAGATATTTTCAATAAAAACTTTTTAACTAAGGGGATAACAACTTCTCATATCAATTTCTAGTTGATTTTTCTAAAACACATCCTTAAATTGACTCGAATAGCTAGTTTTTACAGAATAATACGCAAAAAATGTAAATAACGGCTACGATTTGTCAGTTCTCATCACAATGTTTGATACTTTTGTCAACAATAGAGACTATTTCTCCAGTGTGCACTGTAAAAAACTTAAACAGTTCCAGATTCAATACATGTCTGTCAACAGTTTTTGGACATTTTTCAATTAGTTATCATGATGGACGAAAAAGCTGAGTTGACTTTTTTCAGTACAACACAATATCCTTTATCTACTCATGCATTTACTTCGTTTATGTTTCATGCATATAAATTAATGTTTTTCTTATTCGCAAAAAATAAAATAAAATTGATTGCCAATAAAATCGCATGAATGGCTATGCAGCAGTTTTTTTAATTCCCATAAAGCGACTCACTTTTTTCGCATCGGTTATCCGGCACTTGAATTTCAATGTTTTTATTATTATTGTTGTTATTGATAGTAATATCATATTTATTTGTAGCATTGCATAGTATCATATTGTCATTGCTGTTTACATCCTCAGGCGAAAAGTTATTTTCAGCATCAGAAGTTGGCATAATTGGATCCCCTTTGCGTTTAATTATTTTTATATCAACTTCAACGCCATGAAGCTTTGATGCGACAGCCTGTGGAAATGTACATGTAAGTTAGTGTGCATTTAAAGTCAAAATTGATTGAAATTAAGTTGGAAGTGCTTATGAATGAAAACTTACCTTTACAATTCCAATGACTATGTATTCTAGACCGCTACGATCAGAATAATAATGTAAAATCAGTGAGCCATCACATTCTTCTGTACATCGAAACGATGGCGCTCTCATTCCGGGATATAATAAGCCTAAATGATCATGCAAGGCATCTAAATTCTGTTGAATTTAATGTGCCGGAAATTGTATTTATCGGACAGTATTTATGTGTGCAGCATGAAAATAAAGAAATATAAAGAATTAAAATTCTATGCTGTGAATTTTCGGATCACAAACAGATAAATTGCGGACGTGAATTGCCACTATGTGGCCTGGAACTTTTTATTTATCAACAAAATGACACTAAAATTCAACAGTCGAAACAATTGTATAGGGACATTCTGTGATATGTGCTCTCATGAACAATTCAATTGAAAACTTTGCTCTATGGTCAGAGGAAACAATCTCTGTATATGTATGACATGAGCCATAAAAAGTCATATTTTGAGAAGGATATGATGAATGACAGTGATATCTGAGAGAAGGAATATGACTTATTAAATTACGTGATGAAAGTTTTTGAAGATTTTTAGCTGAATCAGCTCAATTCGATAGGATAAGCTGAGTTTTTCTAAATTTGCTGAATTGAATAATCCAAATTAAGCTTAATGTGCTGAATTCAGCCACTTCATTAATATTACATATTAAGCTTTAATTAAGTTCGTTCAATGAGAATTATCCGTAAATTCACCACCTGTGCTTGATAAAAATTGAAAAAAAAAATTTAGACAGAACATCGAGTCAAAACAGTTTCACAAGCTCAGAAGAAACAATTAAAACAAATTATTTTTCAGGGTGTGAAATTTCTCATTATAATAAGACAAAAAAAAATCCTACTAAATGCTTAAAGCATCTTCGCTTTTAGCTAAGCGTGAACAACATATTATTATGCTGAATATTTCAAAAGCAGCGCCTGGAGTCACGCGAAATTGTCAGAATTTTGACGCAGCATCATTTTTCCTCACCTCATAAAAAAAAAATTAATCGGAAAACAAAAATATTTTTAAAAAGTGAAATAAATTTTAATGAAAAAAGTTTTTTTTCCTCGCTTTTTCTCTTCAATAATTTTAATATTGATTCTCCAGTTCATCAATATGCAGTTTGCGTAGGGAAAATGCTTGAGAATAATTGAATTTGCATGTTCATCAATATGATCTGTTTATTTTGCAATCTAGCCAAAATTTACATTGTTTCAAAATTGAATTATTGTTTAAGAGGCGAATCATTTTAATAAGATTGTTATTGATATCTTCAGGGAATACTTAAATTACTGACTATCGGGCTTTTGATTGATATTAATGATTAAGAATTATTAGAGCATGCTCTCAAGTTTTAATAAATTGGATCCAAATGTTGTGTATAATTCATAATTTTACCTGCAAAAAGTCTCTTGGTGTGGCACCTAATACTTGAAGAATCTTATCATATCCTGAGTCCTGGCAGTAATCGAAAAATGTTAAACCAAAAAGTTCAAGAATGGAGTCAGCTGGGATGTCTAAATAAATTAAACAAAATTTCTCATATTATTCAAATTCAACGAAAAAACTAGAAAAAGAATTTCAAATTTAAATAAACATTAGAAATGAATGAGTTTATCAACAATTATAGAAGCATACATATTCATGGGAAAGTGCACAAGCTTTCAGAAATCAATTTAAATCTCTGTCTGCTATACTTTGTGTATGAATGCACAATGGAAGCTTGTTTACAATGAATTTGCTATGCAAACAAATTTAATGTTCTTGAAACTCAAGACTCAAAAGCTTGCTTTATAGACATTTTTTGTTTGTCTGAAAATTGAAATTTATTTGGCTTAATAACTCTTAATTTTCAAAAGCTTCTTAAATTTTTCAAGAATATTGTTATAATAATTTAATTTTCAAATTTTCATAATTTTAAAAGGCATTAAAATAATGAAAGAAAAGAAAAACTTTTTATTTCAATTTTATTAGCTTCATTTTTATCATAATTCTTTTGATGTTTTTTACTTCAGTTTGAGAAAATAATCCTTAGAAACAATGGTTGTAAAATATTATTTTTAAATTTGAAAAATATGAGCAAAAACAAGTTGAAAATTGTTTGAATTTTATCAAAAGCAGAGCTCGAAGTCGACGAAATTTTGTATAGAATCGAGTCGACTTTGAGCTCTGATCAAATGGACTTAAAGTTGTAAGAATCATACTCAAAGATTTCTTCAATTATTTCAGCTTTTAACGACTTTCTTTTTTAAATCTAGAGCTCCAAGACTCAATGACCCATAACAAAAGAATTTAAAACAAGGAACGAAAAAAAACTCCCACAAAAACCAAATGAGATTTAAATTATGTCACGTTTATGCTTAAAAACGTTAGATTAAGTTTTGCTAAAATTACGTGACACGATGCAACTTTTTCATTTGAATCTTTTAATGATGCAAAGTTATCCATCGACTGTTCTAGTTTTTATTTAAATAAAGTAGAAGAAAAAGTAACTGAAAGGATTTCAATTTTCATGTTTTCTATTGAAAATAATCAGAATTAAGCTAATGAAATTTAAAATGAAGAATGAAAAGCAGAAAAATGGGAGTAAATCCAAAATAAATAAACGTGATTAAAATTGTGGATACTAAATAGCACGGACGCTTCTCAATACGAAGCAAATGCACAGTAAGATAAGATTATTATTCTATAAACTTTATTTATTATGCACAGTTTTCCCCAATTCAAATTGTTTCTTCAGTTTCGTGCTATCGAATTTTTATAGCTCCATAAATTCCCCCATTTTTGAAAGCTTTTAATGCAAAGATATCGAAAAATTTATTTTTAAAAGCATTCCCAAATGTTCATTGATAGTCCGGGGTCAATAAAAAAATAAAAGTGAAAAAAATATTGAAAATTATTATTTTTCCCAAATGACTTACTTAAAACTTCCACGGCAGCGCCAACAAGGTTGTACGTGATCTCATCATCGTAAATTTGTCTTACTAAGAATTGTCCGTCCATATTTACTTCGGCTTTTCGTCTATTATTGTAACATTCAATTACGATGAATTATTTATGGCAAGAATTAGGGAAAATAAAGGAAGTAAAATTATCATTTTGGTAATGAAAAAGTGTAATTAAGGTGAAAGGAAACCATTCATTGACTAGAAGTCCATACAAATTATGACTGCGAGTTTTGACTTTGATATGAACTTTAACATCTAAATAGAATTATTTAATGTGCTGCAAACATTCATTTAGCATCAAAATTACATTACTTTGCTCCCTGTGGTTCCATTTAATTGCTCTTAAGAATAATTCAAGAAATTTTCATGACGACCATCATGCTTAATTTCATCTCAAATTTAATTTTTGATTTCGTCTTTCGGGCATCGCATAAACAAAATTAAATGTTATTACTACATATTGTATTATTTCGTCAACATTACAGTTTGATTAAAGTTAATGCAATAATGTATCAGGGGGCTTTGACAAATCTTTTGCTTTTTGTGCGGCTCGGGATTTGGTCTTAACTTAATTTTTGGATCAAAGTAGAGTTTGGATTGATTTTTAATGAATTTGAAGATTGATTTGTGATTGAAATCGAATTAAAATTTTCTTTTTAAATATTATAGCTGAATTTGATTCTAATTGTCATTCTAGAGAGCTTAGAAAGTTTCAATCTAAATCTTTAACTAAAATCTCATCTTAATTCAAATTCAATCAAGTTAAATTGCTAAGAAAATATTTTATTTTACAATCTCTTGTGCATTAAAGCTTTTGAAACATTTTCCCTGAATATTAATTTATCTCAAGCTTGTTAAGGCTTCTTAACATACTTTGGAAATTATGAAGATAATCTCTGTTTATCTTATAAGGCATAAAATGGTAAATTAATAAACATAACATGCTTTTAAGAGATTCATATCTGATATAGCAGTTCCTCTCTTCTTTTATGTGTAACGGTATCTTCTTTTTACATTTTTTGAGGATAAAACTTTTTAATTTAAGATGCGAGTAAATTTTATTTAAAAAGAGTCTTAAGTGAGTTGGATGAATCAGAGCGTGAAAATTAAACAAGATGAGGTAAAGGAAGAAGATTTTAATTTCAGAGATAATAAGGAAATTTGTTTTTACATCTTTTTAAAGTATTAGAAATTATCTGACGATATATAAAATTTTAGAAGATACTACTAGTAATCATATAAACAAGTTATTAATCGTAATTTATCGATCTTACTTCAGATTCACATCACTAGGGATTCAACAAATCTTTATGGATTTCAAGGCACAGTTAACAAGCATTGTATTATTGCCTATAATAAGCAGCTGTTCATAAAATCTCATTATTTATTGAAAAACCATGAAAACAACCCAGAATCTTTCAAAAAGCTCAATACTGAATAAATAAGCAATTATTTTGTAAATAAGCGTGGTTTGCTAAGAAGATTTTTGTAAATATTTAAAGCAACGATCTTGCATGATTGCTAAATAATTCACCAGTTTACCTCCAATGAATCTATAATAAAAAATCTGATATTGATAAAAAAAAGGTCAAACCTTTCTGAACTTCAATCTCAAATGTAAAAGAAGTAGCTTTTACAAAAAAGTATGTAAGAAAACAAAATTCAGTGCCTTGAGGATGTTCACAAATATGTAAAATTCATGTTAAAAAATCTTGTAAATATAAAATTTTATCTCACGAGTTTCTTTCAGTAAGTCTAATTACGACAGACTTTTAATGAATATTCATGAACGGATCAAATTTTAGTGCAGCAAAGTTTGATAAAAACAAAATAAAAGTTTGAGATTGAAGATTGTAAGTTTTATCAGACTTAAGGCTGGATGATAAAGTTTTTAATAAGATTTTTGTGGTTCCGGGAAAAGAATGGAACTTTTTTATGATCTTATGTGTTTTCTAGGTTGCTTCCTAATGAAATCTATAAAATTTTAGAATTTGAAACCCCTTTTTTTGGGAACATGAGTGTATCCAGAAGATGGTTTGAATAGCTAACCTCAAGAATCCTTTAACGACTCTTTTTAAATAAAAAATTAACAGCACAGAAAATGTAAACATTCCCTTTATCAACCTAGTAAAAAACTCTTTCCACAAACAGAAAGAAAAAGGTAAACAAGTTGATACGACAAACTTCTTTTGGGTAAAACTTTTACATCACAGCATATAGTAAACATGTTTCTATTGAGTTAAATAAAGTTTTAACTTCTTGTTTTGGAAGAATAAAAAAAAGTTTGATGAGCTTGCCGACAAATTGCTTGGTTGTTTGTCATGACAAAAGTCATGAAGTCTATCTGTTCAGTTCCATTAAAACAAACATTTCACAACAAATTTAACATTCCTAAGTGACACAATTACAAAACGATTGTCTGAACTTTCTGTTTGTTTCTAGTGCAAAATTATCGCCTTTGAAATCTTAACGCAACACTAAGCACAAAACGGTACATCCTTGATGTAAAAATGGAAATGGTTATTGCCATCATCATGAATAAGACACGAGAATGAGAATGAGCATTGAATGATTTCTTTCACTTATTTTAAGGATTCTTTTTATCTTTTTTGATGCTTGGAAGGAACCGAGTGATTTTAATTGAGAATAGTTGAGATTGGAAGAATTCATCCTTAGTCTTAAGTTACTTAAGTTACACTAAAGTTAGCTCTTCAAAATAAAGAACAATGACCTCAACAAAGAAGAACTTTGAGTTCGCAGACATAATATCCTAGCAAGACTTACTAGCAAATTGTTAGTCTTTCTATTCTACTACTTGCAATTTACTAGTTATTATTAAAATAATTTACGGCCTGTTTCACTAAGGTGGATAATCCACCGATCGGATTATCCACTTTTTCAATCCGAGGATAATCCATGATTTTTTTTACTGCGTTAAACTGCACGGTGAATCAGAAAAATGGATTTGAAAAAAATAATTTTTTGACGATGGATTTCACAAAAAAAGATTATCCTAGTATCCTAGGATTATCCTAGATTATCTACATAATTAATCTAAAATGTTAAAACTTGGTCCCCCCAAGATTGAAAATTCGGATAATCTTCAGGATTATCCTAGGATAATCTAAGGATAATCCATATACTAAAATTATTTTTTCGCTATATTCACTATAAAATAAAAAGATTTTTTATCAAACTGTTCTGATTATTATTATCCAATTAATTCTACATCAGAAAAAAATTATTTGGATTTTCCACGCATCGAAAAAATAGATAATTCTAAAATGAGGATAATCCACCTTAGTGAAACAGGCCGTTACTGTTAGTAAATTACACTTGCTATTTAATTGCAAATTACTAGCAAATTACCATGTGATTTGCCATATACTTCACAAAAGCGCACAGAAATCACCTTTATAAGCTCGATCCAAATTTGTATGTGACTTTCAATTAATTATTTATCTTCCTCAGGTTTGCGTGCGAGTCATGAGCGTTCATCAGTATTCGACTTAGTTAAATTAAGTCTTCTATTTTTTTTCATAGTGTTAGTGTACTTTAATTTACTTTAACTAAGTACACACTAATACTTTTACAATAATTTACACAAATAAGAAAAATCAAAAGAACACGAGGAAATCAACGGTTATATTCATTTAATTTTTTTACAAATTTGCTAGTAAATTACTAGTAAAATTATAAGCGAATTGACTAGTCAATTAGCAAGCGAAAATGCGGGTCTTTGGCAAAGATTTGAACTTGGATTTTGACTAGTAAATAGCAAGTAGCAAATGGAAAGTTATCCAGTAAATTACTAGTAAATTTCTGCTAGGGATAATGATTCAATCTAACACAGAAGCTGAATATGATACTATACATCATAATGTACAGACTTGGTCAAATATTTTCACAAGAAATTCCATCATCAAAATACTCACTTTATCGTCTCCCATATCTCTGTTCCAAAGTTTTTCAGCACCAGCAACTCCAAAGCGTAATTCACAAATCCATACTAAATGAGTGTGTCACATGGATATATAAAAAAAAATGTGTTAAGCAAAGCATTTCACTATTTAGCACATACAAAAGATGTGCAGATGAAAAGGGTTAGCATGTACTCGTTGATGGAAATTGGCTTGATTCATATTTAGATCAAGGGCCAAAAATTGTCATGTTTGGTTTTGACTTTTTCGGACTTTTTAATTACGCGCTTCAGGTGGGTAATTTTTTAAAGAGAGCTGAGTAAATAAATATTGAAATTCATAAAACTTAGCTCGGGAGAAATAATTGAAGTGCTGATGAGTATATATAAGACAATTAAAAGACATAAGTTTCTCGTTTTAATTTTTGAGGTCCTCGAACCTAAAGAAATTGTTGATTTGTTGCCTAATTCAAGCTAGAGAGTTAGCAATTCAGTGCTTTAGTTCAAAAAATTGCAGGATCCAAGTTTTGATCCGAAAGCGATTTAACGTAAGTAAATATTTTAATTGAACTAAAACCAATTGCCACAAAATTATTCCATAAATTGCCATACCACAGAATGTCACAAGTTCCATATTTTACACGAATTTAATTTTCAAAAATATGTAAAAGTGAAGCTACTATTTTGAGCTTGTTTAATGCTCACTTTTATGCGATTTATTTCGTAATTAAATTTGGTAAAAAAATTAAATTCAATTTCATTATTTTAAGTTTTTAAGTATATCCATAACTGCATCTGAATTTATTTAAATTCAGCACATAAATGTCAATTAAATTATCAATAAAAACAATTTTCACCCATTTTCATTAGCGCTCAACAAAAACATGTGAAATTTTTATTTTTATTCACTTGATTGACTATTTATATTTTATTGTATTTCACCAAACATGATTCAATTTACTCAACGAGTACATGCTGTATAATAAAGTATTTTTCCACTCTTTTTACCATTTTTTTCTATTTTTATCTTTCCCTTTTCACGATCGGAAAATGTGATAATATTTCATATAAATTCCACTTTAAAGCACTTCCTCAATGCCGGTTTATGCACAAAATTCACAGAATGTTTACAAATTCACACATTCAAATGACATCGATAGATTCCAATGACATTAATGCAATCGATATTGATTTTTCTTTCACTGCACATTCACTTTTTACATTTTTACATCACTGAACCTGTGTGCTTCCTGACAGCAGGTAAAAAAAGAACTTTTATTCCACTAATTAAAGAATTTCCTTTGATGATAAAATTCTTTTGATCCGAATAGGAGGATATCCAATTTTATCTGCAAAATGTTTTTAAATTTGCTGCTTCTTAAAAATATTTTTTTTGAACTTTTTTTTCAATGTTCACTTTGATTAATTTTTTTCTATTTTATAAAACCTCAATTCCTAATTCCTGGCAGCACTTTAAGTTCCACGACTTATCACCACAAAGATCCAAGTATAACTGACTCAACTGTTATGATGAAACTGGCATGCAATTTCATTCATAGATTGCCAGACAATCGTGAGAGAGAAAAAAGTTTTTCATTTCAACTTCTCTAGTCCGAACACGAGAGAGTAAAAGGAATAATAAGGAGCAGCAGACAGAACGTGAAAGAAGATTAAAGATGTGTCGAATTTGACAGGAAAAGACATACGAATATGTATACATATTAAAGTGACTGATACATATTTTCTGTTGTATATTACAAATGTTGGAACTAAGAATGTAATGTGCTGTTGAGTTTCTGTTGCTTTTCAGAAACAAAAGAAAAGAAATTTATTTTTTGGAATGACATGAAATGTAAATACATCCATGCCATGTTGTAGTAAAGCTTAACATTCAGAAAAATTCATGTAAAATAGAAACAAGGAATTTTTGGAAGACATAAGAAGTGGAACAGACTGAACAACAACGTCAAGGTTTTTGAGGTTGTGGTTTTTGGTGAAGGGTAATTTTTTGGATTTTGAGTAGCTAGTTCATGCAATTTACTGAGCAGAAGGAGCACGCTGACATAAAAATAAAACTTTACGGATCTTTTTTTGGTTGGATCTCCTTTTAACTGTAGCTCTAGGTTTTAATATTAAGCTGTAGTGAATCTACGCAGAATTAAAGGACTTCAATCATAAAATCATTCGTAATGCTCAGCTATGGATTTGTAAGTTCTTTTTTTATCTGGAGATGTAAATGACTGACAACATTAAGCTTAGCTATCTTCAACAAAGCATTAAACATGATCAAACTGACACATTAAATCCATTTCTTTAATCCAAACCTCCCTAATCAATCAGATTTTCAGACTTCTACTTTAAAATATCATTTTTACAATTGAGTACATTCTTGTGTATGGTGAACGACCTGAGGGAAGGAAGAAATGAGAAGCAATTCAAGTTGAACATTCTTCGTATTCGTATCAAATTTCAGGAAGGAAATTTTCTTGAGAAATCTTTCTTGAAATATTTTCTTTTTCAATAAATTAAAGTGATTCTTAAGCATTATCTCTTCCTTGAGATTTAATTTTGTGGAATTTCATGAGTATCTCAAGTTCTCAGACGTTTTATTTGAATGTCAAGGCTACGGAAGATGATTTTGTTTGGCTGAATGATTTGCTAAAGTGAACATTTATTTATAAAATAATATTAACAAGTGTTGGTATGATGATTATGAATCTGTTTATGTCCATTGGATGTAATAAAATGACATTTTGAGGATTGTAGGATGCATATATCAACATCCAGTTGAGCGAAATATTATTTTTAAATATTAACATTTTTATTGAATGTATCAAGTCAATTTTTCATGTCTTCCTTAAATTTCAATCAGCACCGCAATTCGGAATAGAAACTTAAAATGTGTAAACACAGCCCAGCATTGACAAGACTTTCAATTAAAAGTTTCATGTTAAATTAAAAAGAACTTCCATTTGTTTGCACACAATGGAGGTAGAAAAACTTGTGGATGAAATAGTTTGTATCATGAAATTTTACGTGCAGCTTAATAAGTATTCACTCAAATGAATGAATGAATGAATAAGGAAAAGTTTTTCATTTTGTATTGGAATTTAATTACCTGTTGAGTGGCACTTTTAACTATAATTTGCTGACAAAATGGAATGCCTGTGGATGTTAAAATTGAAATAGAAATGGCACTAAACAGGAATTCTTACGCAATAAATAGAAATTCGATTTTTCTTGCACTTCAATGGCTTCAATTCAGTCATTCTTAATAATAGATGTTTTCTACACTAGCTAGTTCATGTGTAGACACGGCAGTGAGAAAGTCATTTAATGGATTTTATATTTGATTGCTTTTTTGAGGAAATAATTGAAACAATTGAGCGAAGTGGATTAAGATCACGTCAAAGCCGTCAAAATGTGATTGATCAATTGGATGCAATTATTACTGGATGTAGTGCAGGTGATTTTTGACCTCATTTTGTGCCTATAAATAAATTTAATTGTTACTTCCACAAAATAATTCGACAATAAAAGGGCAAAATGTCTCTCACGAGGAAACAAGTCGTTTAGCTGTTGAAGCAGCAATAAAATTTCATCGAAACAATAAAAGTCAAAATTCAGAGGTAGATGGGAGCTGGGCAATTTACATTATTTTAATAGCTTTTCCATCTTTTTTTCTGTACCTTCGCCATCACATTCAATTTGCTTCCACTTATGTTATTGCTATAAAATTGTTGTGTACGTAGGACACGAAAAAGTTTTGTTTTTAAAGCATAGAAAATGTAGATGTAATAAACAACAGAAATGTAGGTTGGGAAATTTTAATATTGCTATCGTATGTAGATAATGGAAGTTCATGAACTTCCTAATAGCTCTTGCTTACATTTTGGAATTAGAAAGTTGAGCATGTAACAAAAAAGTGATAATTTGGTGCTGCAGGTTTTTCATTTTGTTACAGACTAGATTTATATTTACTTTTTTGCTTAATTACATGTTGAATTAAATTATAAAGCAATTAAAGATATAAAATGGGAATATAGGAAGAGGTTTCTGAACATTTTCATTGATTTTAATTAATTTTGGATCACATTAGGCATAAATGATATGCTAGGTGAATGTAAGAATGAATTAGGTCCGAATTGTCTTAAGGGGCCGTTCACTTATTACGTTCGCATTTTAGGGGGGAGGGGGTTTTGAAAAATTGTAACAAAATGTAACATAGGGGGGGGGGGAATTTGTTTATAAATTCACAACAAAAACATTTTTTTAAATTTTCCTCCTTTTTAATGATAAAATAAATTATGAACGTTCAGGGGGGTGGGGGTTGTGAGTTTTAACATATTGCAACAATGGTGGGAGGGGGGGTGAAAAAAGTCGAAACGTAATAAGTGAATGGCTCCTAATGTGAAATGATGAAGTTCAAAAATAGAGCTTGCTATAAAATACTTAACCTGAAAATCAAGATAATATATCCACAACTCAAAACTTTATACTGCTTTATACATCCACACTGCCTCATGATTTATTTCCTCACAAATAAATTTAAATTATTCTTTTATTTCATTAATTTTCAATTTACCGCAAGATTTGCAAAATGGGAAAGTACCACAATGTTCTCTACGTAGCAATGAAAATCTCTTGGAACTGGGGAATGAGCGACTCGATTGTCATTTGCGAATTATTAAGTATAAAAAATATATTTTTATTTAAATTTTAATTGTGTCTTAATAATTTTGAAAAGCTGAAATTTATGAATGTGAACAGACTTTTGAAAGGATATTCCTTGGAGCTATTTTCGGTACGAATGCACCATACTTTATAGCTGGATGGCGAAGTGATTTTAAAGATCAAGTAAGAACATTTGCATTTTTTGTAGATGTAAATTGTATTATATATTTTGCTGCATTTCCAGGATGAAAATTCTCGTGCACTTGTTTTCTTTCTGCACCACGCCTGTCAACAACAATTGCATTTTGAAATAAATGGAGAAAATGTTCCGTGAGATGAAATTTAATCAAGATTATTTCATGAAGATTTTTTCAAACAAATTTTATTTTTTTAACATTTTAGTTTTATTGACGTTCCAATTGAGTCGTGTGGAAAATCATCTCCGCTTCGCGTAAGCTTGCAAGCGACAGCGCCTGACATTCTCTTAATACTTCTACGGTATGGTGCCAATCCGATCCCGAATGACAGTGGTATTTCTCCAGCATTAGCATTACTTGATAAACTTTCTGAATACAATGAGAGTGCATCGTATCCTTATCAACTAGTTTCATGCTTTAAAATATTAATGCTCACGATTCCATTTATTGTGCTGCCGTTTATTGTAAGCGATTGATTTTGTAAAGTTAAATGTCTACTATTTGAACCTTATTCTGACTCTTGAATAGTTTTTGAATTTTTTAAATCTTACAAAACTTTTAGAATTTTTCAAACCGTTCAAAGAACACTTAAGTTGAATCCGATGAAATATGACTTTTGGTCCTACAACAGGAAAAAACAATAACTTTTTTATTCAAATTCAAATCTCTTTTATCCTTCTACTAAAGCCACTCGTATACCAAGTTCGGAAGGAAATGTTTCTGAAAAAGTATTCAGCATTAATAGAGCGCGAAATCGTTCATATAAACAGAATTTTCGTTGTTCCGGAACTAAAACATTTATGCAGGTTGTTCAAAGAAGATTTATTACATTTTGATTTTTCGAAATTAACATGTCATTCCATTCTTTTCATTCAAATGTGTTGCCTGCTTCCAGATGTTCGATAAGAGAAGTTTTGAGGAAAAAATCGCAATTGCCTCATGGAATCAAGCTACTAAAGGTGCCAAGATCATTGAAACGTTATCTTGATTTATTGCAGGATTGAAAAGTTTTGTGAATTGTAACTGCTAAAAGAATATTTTATTGATATCATAGATTTTTTTAAACTGTCACAATCTAGTGAAGAATAAGCTACAGATAATAAAGAAAATAAGTTGAAACCAATAATTAAACTACAGTAGACAATTTTTAATTATTTTGAACGTTGTTTCATAAGTTAACATGTTGACTAATTGAAAAATGCATCAAGGTTCACGTCGATACATCCATTACTTGCTTTATTATCTCCTCAAAAGTCAGTTCCATTAAATTTTCATAGCTTTTTAATTAAAAACCTCGCTACCTCTTAATTCGATACAAATTTAATTAAAATTGAATGAAAACCAATAACTGCATGCATAATGCATCCAATAAAGTTCATTATTCGTGATACATAAACCTTAAAAATCATTAATTACATAATTTTTTCCGCAAAAGTAATTAAAATTTATTCAATTAAAGTCAAAGTTGAAAAAAGTAAGTTGTGCATTAAAATAAACATTTATCTTAACAATTTATGAGCTACAAGTTTTCACATGGATGAAAAACATTTTCCGTAATTTGATCAGTGAGATGAAAATGAGCGAATTTGATGCCATTTTATCGAGGTTTAAGCGAGGAATCCTCTCAAAATTTCTTCACATTTCTGTGTGATGTAAAGGTGATTTCATGTATGAAATTAAAATTGTGTGAAAGTTCCTGACGAAATCTCTTGACTTAAAATATGAAAAATAAATTCAATTACATGACTTAAATACACGCCCATAGAGCTTTACATACATTAAATTATTCTACATGCTTTGATAAATATTGCATGTGATTTTACAAACCAGCACACTCGAATATATTTTTTATTTACATTCTTCATGATGACAAGCAGAATTTTGTGACTCGACATCATGGAAAGTAGATGATAATCGTTATCAAGCTGATGTTATTATTTTTTTGTAGGTATACAAAAAATTTCTAAGCTTTTCAAAATCAACCTAGTTCCTAAACATTTAACATGGCAAACTATCTTAAAATCTGCACATCCACAAGCTCAACACTCTCTTTGATACATCAAAACTAATTAATCATATCACGTAAAGTCATTATATATTGCATCATCGTTTCTTCATGTTCTTGTCTCGTACTTAATCATCATCAGTCTCAGATATTTTTAACTTGTCTTCCTCTTCATAAATCATCCTTAACTCATGAGCTAAAAATAGAAGCTAATTCATCATTTTCACATTGTTGAAGCATTTACATGCTTCAGGAAATTTTTTGTTGGAACTGAGCTTTAAGGATGGCTTTATGTTACTTAATGTGGGTTTGAAGGAATTATTCAAGCTTTACTTAAATTTATGAATATATTTAAGTTCCTTTAATCGAAATAAAGAGCACTTTCAAGTTATGACTGACAGCCTTCGTCCTTACTAAGTATACAACATGATGAAATATTAATAACATCGATAAATATGTTTTTGGTGATAGAATAAAATAAGAAGCTTGCAATGTCATAGAATCAATATACTTCGTGTCAAAATAATGGATATCCTGAATGTAAATATTTGATATTATATTTTTATCGTTTGGATGTAATTTGACCTCATTTTACTTGGTTTTGGCACTATTAAAATGACAAAAGATTCAGATCTAAAATTACATGTCCATCATTGTCTTAAAAACACTTTAATTAAGTTTGATTGAATGAATTGATGTCCAAAACTCTTGAGTAACAGTTGCTAGCAGCTAATTAGTATAAATTACAATTTCATTCGCAATGCTTAAAGCATTAATGAGTAGATAAACTATTACAATAAATTAAATTCAAATTACAGTGATTAAAAGAATGAGATATCCAAAAATACTTCGGGTGATTTTAAATTTGAAGATCGACTCAATAATTCATCCTAATTGAGGCTTCAAGTGGAACAGCTTCAAGTTAATAAAAGATATCAAAAATTGCTCTCAGCAACGTTTTAAAATCAAAAGTTTCATTTTCAAACATTTTTTCGACTCAAAATCTTTAGTATCTTCTTTTAAAATTCCAAATTAATCCACAAATGGATGTTCAAAATTTTCGTATGCTTCAAAATTTAAAGTTCAAAGAACAAAAACTCGAGGAAAAGCTTTACAAACAAAAATCAATATTACAACGATTGCGAATGGAATATGAAAGCTTAAAGAATGATAAAGAAGTGAACACAACACCAGCAGAAAAGCTCAAACAAAAGAAAAATCTCCGTAGTATCTACACATTCAAGTTGCCAGCAAGTAAACAAAAGAGTGACTTTGAAAAACCTGATAGGTTTCGGAATGGCTGGATTCAACGACCACTTACTGAGCTTCCTCATAAGATTCAAGAATTAAATATGCAACGTAATAGAATGATTGAGCTAGGAAATTCATATTCTGAGAACAATAAAAATTGTCCATTAACAACAAAAACAATTAGGAATGTGAAGTCTCAGCACGAGATGAAATATGAGATGTTGAATCGTGCAAAGCTGTTGGGAAATCATTACTCATTCCATTTTCGTCAACACCATCCACTAAAAGTGTATAAGAAGAGTATTGATGGCTACAAGAAACACGAGCGCTTAATTAATGAGAAAAATGAGATGGAGGAATGCTTTAAGAGTGGTGAGGAATTGCCACAAATATTTCCACAGAAATACTTGCACGTCCTTAATGAGATTTATCGCTTGGAAGAAGAATTAAATCTTAATCATCAATTTTCGGATGGTAAATGTTTGAAATTTATGATTGAGTGGTTGCAGAGGACATGAATTTAGTGACTTCCGTCTTTCAGGTAATGTTTGTCAAGAAATCTTTGAAATAGATAGTTCCTCTGACCAGAAACTAATTGATCAGCTAAGTTATCCAATATTTGATGATTTTGATGTTGTCAGTGATAAAATTGAAATGTCAAGAGCTATGGAAAGAATAGACATTGGAAAAATCCTGGAAGCCAGAAATAAAGTTGAGCAAAGGATTAGTGAAGTCTTTTGGAGAAAAGATGATGTTGAGGAAGGGACTGTAAAGAATTTAGATTTAAAAGTCAAGACAATTGAGAATTTTGATCTGATTCAGGCAAAAGTTGACTCTGAAAATTCTAAAGTTGAATTAAAATTTGATGAAGTTGACCAACTTAGCAATAATCAGATTGATACAAAAAGCCCGGAATTTACTACAGATATCCAGGATGTTGTCATTGAAAATAAGGAACTGATCTACATAAATGAGAAATTTCCATTTAAAACCAAACAGTTTGACATAGAAGCTGATTATTTGGATAGCATAAGCAATGAATTCTTCACTTTTAAGAATCTAATCCTTGAAATTTGTGATCAAGCCTCCTCCAGAAGCAATCAAAGTTGTCAAGTACCAATTACTTCATTTCCAAACAGTCTTGAAGACCTTTTATCAGAAAATCAAGCAATAAATGACAAATCCCCTGATACTTCCATCACTTTCACACCAATATTCTCACAAAATCTTGACACAAAGCTAGCTCAGACTCTTAAAGTATTCACTGAAAATTACATCGAGGACTTGTGCGATATTTCAAAGATCCCCAAGCACCATCCCTCATTTGAAGACATGCGAATAAAATTTATTCATGAAACAACATCAAATGTTGATGCAGGACAAAAAAATGATGACATTCAAGATATTTCTCAAGTGTCACATGAAATATGCAAATCTCAATCATCGATTTTAAGGACAAAGAGTGTCGAATCATCAAAATTGTTGAAATTGACAAACGATGCAAAAATGAATGAGAATTTCATCACATACTCAAGTCAAAAGAATGAAACGAGCAGTGACTATAAGTCTTATAATTATTCAAGAGATATAGCATTATTAAGTATCGAAAATCCACAATCAGCAATAAAAATTTTGTATAATTGAGCATGGAATACTGAAAATAATGAGAACAAGTTCGATAAATTGCTCTTGCATGTTTAATTCATTGTTATTGTTATCGTCCAATGACTGTCATGATTAATTAATTTCCATTAGCAATTTATAATGACATGATGCAATAAATACATTCCACAAAAGTTTATTTTTTCCTTGCTTGTAGTTGTTTTAGGGTAAACCATGTTGAAATTTGTGTGTTTTTGTACTTGAAGATTTCATTTGCTTATAACTTTTCAATGCCCTACTGTAAAAAATTACTGTTGGTCTTAAATTATCAAAAATTGTTGAAATTTTCATTTTTTTATACTCAGTGATGGTTATGCTGCTTATAGGAAAAGAAATTTGACATTTTTGGTCAAATGTTGAAACTTGTACGGAAATTTTTAAAATTTGTGCAAAAAAATGTTGAAATTTGTGCGTTTTTTTGACACATTTCAATTCAGAAATGTAAGCAAACAATATTTTTACGCATTTTCGAGGGTTTTAAATGGTGATTGCTTTTAAGGAACACTTCCAAATAAACTTCATTTCAATTTTAAAGGACACTGCTGCATTAATGAACTTATTTCAAGATTCACATAATGATATGTATATCATTTATGTTGACTGAGTATGACGAGAAGTTGGTTGCATTTTTGAAATTTCTTGATTCTGTATGAATATTTGAGTCGAACACATTTTTCATTACTCTCAGTACATGTCTTCTTCGAGTTATTTTTGTCTTAATCTTGATTCATGCCTCTAAAAACCCGATTTTGATTGTAAATAATTATTTTTGTTGACAAAATGTGCCTTCAACACAATCAAAAATGAATTAGAAAAGTTTAAATAACTGCTTTACAAAGAACTGCATACAAATTTTTTCTATAAATGGTTTAGTTTAGATGATTTACATTTCATTTGATCGCACAAATTTCAACATTGCACAAATTTCAACATGGTTTACCCTATTGTGTTTAATTTTATTTATTTATGTGTGTGTGTGGTCGGAAAAGGGAGCATGCATCGGTTGTTCATAAAATAACTTTATGTATGAAATGACGTCTGATTTTCAAAAACCGTTAAAATTTTGAATCTTACAAAACCAATTAATTTTGAAACTTACAAAACCGTTAATATTTAAATTTTACAAACCCGTTATAATTTACATTAGATTCAACTAGATTTCATTGCTAATCACTACAAGTTATGTGCCATTTTGTGTATAACATTCTTTTAATCCACCCATATCTAGCAAGAATACAAATCAGAGCTTGAATCGGCACATTCAGCAACAATGTTATAGAAAATCACATAAAAAGCACGAATTATGCTTAATTTATTTTCAATAAAATTTCTTCAGAAATAATCAGTTTATATCTCTGCATTAAATTGTAATCTATGAAAATGTAAATTTCATGTTGTATGCTGCTAATTGTTGTTTATAATAAACATAAACGACACCCACTCAATGGTTTCCTCTACTCGTATAACATAAATAATTGTTAATGGGATGAGGAAATGGACGCAATTGTTGCTTATTATCTCGTTAATTTATTCATTGTTTAACAACAAGAAAAAAACTTTAATTTGTAAACTATTAAATGAGTGCAGAATCACGATTATTCCTGTGCAAAGGAATGACAAGAATTGCCACAAGCATTTTCCTTGAATTATTTAAAGAGACAATGTTAAGAAGGAGATGTTTACATAAGAAAACCACAAGCTATAATGAAGGTTTGATGTTGATCTAATTATCCTGATTATCAAAGGCTGTGTATTAAAAGTTTGTTTATACCTTCCTTTATTTAATTACTTTATGACTTTTTGTGTCATTGTTAATAAGTCGTTGAACTTAATTAATTAATATTGACATTTAAAAGACCAAAGGACTTCTTATTCATTCATTTTTTGAGAAATAAGGGGTTTTAAACCCAAAGAAACTGTCGCTTTCAATCAGCTCTAATAAATATTTTAAAAAATAGAAATAAGGACTTATATTCATGGTTCGAAGATAAGGGAAATTGAAAAGTTTTTGAAATGAATTTTTCCACAAAGGAAATTGAAGTTTTACTCTTTTCCCTCTCATTGTTTTTATATCGAACTGTTCTGTTTCCGCTAACAGTTCTGAAAATTTACTTCCTTCTAGAATACACTCAAAAGAACTGAACTGTTTGTCTATAAATTTATTTTCGTCTGAATTCAAAATGAAAGAACAATCAGAACTAAAAATTAAGTTATTAAAATGATTCACAAACACTGTACATCCATTAAGCTTTGATTATTAAACTGGCAAATCAAATTATTGCTTTTATGACTTAATATTAATGTTAATAAAAAGATTCGTGGATGTCATTTCATTCATGATATACAACTTTCGATTATCGTAAAAAATGTCGTAATAAAGAACTTGATATAAGCGAGAAGATATTACATATGGGACATTTGATGCCGCATGAATAAGCTTTGATGATTTTATTTGATCATCAATTTTGAGTGATGTGATGGACTTATTTCAGTGGTAATCAAATTTGTTTCATATGCTGTAAATCTTATGGAAAGTGATAAATCCCATAAATCGGCAAATTTGATTCAAAAAACACTGTGGGAAGGGGATGCAAAAATTCATTAGGCTATCGTTTGCTTTTTACATCCACAAAAGCAACGTACTTGAAGAATTTGAAACAAAGTTTAGACGATTATTTCAAAACATTTTTGTCTGTTGATTCTTTCAAATTTACTGGTGGTCAATTGTGCAAAAACTGCATATATGCAGGTGCACAAGGCACAAGTGTGTTTAAAAAAATAAGGAAATAATTGTTTATGCTGATCTAAAAGATTTAAAAATTGGAAATCAACAAAGTAAAATTTTAAAAATGAACATTCAGCAGGATAGCAAATTGAGTAACACAAGACAGCATTTTTAATCTTAACTCGCAACAGGTTGTAAATTCTAAGCTTGCATAAATATTTTTTATTTATTCTTCATTAATAAATCATACACAATCTGCATCATGATTTTAATTTTTTTTAAAGATTTATAGTCGAAAAAATTAATTGTTGCCGGATATTAATCAACTTTAATTCCGCATAAATTGATCTAAATGAATAGAACAACTTGTTGCTTCTTGTATCGATTGCAAACAGACTGATTCTCTTTACATGATTTTCTTTTCTCTCTTCTTTTCTTATTCTCTTGTGCTTCTTTGTTTCGTTTAGTTTTTCTTCAGCATTCTCTTGAGCCGGTGGTGCTATTAAAGATTGCGTAAAATATTTTTAAATAAATTTGTTTCTTTTTAAATCTTTCTTGACTTAATCCTAAGTCTAAATTTACAAATTATGAAGACAGATGAGGAAAATAATCGTAATTCAGGAATTAAAGAATTTCATACATATAATCAAGCACTAGAATTGACAGGTTTGAGGACATAAATTGAATAACAGAAAATGAGAGCACAAAAATTCTCAATTTTTCATAGGTTTAGGAAAATTTCATTATTTTCTCTTGCTAACATGCGGATTATGTTTAATGAGCGTCATCGTAGAGACATTGAATATTGGGTTTATTATACCGTTAATTGACTTCGAATGCGATTTGAAGTTGACATTGGCAGATAAGGGAATTTTGTCGGCGTCAGCTTTTGCAGGTAAATTGAGGTGCCTTTAATAATTGTGGTAGAGCTTGCAAAAAAAATTTGGTCAGCTTTGAACGGTGATAATGTTTAATGATTAAAGTGAAATATCCGTTAAATTTTGTTTTATAAGCATGTGGATCAAGTATCATTCATGAATTAAACCATTCGTCGTTTTGCGAGCTCTGCTTGTTCAATTTATTTGCCATTGATCTAAATTAATGTTTTCCATTTATTTACAGGAGTTGTCAGCAGTTCATATTTTTGGGGCTTCTTCGCTGATGTAACTGGGAGACATAAAGTCATGTTAATCTGCTCAATTTGTTCCTTCATATTTTCATTTTTATCGAGCTTTTCTATTAATGTTTGGATGTTGATTATTACAAGGTTTTTGGTAGGATTTTTCGTCTCCGGATTGGCTGCAAATACCTATGCTTATTTGGGTGAATTTCATTGTGACAAAACTCGAGCAAAGCATTTAAATTTTTGTGGAGTATTTATGGCACTTGCTTTGACATTTTGTCCAGCAATAGGATGGATGATATTGAGATTCCGTCATCCAGGATCATCATCTATTCATCTAGAGCTCATTGGAGTTCATTACTCATTCTGGAGACTTTTCTTGGTGATTTGCTCAATACTTCCATTTATTATGTCAATTTTCCTTTGGTTCCTTCCCGAATCACCAAAATTCTTACTTCTTCAAAAGAAGCATGATCAAGTTTTGAAAATACTACATGCAATCTACAGTACCAACACTCGTACACATATTTATCCTGTATCAAAAATTGAAACCGATGAACAGCTTCTTGGCTCACAAAGAGAAGGAAGGAACTTCCTCAAACAACTTTGGATACAAACAATTCCACTTTTTAAAGCTCCTTTTTACAAAAGTACCATAAAACTCTCTTTTGTCATGTTCTGTTTGTTTGCTGGATCATCAGGGTTCTTCCTTTGGACACCAGACATATTGAATCAAATGATTGAATATCCAAATCACACAGTCTGTGAGATTGTTGACTTTGTAGTCGGAAAACGACAAAACTCAACTGCAGGTTCATGTTCCTCCTCAGTATCTATTAATGAGGGTATTTATGAGATAACATTTATGATGGGTCTCTTCTTCTCGATTGTTTACTTCTTCAATGGATTAGTAATTAATAAGTTTGGAAAGAAGAATTTACTAGCCACGTGGTTCATACTTTCTGGTCTATCATCAATTCTTGTGCCTTTCAACAAAAATTATTATGTTATTCTCTTCCTACTTTTGATATTTTTAACTTGTGGATGCTGTGGAAGTATCACAAGCGCCTGTATAGTTGATATTTATCCAACAAATATTAGGTAAGTTAATCTTTTCAAGTTTTATAATGCGTCTAAAAGTATGTTTGTTTGTATATACCCCATACAGAGCAATATCTCTTTGCATCATTCTGATCATCGGAAGGCTCGGTGCTATTGCTGGATCAGTTTTTGTGTCATTTATGATTGCAACATCTTGCACAGCTATGTTTCAAATATTTGGAGCAATGTTAATCATATCAGCATTAATTTCTTGCATATTGCCTGACTAAATCCCGTGTAAATAAAAGAAGTAAATTTATTTTTATAAATGCAATTGTTTATGATGTTATTTAAGGTATTAAAGATGTTTGCGTTTCTCTTTATTGCTGAGCAAACTTAAATTAATCAATCTATCATAGTAAAATGTCAAGATAAACATTGTAAATAAAGTTTAAAGTTTTGAGTGCTCAAACCGTTGAAATAAAATTTGAAATCAGTTCTAAAACAATCCATAGCAGTGATTATGTACTAAACTACAGGAGAACTAGTTTATAAGAATTTGCTCGTAACTGTCAAAAGCGCATATATCACATTTCAAAATGACTTCAGAAATTATGAAAGAGTACACAAATTTCTAGAAAAAAAAATGAATTAAGCAAGTAATAGACAGACAAAGTACAGACAATTGCGCATTTATATTTTTTGATTTCCGATGAAAAAATACAGAATATTGGAAGTACTGGATCACAATATTAAGTTTGAAAGAAGTAGAAATACTTTCCGCGATATATTTCTTCAGTTTTTGTTCTTCTACGTACGTGATTTAAGTGTATTTAGTGACTAATTTGAAAGATCTTATAAGAAGGCATTGGAATTCAATAAGAATAAGGATTAATAGTGTGATTTACAGTGTGAATTTTTGCAATAAATTTCATCCATGCTGAATCATTCGGAATTTCACTAAAAATTCACCTGTAATTTATCTTAGAACAACATAAAACCTGCTTCAATGGAATGACTATAGTCACATAGCACGAGATGAATCATAGTCTATCAAAAATAATTCTGAATTTTAGCATTAAATTGATATTTTAAATTAATTATTTTTCAACTTTATTCCGTGCAAACATTTTTTCGATCGACTGAACTCAAAAAAAGAAAAGAAATGAAATGAAAAAGTCATTTCCATAGCCAGTTTTACTGTAGTCGTTGTTGACAGCGGTCAATTTTACTTGGAAACATCGACTTTCACTATAATTCTGCATTTTTGATTAGTAAGCTGCCTAGTCTGTCTCCCTCACTCATTAGAGTATCATAATATACGTGTTGTGTGATCATTTGTACCATTTTAACACAGACTAGATAACACTGTTAATTAAGAAATATCACAAATTCACAAATTTTTTTTAGTAGTGAACAAAAAATGAAACCGTGGCAAGTACAAGTCTGTTGATTGTTTGTGGTAAAGAATATTATTCTTATTTAATACATAGAAAAGAAAAGAAAAATGTTTTCTTTATGAACTTGTGAAAAGCAAATATATGTGTATAGGATATAAAGAAATTCCAATGCATTCGAAATAAGAAATTTGATATAATCCATAAAGTTTTTGCAAAATCTTTAATTAATTTTATGCATATATGTGTGTTACTTTGCAGATTAGTTTTTGATATTCTTTTTTAAAGTCCTTTAAAAAAAGTATTCATCATAAGAAGAAAGAAATATCGTCCAAGAAAAGTCGCGAGATCAGTTTTATTGGAAGTGAAACGCGATTTTTTTTCATCTTTATTTTCTTGATTAAACTATTTATATAAAATAAATAGCAACCAAAACATTCAGTAAAAACAGGAACCGAATTATATTATCATCATGCCAAAATCAGTGAGTATTCTTCAGTCAAATTTTTAATTTCATCGCAATTTTAACATTTTTGGAAGATCAAATTGGCTGGTGTGTTTGGATGTGATCACCAGTTGTAGATTCAAGTGATATTGTGGACTGTTCTAGATGTTATAGGGTAGTTTACTGTATCTTGATAACGTCTAATGATTGTCATCGATGTCCACAAAACACGAAATGTGCATGAATGAATTCATTTCGGTCCAACAACATGTGAATGGAATTTCTTATCAGAAATCTAATAGGAAATGTGATTTGTAAAATAATCTCCAAAAACTGGGATTAACAGTTGATTGTCGACTATAAATAGCTGTGGAATTGCTTAATTTGAGTACTCAATTATTGGCAAATTTGATGTGGAACGTCATAGTCTCTAGACACTATCCATCCAACCACCAAGTCAATGCATCTTCCAACCCTGATTTTTCATTTCCAATTCTCTTTTGTTACAACAATCTATTGTCGCTTAAACTGAAATCTATTCTCTTTCAATTACAAAATATCTTTTTATGACTCTAACAAAATTTCAATGAAAAATATGCATAATGCTGTATAGGCTTCATATGAACTTGAGTGCGAAAAACAAATAGGCATTTTAAAAGCAGTAAACGGTATTTTTTTTATCATTATTTACATTTTTTTTTTTTCGATGACTGATGATTGCGATGTATGCATGTGTATAGTATTTTCATACCTACATATAATGTAGTTGGTGGAATATTCAAGGCCTGCATTTATACAGTTGTTATCTAAGAAAAGTCATCGCAGAGAAACAAATTAAGCAATTAATTGTTGAGAAATTTATCATTTGAAATATTATACTAAGTAAAAAGAGCTTCATGTGTCATTTTTCTTAGTTTCTTCATTAGTTGTAAAATGTCTTGTTGTTTTTATTTCGTACAACGTCTTATCTAATCATGGCGACACGGCAAGGGCATAAATAAAGCATTATGCTATTGAAGTAAAGAATAATGATAAAAAAAAGTATGAAAGATTTTTTGTGAATGACACCATCAAAAAAAGGCAGAAAATAATGTGAATTATATCAGCGCGCGGTGCTTTATATTTATGAATGATATGAGCTGTAGTCGTAAATTTTTAATACCTGGGCATAAGTCACACACAACACTCGTGTCATCGTTGTTGTGATAATATTCATATCTATTCAGTTGAATCTTTACATTTTGTTAATAATATGAATATATAAGATGCATGACTATGAGTTTCTATTTTTAATTCATTTTTTCATTAACTTTTCTCATCATTGTCACATCCATCGACTCTGTTATCATCACATACAAAATGAAATGTTCTGCCATTTAAGATATTATTTTTATTAGCATATTTAACACGAACTATATTGCTGATGTTCATTTTGGCTAACCGGATGTAATGTTCTTATCGCTCGTAAGTTGATAAATATGGCAATAAAGCGGTGAAATGCAAATTTGCCGCAATTTTCGCTTGGTTAAAAGAAAAGTCTGTTCAGCAACGCTTCATTTCTGTTTGTGCATTTCTAATTATCATTAGATTTAACTGCTATTTTTTAATTTGAATCCGCCTGCATTAAAGAAAGTTCAATTCTGTTCAGTTCATTCTAAATTCAAAAGTTTGTTATTTTAAGGTTCAAAATTTCAAATCAATAATAGTCGTTAATTTTCAAATTTTTGAAATCCGTTTTTCAATATTCAAAATTTGTGCACAAATGTGCGTTGAGATCATCTACGACGGAGTAATTCAAAGCATTCGTTTTATTATTTATTTCCATCCGACATAAGAATCTTTTTTAATGCTGTTATTTTGGAAATCATGAAACTGGTTCCATAGACTTTTCATATTTCATATTTCTCAATTATATCACTAATACATAAATGATTATAATGTTCCAGCTTCATCCAAATGACTTATTGTCAACATTTCTGTAAATGCATTTTTTAAAGTCAAAGTTCCTCATTAAAAAAGTTTATTTGATAATTACGTAACTTTTTCATTCTTAAATCATATGCGTCATCTCGTACAGCAACAAATGATCGAGCAGTAGGCAGCAGTAATAATATTTTTTTGTTTAACATTGTATACTTGTAGATGTGTCGATTCAACTTTTATCGTTTTATCAATATTACAATTTGACATTACCGAATGCAGCATTCGACTGTCATTGAGTTTGATCACGAGGAGCAAGTGTTTTAAAAAATATATTGAAACGTAGGCGCGATGATATATTTATGATAAAAGCCACCTTTTGTTCTATCAATCAAATAATTTATATTAGGCAATTACATGTCACTTTTACGGTTCATTGACGACGAAGCATGTTTAAGTATCAGATTTCAATTGTCGTTTCACGTGACTAAACAGCGCGGAAGAGCACTTTTTCCTCCCATTTTAAACGCATTTTCTAATAGAGTTTAGACAGTACTGTTCGTATATTGTGTGTCTGGCTGTCTGTTGCGTAGATTTTCTAGTTTTAGAGATAAAATAGTAACTTCCTCTGCTGGAATCAGTTTGAAAACTTCCGTGACACAAACCATTGTTTTTCAAAAATTATTGAACCGTTAAGTTTTCAAATATTTTCTAACCGTTATATTTCACAATAATTCATAATTAAGTACTGGACATTTCAAATATACTAACGTGGAGGGAAAAATGCGCTTCGGTCACGAATAATTATTCCTTCATTAACAGTAGGAAGCTAGTGAATATAAATGTTGAGATATGATGTAATGATAAGTTCTAATTAAGATAATTAATCTCTCCTCTCACAAGCTATTTTGTCTTGTTATGAAATATGCACAGTATTTTATTATTTACGCTATATGTGACGCCGTACATGATGACGTAATTTACCTCTTCAACAAAACGAGCAGAGAAGAGAAGAGAAGGAAAAAAATTCCACATGTACCAATGGAAATGACGATCATTACATAGTAACCAGCAACACAAACATATGAATACGCAAACAAACAAACAGACACAAGAAAAAAAGCAAAGTCTGATGATTTTTCATATATTACCAAAACAGAAAGAAGAAAAAGTAATTTTTTAGCGAAAAAGATGAATTTTGTGATGATCAGCAAAGCAGACTGGTTAATGTTAAACACAACTACACGCGTAAACAACAAACAATATTCATGCAAATACAGAATGGAATGAAGAGAAGAAAAGAGTCATGTGAAAATGTGTGTATACACAGTGCTGTGCTGTGTTTTTTATTTTATTTTATTTCATATTTTTTTTTTTTCATTCAATTCAATTAAAGTTGAAAAGAAAGTAAAAGGCCTTTATCTCGCGCATTTGAAGCCATACAAGGTGGTATAATGCGAAGCAAATAGCAAAAAGAAATGTACAAAAAATGTATGTATAACTCGTCAACAACATCATTCTTACTTTCTACAGTGGCATGCTTTTTAAAATAAATAAATAATTATTATTACATTAAATATGCTGAGAAGATTGGTGAAATGGTGTCTATATCAATGATTGAGACGCATTTTTGGTGATTTTTATGTTAGATTTTGGAATGTTTTTTATTTTGTAATAATTATTGGAGTAATTAGCTTCTATAGAGTTCAATAACTCAAATTTAAAAAAAAATAACGGTTATAAAAATTTCAAATTTAATATTCAACTGTTTTGGTTTCAAATTTTGAACTTTAAATTAAAACGGTATTCAAAATTTTGAATTTTTGAACCTCAAAACTAAACTGAACAATGTTAAACTTCAATTACTGAACAATTTCAAATATCTCAATATTTCCGCTGAACTGAAAAGAATTGAACAAAGTGTGATAGGGCCCCGACGAAAAAAAAATTATTCGTGAGTGACGCTTTAAATCTTAAATATCTCCAAAACCACAATAGTGACAAATTTCAAAGTTATTTTATCTTGTAGGAAACAAAAATTTCTATCTTCTGACATACAACTCACTTCCTAAAGTTAAGCAGTTGCTCCAGAAAATCACTTTAATTAAGCGTCACTTACGAATAATTTTTGGGAATTTTGCCATAACTTTGTCAGTTTTCATTGATATATCTTCAAATGTATTTTTTTAAGATCAGAAATTTTATTCTCTTTTTATTGGCTTCAAAAAAAGCAAAAAATTGTCCCCGAAACATACTTAAATGTACAAAATTAAGTTAAAAAAATTTTAAATTTTTTGAATTTTTTCGGTTGTAATTTGTTTGTTTACAAACAAAAATTGAAATAAAAATTCAAAAGTCATGAAAATAACACCCAATAATAATGTTAAAGCTCTTAAAATAGATAGAAAAGCTAACGTATCATCTACTTTTCGTAATCATATCATAATATTTATAAATAATGATTGAATAATTAAGATATTTGAGAATTTAATTTTTGAAGTTTTGTAAGATAGTGTTAGTGAATTTCAAATTTAATTTTTCCGTTTAGCAATAATCCATAAAAATTCGTCGAGGCTCAATCAGTGTTGCATTCTAGCGATTTGTCTGGATCAGATAAATTCTGAGACAGAAATTTCTTCATAAAGATCAATTCTATGTGAAGATAGAAAATCTAATCTACACAAAGATTATTTCTACATAAAGATTCGATGTAGATGTAGACAGATTCTTTATGTAGAAATAATCTTTGTGTAGATTAGATTTTCTATCTTCATGTAGAATCGATCTTTATGAAGAAAGTTTCTTAGCTAGACGAAAACTATTGAAGAATCTACATTCTTCATCTAGTGTAGACATCTACATTTGCAACACTGGGCTCAATAAAACAAAATTTCAAATTCAATGCAAAATAAAAATGAATTTTCTCCCATAAAATTCCACAATCTTTAAAATTGTCAAATACATCAGTCAGTCAGTCAATCAGTAAATCATTTTTGACTTATTTCGCTGCATTAGTTTCACTTTAAAATTGAAGGAAAAGCTTTGAAAAGAGAAAAAAAATTTAATAATTCGACAAAAATATGATGGGAAAAAAGTGATGACACATGAGAAAAAGTACTTTTATTAAATAACTATAAGCAATTAAAAATTACCATAGCTTTTTTCCTTCCCATTCAAGCAACTTGTTGAATGTCATTGAAAAAAAAGTGTGAGAGATGATTTAAAAATTTCATGTGCCTTTTCAAATGCCGAAACTTACGAGATGATTAACAGTTTTTATTTTCGTTGTATGTATACGTCTGCTCTTAACCTTTCAGTCTTGTACGTATACGTAAATATTGTCGATCTCACTCACTCCAACCCGTACAAATTGAATCATTCATTCTGTTCTTGTTTCAAGGTATTTGCCAGGTAGATCAAGAAAACTAAACGACTGGAAGTACGTAATATGTTAAGATATACATATGTATATGTGCTCACTACCCTTCTCAATAACTCAACAATTCATTCGGCATTTACTTGCGAATTTCAGAACAGTTCAAAAGGTCTCATTTTCATTCGTGCTTTCAGTTTTTACCTAACCTGCTTCATTAGTCGTGTAAAAAATATATAATAATAATAATACTAATTATTGTGAAAACTAATTTCTGTGTTGAAATATAGTTCAAAAACTCATAAAGTAAATAAGTGACTCAGTTTTTAAATTGTAAAATAATCATTCATTTCGGCGAATATAAAACAACAAAAAAAGGAAACAAAAAGTTCGTTAAAGACGCTCAGTCAGTTATCAACCGTTCCAAGACAACAGAAGAGAAAGAGACAGTAGTGTGTGCTAAAAAAGAGAGAATAAGTCGGCAAAAAAAATATTATTCTTTTGAGAGATTTTCTTAGTTTAAAATTGAAAGTCGAGTGAATTACATTAGAAAAAGATGGTGTCTGGAAATAAAATGGTTAGTTAAGTTTGTTCTAAAATGCAAAAATAAATGGAAAATTGTGATGGATAACTGAACATGAAAGCAGTGATCTATATTATTTATCTGTGTATCTTTTGTAATTGCCTGTAAATGCTGGTGCTCGAACAACAATATATGAAGCTATTTATAATTATTTATAATGCTTACATGAGTGCATTATTACATATTATTACGATTTGATATGATAGACAATTTAATTGTCCTTCAACAGATTCATGGGAATTTCCATCAATGTTATTTATTTTATATGATGGCTATGCTGAGGGATATAAACAGCTCCTATTAGAGCATTATTGCGTAACTTAAATGACGTTATATGCTGCTTTGTGTTGCTCTTTCGAGACATTCTAAATCTTGTGCATTTATCTCATAAAGTCCATAAATTGGAAATGGAAACTACCTGCTGAGCCATAAAAAATTAACCCAGAGGTTAATAACGATGATTAAATTTTTGAAAGTTTCATGGAAAATTAGTGAAGATTCGCATAAATTTGAATTGTGAAAAACCGTTAAATTTTATTATCAACTTTTGGAGGCTTAATGATAAGCTTCTTGGAAGTATTCATGCAAATTATTGCAGAAGCTGCGTGCAGTTTAGTGCTACAATTCATTGACAATGAATAGTTTAAAAGAATTCAAAAATCGAGAAACCGTTAAATAGAAATGATGAATTTCTGTACTTAATGGCTGTAAAGTTGAATCATACAGTTTATTTGGTAGAATTAAATGATAAATCACTCAATAAATCTCAATAATTTTACCACATTTTACTGCTTAATTCATAAAAACATCCACTCAAGTTTAATACTTTATATGTGCCACAATTACCTCACGCCTGTTCTGTATTTGTGACAATAATATTGGCAATCAATGAAGCAACAATATGTTGTTGTCTATATGAGTCTATAATTGGATTTTTTTTTCGTACATTTAAGTGACATGCACAAAAGAAAAAGAAACGCGGGAAGATTTCAGGTTTTTTCCACAATTCTTGCTGTTCTTGTTCTTCCCTTTATGCCTGTTTCAAGGATTTGACAATAAAAGAGGAGACGAAAGAACAGCAAGAAGAACATAACGAAGAGAATGGATCAACACCTTTATTTATCTCCCAAAAAAATAACTGCAGTCATAAAAAACTCATCTTTTTATTCTTTCTTTGCAGCTAAATGTTCGCGTTACGACAATGGATGCCGAGCTGGAATTCGCCATCCAGCAAAGCACCACAGGAAAGCAACTTTTTGATCAAGTCGTGAAGACAATAGGCCTTCGAGAAGTTTGGTTCTTTGGACTACAATATACAGATCCAAAAGGAGATCTAACATGGATTAAACTTTATAAGAAGGTAAGCCTCAATCATGCTGAATTTTTTTTTAAAATACTTATGAATGTGTTCTATTGCTTCTTACTTGAGTATATGATTGTTTGGTTCCCTATTTCGCTAGTTCCGATAGAGTAAAATGTTGAATTTTTGTAGATTTCCGGCTAGTAACGTGACATTATTCAAGTTTCAAGAAAGTAAATTACTACTAATGGGAAATAGAAATGTCTATGCGAAAAAAAAATTGTTTACCGATAATTACTGCCAGTTTTACTTGTTTAAACATTCCAGAAAAATTAAAGTTTTATTTTCGTCTTATTCCTCATAAATATGAAGTCATATGACATCAAAGATACTTGATGATATAAATGTAAATGAAGTTTATTTTTCGGTTCTGTTGAATTGAGACACATTTTTATCATTTGCCTTATTTTATTCCACTTTCTGCTTCTTCAAAAGACAATAAAACACCTTTAACGCAAAACAGCTTAATTACTTAAGGTTGCACAATATGTATTTATATCGCACATAGCTCAGAAACACATCATCAAATGCTCTATATTAAATTTTTATCGTGAATAATGTCTACATTGATGAGGTTGAATGGCGCATTTTAAAACTATTCCAATATCTTTGGGGTCTTTAAGCAATCTTCGTACCCTTCGACCTTCAAATTTACTCCTATTCTTTATCATTGGATCATAAATATCGAAACTATATAGTTCTTTATGCTTTAATTTCTAAATCCATATTGTCCAGATCTATTTTTAAGCAATGAATAGTTTAGGTTGTGCCTGAAGCTGGCTACCGATTGCCAATTACCTAAACCAAGTTCAATGCTGTCTATGCTTAACGTTGTATAAGAAACTATAGTCTACAATCATTTCTAGTGACTAGCACTCAAGATATTGTCCTAATCTCAGATATTAAAGCTACCAGTGTCCCAAAAATAGAACGAATTTGACCTTTTCTTAAAGAGCTCCTAGAAGATCAAACACTATTTCAGACAAAATGTCCAAAATTAGAGCTAAAGTTCACCAAAACGCGGTTAAAAAGACAGCATACAGTTTAAAGAATGCAAATATTTGAACAAGAAATTAAATGATAAGAAATTTAGTACACTCAAGGAGCAATAATTGGAGCTCATTGTTTGTCTGTATGAAATAAAAAGTTCGTTAAAGTAACTTAACATGTCTAACGTCATCGCGTATTTATTCCCCACAAAGCTAATAAATAACGTGTTTTTTTTCTGCTACATGTGTCCATCAGATGAGTCAATATTCCTCAATAATCACATTACGATGACGTAATATGCTCATATTTAGTTTATAGAGAACGAAAAACCATGTGCCTTGAAACAATAACAGACTAGCTGTGAGGACGAGAAGGTTTATGTGCGAATTTTCACATTTTTACAAGCATTAAGTCAATCGACTTACAAGCAGACACAAAAGGAATAATTAATTTCTCAATATCATTGATTCTATTAGGTCATTTGCTCACTTTTTGAATGCACATATGATCGAGGATGATTTGCAATTGTTCCTCAAGTCTATAATATTATAAAAATTGTAATTGTTAAAGCTTTTATTTAAAAACTAATGTGAAGGTCGCATGACATAAATGATGATCATCATTTAAAAAGCAATTTTATTATTCACTACCGCATGCTAAGACTTTGTGGTCTTTCATATGTGAAATAGCTTCAGTTAAGAGACATTCATGAGACGGCGCTTTTTCATTTAATTTAATTATAGTTTAATTAGATTGTGTGATGATAAAAAAATGAGATTTCATTATTCTATGTGTCTGTGTGGGTGTTGTGGGAATTTTCTTGAAATTGATGATTAAGATTTGAGATAATAGGAATTATCTGAGGAGTTGTGTAGATCAAGCGCTTTGAGGGTACCATAGTAGTCAACCATTTGAAGGATAGTTTATCAAATACAAATGATTCAATGCTTCTTGATCGTAATTACATAAGTAGGAGGTAATCACAGTAGATGCTCATTCAAAGTAATTTACAGAACTGTGTCGCTGAGCACTGAATAACAGTGTCTTTTTGATGATGCGTATCAATATTCCTAAAGATTTGAGGATTTGTTTTGGACTCATTTACACTCGTGACATCATCACTTAAACTTTGATCTATAGTTCATGTCAGACCACATTGGCTAATAAACACTCTATTCCATAGAGACAATTATGTGCTGTCTGCTTGAAATTGTGTTGTGCAACAATCTTTTATTTGAAACTTGAAGAATGATAAATCTCCAGAACATTCTTGATCATTATGTAACATCATCCTCATATCCATTTAGACAGTAAATCCCGTGGTTTTTCCATGCATTTGTTATTAAAAATATTCGATGGACTTTCCAATTAGCTAAGACACACACCAATAATATAATCCGTCAAATATTTTAAATCTAAATTTATTTCAACTGCTAATAATTTAAAATGAAAATGTCTGTTGTTTTTAAGATATTTAACGATATTTAATTATCACTGATCTTAAATATTTTAAGCATGTAATTCAAGTTAATTTAACTAAGGTTTTTATGCCATTTTAAAAAGTTTAAATACATTTAAAATGGCTTTTCCTTATGATAGATAAATAAAATAATAATAAATAATAATGCTATATTAATTCTATTTAAAAATTTCCATCGACTTTATTCTTAAATCTTTAAAAGAATCGTAAATTCCCCATTCCAATGAAATTTTAAGAATCGTGAATTGTCCTCGTGAGGTTAAAAGTAGTTTAATGATTTTCAAGCAATTACAGCTGATAATCTTACATTTTAAAATGCAAATGAAATAAACTATTAATAAATACGATAATACCTCATTCTGAAATGACTTAATCTCCATTAAATATCTAGTCATTAATAACCCCATTAAAAAGTAGACAAAATGCTCCTAATTACAACCAAAGTGCACAGATTTCTTTGCGTAGATTCACAAAATACATTAAAAATTACTAATTTAAATAAACATTTAAGAAACGCAATGTTTAAGTAACAAGCAGTTTATACCACACGACATCGGCACTCACCCATTCATTCATTTAATTTTTCTTTCTTTCTTTTCCTCTCATCGACTTTAAAAATAAATTGTGGCCACACGACACTTAATGGACGTCTTGGCAAAGCTGTAAATGATAAAAGCTATGATTGAAGAGAAACTAAACATTATGCTTCATAATTTGTCATTTCCAACTTTCGCTTGCAAGTTCAAAGAGTGCTTGTTTTGTTGATGACAAGTGTATGCAAAGAATGTAAGTTGAAGGCGACATAAAATGGAATGTTTTATTTCACCTTCTCATAGCTTTATCGTGGCTTTAAACTATTCACATTAATTGGCATTTATAAGGGCAATAGTTGTTGCTAAATTATAGTTTCTAGTCAGGGCTGTCGAGCTGTTGAAGTTTTCAAGTTTACTGTCCGTTAAATTTTGAATTTTCAAAATTTTTCATCTGCTGAATTTTCAAATTTTTGAAAAACGTTTAATTTTGAATGTTAATTACTTTATTGTCCCAGCTCCACTCCTGTGTTCCAACATGCTGATAAGACTTTATGTTCATTTTAATGTGCAAATATTGTTGCTTAATACACATAGAAACTTGATCTACATTTTTTTAATGCTCCACAATGAAAAAGTCATCTTTAAAGCATTCGCGTGGATAGAAATATAAAGCAACAAAAACAAAATCAGAACCAAAAGCAGCTATTATTAGAGTTCTGAGATAATGAGTGCTATGATTATTTATGGCTGGTGCTTTTAAAATCGGTTCATAGGCCAATAACTTTTAACTAAAGTGAGATGAAAATTCAAAAAAATCATTGATTTTGATCGCTTGTTTCCGTTTTAAAGCAGATTGCGACGTTTTATCGATAGTTGAGTAAATTAGAAATAAAAATGATGATGTAATGGAATCAGAGGAAATTCCTCTACTCGCAGATATCAAGTAGCTTGTTTACGAAATCGCTGTTCATTAAGTCTCTTTTATCATGATTTTTTTTTTGAAGCTAAGGAACTTAATATTAAACGTTCATTTTGGGTCAATACGCAACAGATAAGAAACTTTTTTTTAAATCTGTGTATTAAACGTGATTTGATAAAGAGAAGAAACCCCAGTGAGTTGTAAGCTGCTGATTGAATGAGTTGTAGATTTTTATGTTTTTGAGTTGGATAGGGAAGCTACTTTGAGGTTATCCTATACTTCCTTTGAACTTGCATCTATGTGCTATTGTTAAACGTCATTTATGAATAGCCTCCAACAAATGATTGCCATTTAACCTTGAAAGTTTAACAAAAAGTTTAGAACCAACTGATATCTGCTTATTGCCTGCTCATACCTCAATTTTACCGCATTAAACTCACACTTGAGTCATATGCTTACTCTTTCAAATTTCCAAACAGAATACGTAACTAATCAAACACCAGTAGCTGTTTCTAAATGTTTCACTAAGTAAGATAACTCATTCATTACTTCTGTTTCTATTTGAGAGCTTCTGATAACGGAGAAAAATATTTAAATTGCTATCAACAACGATATGATCCAGCGGAGATCAACTAATTAGGTGGCGAATTGTTTACTTGAGTCTTTACACAATTTATCATACTTTGTGCTTGTTTTTCATTTCACACTGTGCAGTACATTCGTTTTTATAAATCAGTTTCAATGCACATTCATTTTTAATAGAAAATATTATGGCCATAATTCATGAAAAAGCTTTAAATATTTAGCTGAAATCATAATTTTTCTCAGGAATTATTAATTGAACAAATTAAGGCTTGCTGTGTATTGATTGCTGGGCTTGAACTTCACAGTAAAAAAATTATCAAGGGATTGTTTACACATGATAGCAATTGAAGATTGATGATTGTTGACAGTCTCTGGCAGTTCCTTTAAAATTGAACACAGATTTAGGCGTAAATTAAAGATCAATTGGCATCTTTAAAGGGCTCTATCGCTTGCCAAATACTGATACTAAGTGCAGCAGAGACGTTTAAAAAGGTATTTCCCTATTTTTAAACGTTAAACTGGTCTAAAACTCAATTTTAAAGCAACTACATTGACGAATAAGCCCCAAAACCTCTTTAGCTGAACATTATCAAGCTAATTATGTTTTTTTAGACATTCACAAACTTTCCCCAGACATAATTTAATTAAATATCAATTTTCCATGCTTCAAAAAGCCAGTCACTAGAGCCATAGACGGCTAAACATCGGATGAAAAAAAAAAGTTCATTAAATAGAGAAAAGAATGGCATGAAGGCATAAATCAATAATCAATTGAGCTGCTGATAAAGAAAATAATAAAAATAAATTGTGCCGAATTGAAATTGTTAATAAACAATGTGTATATGCTTATATAACACATTATGAGTTGTGTCGATAAAAATATATATTTATGAATTACTAGAACTAGGAACAAAATTATTAATAACAGTTTAAGTCGCTGTTCAATATCTTTGACCTTCATGGTACATTTTTTTATCAGTTATTTTTAAGTATATGACGAAATTCTACAAGCTCTTTTGGGGTCTGGTTCATAAATGATGTCTATGGTAAAATTATATTCTAGACCCCAACACCCTGTCATTTATTTATCCTATTTTATGGAGGTATCACACAGCTACCTTTCAAGTAATATCTCATTAAGGAACGACCCGTTAATACGTTAGCCAGACAGACATCAACTTCATTTGTCACGAAGAGTAGGCAAAAAAACACTAATATTGCCTTTAACAACGTCAATGATCGTCTTTGAAATGACAAAAGCACTAAGCATGAAAATGACAAGAGTTTAAGAATGAAATGCAAATTAGTTTAAAGTTCTGAATCACGTATCGAGTGACTTAAAGATTGCTGATAATTTTTTAGCACATTAAATTAGCAAGAATGTGATAAAAATGAAGAAAAACCAGGAATTTGATTGATTGTTGAAATTTAATTTTAAAATTAAGTTATTGGGTTTTTTTTTGTTTTTTTAATGAATTCAACAGACAAATGTTTGCATCATTAGTGCGTTCAGAAAAGTGATTTCCATGCAGAGTGTGTTCAGAAAAAATACGTTAAAATTAAACTTAAAGCAAATTTACTCTGTATTTACAAATACAGTTCAGTAATTAGAAATTTCGCATCTTGAGTGCGTTCAGTAATATAATTTTGCATCAAAAGTGTGTTCAGAAAAAGCTTTAACCCTTTTAAAGAATCCTAAACACTATAAATTTTCAACAAAACCCCCAAAAACACATAAAGCCCACATGATGGTAGTTGTATATGTAAACTTGAAGAAAAACGTGCTTAGCACGAGAATTTACAATTGATCCAATTAAAGCGCAGCCTATTTATTCAAATGTATTCAAAGGTTGTAAAATAGAGTACAAATAGTATGTTAAACATCATGTGATATGTTAATTTTATATGTTTTAAGGTACAAAGTTTGTTGGTCAATAGTTCAATGCTAGTTGCACACATACATCATTGATCATGCTATAGATTGTATATATATAGATGAGTAAAGTCTCATATAAAGCTATTATGTCCAATATGTATATAAAATAAAAAGCCGATTGAATGCAGAAGCTGAATAGATTATTTACAATAACTTTTTAACATTCCATCGTTGTTTTTATTTTGCCTACAACACAACATACGTAATGGGGGGAAACAACGACAATAGCCTGATAATTTAGTGTGCATTCATCTGAAAAAGTTACGGAAATTGATTAAAAATAAATCATTGGAACTAGACGAGTATGATCGTGGTGAAGATTTGGTAAGAAATGAAAAATGAGAGTGGATGAGTTTACTATTTATTTTTTGCTGACATATTGGCATTGACAGGATATCGGCTCACGGAAAATAAAATGAAATGCTTAGCTTTTACTATTAGGCCGGAAATTTGAGTAATTTTAAAGGCATTTATTTACAGAAAATAGCAAACTAATGACATATTTGGCGAAGTTTTATATTCATTGATAAAGACGGTTTGATTCAATGACTGGAAGTTAAAATTGGAAATTTTAATGCTTTTTGAGTGGAAGAAAAATGAAAGACTGAACATAAAAGGGGCCGTTCACTTATTACGTTACGCAAAAAACGAACGAGAACGAACGTTACATACTTCTTAACACCCCCCCCCCCCCCCCTTAAGTTACATTTTGTTACAATTTTTCAACACACCCCCCCCCCCCCCCTAAAATGCGAACGTAATAAGTGAACGGTCCCAAAGTCGTTCAGTAATTTATCACTTCGTTTCAGTTCAGTTTAAATTTGAACTCTGAAAAATCCAGTATTTTTGAATTTTTGACCTTCGATGTTTGATTCCAAAAAGCTATTAAATTTGAATTTCAATTATGAATTCTAAATAACCGTAATTTTGCAATAAATGAGCTCAGCAATACTAAAAATAACATGAAGTCATGCTCTTCACAAATCATCATTTCCAATTTATTATCAATTTGACAGCAACTTGATATAATGGTATCGAATGATGATGTAATCGAAAATAGAAAAAGCAAAAAAATGAAAATTTCACGTTTTGTTGTATCTAGCTTCACCTTCATCATGCATATTAACATTTATTTTTCGTTAATCTAATGCAAATCTCAGTAAAAGCATAAGCATATCGTTAATTTTAAGTGTGTTAAAAAAAAGCCGGAAATTGTGAGTAATCTCTCACGATTTATGCACGCACAACCTTGCATATGAATTTATTTTTATCTCTCACCACTCTCAGCGATAGACAGTTCATACAATTTAAGGTCATTGGCAAAAATTCAACTGAAAAACAAAAAAATTTGATGAATAAATTTTATAAACTTTTATTTTTTTGTATCTGGTAATTAAGACTGTGAAAAAACATTTATCTGTTTATTTGTTTCTTCACGGCTTCCATCTTTTTTCCTCCTCTCGTAACGTTTACTCGGACTCAGCCAGGTCATTTTCCTATATCGAAATGGGTACGTGATGATATGTTGATGATTGAATGACTTATTCCTTCCTTTATTAAATTTATTTTGTTGCAGAAAGAGATTTCAGATTCACTAATGACGTCCAAAAATGAAATTATAATTAAAGATGAAGTTGTGGTTCAAAAATCGTTATTTTGATTTTTCCAAAAATAAAAAATTTTTTTGAACTTCAAATATAAATCCTCAAAATTTGAGCTTTGAATTTGTATTTTTGAAAACCGTTGCTAAGACTTCAACTTAGATCCAAAAATTAGTATATGATCTCATAAATATTGGACGTCATTAGTGAATCACTCATCAAGCACTCAATATACTAATGAAATCATAACTTCCTTTGCTTATTTTAGGTGATGAGTCAAGACATTCAGAAAACGGATCCATTACAATTCAAATTCCGCGCAAAGTTCTATCCAGAGGATGTAGCCGAGGAGCTCATTCAAGATATTACGCTTCGATTGTTTTATTTACAAGTGAAGAACGCCATTTTATCTGATGAAATTTACTGTCCTCCAGAAACTTCCGTCTTACTTGCTTCATATGCTGTACAAGCACGTCACGGTGATTTCAATAAAGGAACACATGTAGCAGGTTTCTTAGTCAATGATAGATTGCTTCCACAGCGTGTTATTGATCAACATAAAATGTCCAAGGATGAATGGGAGACATCGATTACAACATGGTGGCAAGAACATCGTGGTATGTTACGTGAAGATGCAATGATGGAATATTTAAAGATTGCTCAGGATTTGGAAATGTATGGAGTCAATTACTTTGAAATTCGTAATAAGAAAGGAACAGAATTGTGGCTCGGTGTTGATGCATTGGGGTTGAATATCTACGAAAAGGATGATAAGCTTACACCTAAAATTGGCTTCCCATGGTCTGAAATCCGTAATATTTCATTTAATGACAAAAAATTCATTATTAAACCAATTGATAAGAAGGCACCAGATTTTGTCTTTTTTGCTCCACGTGTTCGTATCAATAAGCGTATTCTTGCTTTATGTATGGGCAATCATGAGTTGTATATGCGTAGAAGAAAGCCCGATACCATTGATGTTCAACAAATGAAGGCACAGGCTCGCGAGGAAAAGAATGCAAAGCAACAAGAACGCGAGAAACTTCAAATGGCACTTGCTGCACGTGAACGTGCTGAAAAGAAGCAACAAGAGTATGAGGATCGTCTTCGCACCATGCAAGAGGAAATAAATCGTTCACAAGCTAATCTTATGGAAGCCCAAGATATGATTAGACGCTTGGAAGAGCAATTGAAGCAATTGCAATTATCCAAAGATGAACTTGAATCACGTCAAAATGAGCTACAAGAAATGCTTACACGTTTGGAGGAAAGTAAGAATATGGAGGCAGCTGAACGCCAAAAATTGGAAGACGAAATCAATGCCAAACAAATCGAGGTTGCTAAAATTCAAGAAGAAGTTGCTGAAAAAGATTCCGAAACGAGACGGCTACAAGAAGAAGTTGAAGAAGCACGCCTCAAGCAGGTACTTGACTGTTTATTAAATATATTTATTTCAATGTTAATAAGCTACTAATATCGCTATGAATATGACAAGCATGTCTAGATGCAATGATGAGTTTAAACGGACAAAAATGTTATATTAACACTATGAAAGAAATTTCAAAATTTAAAAATTCGCATTTAAATGCATTTTATGATTATTTAAGCATGACGAATATTGACAACAGCTAAATTATAAATTGTTCTTAGTATTAATCATGATCCAGCTGAGAAATGATTAATATTTATGTTGAAATTTTAAACTTTTCATAATTTCATCGCACAGTTTTGTCCTTAAACAACCATCCACGCATCTATTAAACTATTAACTTTACACAATCAAGTCACCACACATAAACACTGAGCATTCTCACATAATTCATTCAATATTTTTTTGCGTACATACATCACAATTAATGCTGAGCATTTTGTTTCTCAATCTCTTGTTCAATTTTCATCAATTAGTAGTTAAAACTTTTGCAAACAGCAAAAACACACATGATTTAATTCAATATTTAATTAACAGATGTCGTCGAACGCTAATACCAAACTAATAAATAAAGATGTTGCTGTATGTCTTTATGGATATAGATAGTCTATTGCACATGATAATTTGTTTCTGTTGAGTAATTCGTGAAGAATATTAATTTATTTAAAAGATATTAAATTGAGAATTACGTGATTTTTTCATAGATCTTTACACCAAGGAAACTTGATCATCTCTTTAAACCACTCTCTTATGAGTCACATCATAATCATTTTAGAATTCCAACGAAAGCTCAGTGTGCTCATCCTCGTAAAGTATGTACAATGCATGATGAGAATGCGAGTTTTGCTCATTGAATTGCCACATACCAAAATAAATACATCATCAATTGCCTGCTTAAAGTCATTAGTAGTCGACATAGCAGCGATACTTAGTCATTGACATTAAACTTGACATTCCATTTCGGGAATATTTATTTACTGCTCGATTTTTTTTACTCCTTTAAACTTGTCTAATTCTCAATTTTTATTCCATAATTTAGCAAGAAGCAGCTGCCGCATTATTGGCTGCCACACAAACACCTCAGCATCATCATTTGGCTGAAGAGGAAAATGGAGATGATGATGATATGACAAATGGCGATAATGGATCAGGCGGTGGAGATGTGTCGCGTGATTTGGACACAGATGAACATATCAAGGATCCAATTGAAGACAGACGTACGCTAGCTGAACGTAATGAACGATTACATGATCAATTGAAGGTAAATTTGACTGCTTTTTGGATATAAAAGTTGAATGTGAAAGTAATCACGAGTCTTAATTCATTTTGTAGGCATTGAAACAAGATTTAGCTCAGTCACGTGATGATACAAAGGAAACAGTAAATGATAAGATTCATCGAGAGAATGTACGTCAGGGACGTGATAAATATAAGACGTTGAGAGAAATTAGAAAAGGAAATACAAAACGTCGTGTGGATCAATTTGAGAACATGTAAAAATATTTTGTTTGGGATGATGATAATGATGATAATGTAAATAAGCACTGCAGCATTTACGATGAGCAATTAACAAAGTTAATAATAATAATAACAGCAACACATATAAAAACACACAAAAGGACTTTCTTGCAGCATACATATAAATTACTACTTTATACTGTCTATAGACTTTTTTAAACGATAAAAAAAAAATCATCCTACAATCAATTGCTGTACGATCATCCATATCGTACCAATTACAGCTCATTACATTGTGCTTAAATATCGCTTCCTACTTATCAAATAGTTTTTTTTTTTTATTTTTTATACGAGAAAAAAATTGCATTGTTACAAAAAAAATTAATATTTTTTTAATTGAAAAATATGTGTAATCAATCAGGGTGTGTCGATTCTTGATATTTATGACTGACTATTAGATTGGAATGCTTTTTGGGAATCATTTTGAAAATAACGGTAGTTTTGAATTCAAAAAGTCACGAATATTTTTAAATCTTTGAACTTGAAAATAACGGATTTTTTGAATTTTTGAACTTGGAAGTAAATATGAAAAGTGGGTTTTTTTCAAATTTTGCTCAATAACTGAATTTTGTTCATCAATGCCTAATATTGTCCATGATTCCATCAAATTGAGTCTCAAAAAGTTTTTCTTGCCTCTAATGAATCAGCTATACTTCCAAAAATCGTCAAACCTTAATAAACACCCAAAAACTACAGTAAATGGGTGCATAAATTTCATTCAATCAATCATTTATATAATGTTATGACATATTAATATTGATATGAAACATTCTTAGGCCATTATCCACTATATAAGAAATTTCTTGATGAAACAAATAAACGGTGTATATCAAACACACAAAACAAGATAGAAGAATGATAATAATGATTATTTTTGTGGATTTAAAAGCATGTTACATTTTTTTGCATTTTTGTTTAAGTTATTTACTTTAACATATCTTCCTCTACCCTAGCCCTTCTTTTTATAAAAGTTTATATTATTATTACTATAATTATAATTATTATCTTTCTGTTGCTTCTTGGTGGACTTGAATGTAAATTATACAAGTATTATGGTAGGCGAAACTTTTTGCACTTTTTATATAAATTGAAGAAAACAATATCATAATGCGATAGACCTTATCGTAAACTGGAACTTTCTATTCTAACAATCGAAAGAACATATAGAACATAAGCATATAATGAGAAAAAAAAACTAACTAGGAAATCTATGTCGATTATAAGCAATTCACTTATTATACATATATTTTTATTATGATTTCAATTTATATCTTCTTCATTTCTATATATATTTTTTTTCTTCGGTCTAATGTAATATTTATGATGATAAGAACTAATAACATAAAAAAATTGATAATGAAAAATGGTGGCCTTTAAAAATATTTGAAAAATATGAACATAAAAAGTAAGGAAAATGAGTAAATTCGAAAGACATGTGTAGTCCCTCTTCATAATTTTTCGTTATCATTACGCTGTTCAGTTCATATTTTCGCGAAAATTTAAAAAATTCAATTATTACTCTTATTAAGATTTTTGCATATCTGTTGAACGATGTATTATTTTTGAAAAATGAATTAAAATAAAAATTGGAAAAATTCATATAATAAACGAGAATTTCTTACAGCTTATTTTATTTTGAATTTTGAAACGACTTATTTTATTTTGAATTTTAAAACGGCTTTTTTTGAAAAATTTTCAGCGAAGTTTCAAACCCCTTTTGAAGAAAATTTTCTCAGAATTTGGTGCATAATCTTCGGTTTTTAAATAATTAAGTTATTATCGAGTATTAATGTTCTAAATACTCACATTTAGCTAGTTAAAGGTAAGATAACGATGAATCACATCGAGTTTGCATAAATTTCTAATAAAAATCGACATTTTTCAACAAAATTCCTGAAAACTTTAAAATTAGGTTAAAATAATGAAGAAAGAAGATAAAAATGAAAAGGATGACGATAATAAGCGAAATCGACGACCTTTTGCAACTGGAAGTAAGTTGATTAAAATTTCCAGTTAATAAGCATCGTTTAATCATACTTTTATTACAATCAAGGCAAGCCAGGACCTGATGAGCTGGATCATTATTTAGAAGAGCGTGGATTTTATAGGAAACATGTTGCACGTAAGTTTAGAACTTTTTGAATTAACATAATTAAGCATTTTGATTATCTATTCATTTGTTTAGGTGATGCAAGCTCACTTTTTCGTGTTGTTTCCGAGCAAGTCTTTGACATCCAGAACTATCATGATAGAGTTCGTCAAGATGTTGCTACATTTATGGAATTAAACATTAAGGATTATGCAAACGAAGTTGATAAGAATTTTTACAATTATGTCAGTAATTTGCGACGAAATCGTACTTATGGAACGCTTTTGGAACTACGAGTTATTGCCCGAATGTACAAGTAAGTTAATTCACTTTATAAACCCCATATTCACATCTCATAGCATCCTTTAAAATTCTATGTAGACGAAATATTATCTTATTCGAGCCAAATCAAAATATGGAAACGTTACATCGAGATTTCATCAAGGACGATGATTATAACGCAAAGGAACCGATTCGCGTTTTCTATTCACACAAAGATAAGCATTTTGATACAATTTATCCAATGGAAACTGTTGAAAGTCTTGCTGAATGTCAATCAATCGTTTATGATATTCTTTATACCAACGTTTTTAAACTTCCTGATGTAAAATATGCTGTTGAAAGAATGCTACATGATCAAGAAGAGCAATTAACTTTGCCACTAGAAGAAGATCCAAACAAGTATAAGAATGCTAATGGTGATATTATCGAATTTGATGGACATGAAGTGACTAATTGCGTATTGAAGGATCCACGAACTTGTCATTTCCATAATCAGGAAGATTTCGATGATGTCGTCAATGAAAATAAGGATGCAATAACTATTATTAATCGCAGTGATGATCCAGGAAAGTTGAAGATTTTTAAGCCAGTCGATGGATTCTTGTACAAGAGTGATAAGTCATGCGTTCGTCAATTACTTGATGAGAAAATCACTCCATTTCCATATAAAGTCGCTAAAGCATTAGATCCAAGCATTTATCGAAATACTGAATTTGAATTGTGGAGTGAAAATCGTAAGGAACAGCGTATGAAGTGGTTTGATACTAACGGATTGCCAATTCGTGAAAATGATGAGCGTCACTGGTCGTATTATGGAGATTTTGACAAGAATCGTCGCTATGACTCAATGAAATATTCATTTCATGATCCAATGATGAAGGGTGACTCAATTTTGGGACTTGATGATGATGGAAAGAAGAAATTTATCATGTCAAATGATGATTATAAGTTTGGGCAGTTGACAAACTATGATAATTTTCAGCCACCAAGAAGTGCTTTAGAACCGATTATTATGCCTGTTCATATTCAACATCATCGTGGTAACTTCCGAGGAAATAATCGTCGCTATAATAATCGTGGATTTAACAACAATCATCATAACAACATGCATTATAATAATCAGAATCATCATCAACCAAATAACAATAATATGAATTATGTTGGCGATATTGAGCGTGAAAATATGCAGTATAATAATGAAGCAGAGCAAAGTTATGCTCCACCGCAAAACCAACCACCACCTCCTCCGATCTTCCAAGAAATGCCTGCAAATTATCAATTTGTCCCTTATGATCAACAATCTCCACCTCCAATGTATCAGCCAACTTCGCAATATCAATACATCCCGACTAGTCCATATCAACAGCCAATTCCAGCTGTTCAATATCAACCACCGATGGTTCCTTACTCTTATCCTCAACCAGCATTGATTTCTTATCAACAGCCTCAACCAGCAAATCAAGTTGTTCATCATGGTAACGAGCCAAGTGATAATAATGCTCGCGATTCCTTGAACTTGATCCGTGACAATGAACTTAATTCGCCAATTAATTGGTCACCACAAGAAAGCATTGATATGAATGGAAATGATTTGCCATTAAATGACCTCGCAACTATGCAATTCTATTATAATCTTGGTGTTCGATATTTCTTTGCTTCTGGAATATCTCGTCGTTTGGAAAATGTCGCTAATCAGCTTGAAAGCTTGGACATTAATGCTAGTAATCAACATCAAGATACACCGCCAGTTCCAGTTAATACACCCGTTTCGACAAAGCCAAGTACATCTGGACAATCAGGACATCGTTATCAGCACAACAACAATAATAATAATAATATGAATAATAATCGTCGAGTTTTCCATAATTCGCAATCCAATGGTGGGAATAAAGATAAAGGACGCTTTCAGCATAATCATCAACGTAAGGAAATTCAATTTAATTCAAATGTTAAGAATGTACACAAAGCTGATCAAAATAAAGCTAGTACAAGTCAAGTTTCGGCTCAGAACTCGTCAGGTAATGTTGGATCTACGCAGTCATCCAATAATATTGAAAGGACATCATCAGCTATGACATCGTCTTCCTCTTTAGGTTTAATTACTAATTTACAGATTTCTCCTATCTCACCTCCTTCAGCTGAACCACAGATGCAAAATCAAGAACAACAAGTCCAGCAAATGGTTCAAATGCAAACTGTAAGTATTAAAATTCTTTTTTCTCTGCTGTTTAAATAATGTGTAAATTTTTTTTAAACCAACAGCCACAAATGCAATATTATCAGCAATATCCACAACAAAGTATGATTCCCCAACAACCATTAATCTGCTATCAAACTGAAAACGGCGAATTGATGCCTTTGACTCCTGCTCAGCCAATTTGTAAGTACCTTTTAACGTATTTTTAAATTTAAAACCTTTCAAAACCGTTTGAATTTCAAACTACTTGAATATTTAACGCTAATAACTGCTCACAGCACGAAGTGTTTGCAAATGAATTTTCCATAATTCTTGTGCAAGTAAATTATTGCACAAACTAAGACTTGTGTAAACAAAACTTAACACCAGTTTTAACATTTAACTCTATAGATTATAGCTATCAACCAGCTCCGCATGCACCAGTTTACTTTCAACCGCAAACTCAAATATTGGACGGTACTGTTAACAGCTCTGATTCTGGTATTGTCGATTTCTCAGCATATGCATACCAACAGTCTGCATATCCAATAATTTATCAACCTCAAACACCAATCTATTATCCGCAAACACCAATAATTCAGGCACAACACATTGCTACAACTCCACAAATGGCTCCAGTTTATCCAGTTGCATTTAATGGAACTCCAATGCCACAACAAGCTGTGCAAGACACTGTTTTACAACAGACAAATGAGCCGATTTCAACAGGTTTGAATGAAACTTCAAATACAAATGCTAACAACGCAAATTCATCAAATTAAGCAGCTTTCCATTTTATGATTACTTTTTTGTGCACTTTATTGCCTTAATTTGAATTTTTTTCACAAATTTATTAGGATATATCCTTAATCATTTTACAAGAAGTATGAAATATCATGAAATCTAAAAAAAACTTTTATTATGGTAGGTATAAATCCAAGACTTTAGTCGACCATAACTATTTTTTATATGAACTTTATATATTAATATCATGAAGATGTAATCACTGAACTATTAAATAACATTGAATAAAAATAAATTCTGATTTTTTTTTTTTTATTATTATTCATTACTTGAAAAGCCATATGAAAAGTATTTAAACTTTTTAAGACGGCATAAAAACCAAGGGGTGAGGGCTCCTCAAAAAGTGCAAAAATTTATTGAAAAATGCAATAAAGTGCTTCAAAGTAGAATAAAATTGAGAAAAGTGCAACAAAGTAGAGTAAAGTGCAATGAAGTGCAGCAACGTTGAGCAAAGTGCAATGAATTGCAACAAAGTACTGAAGGTACAGGCATAGTAGACCAAAGTGCAGCCTTTTTTAAATTTTTTTTATTGTTTTAATACTTGATTTAAAAAACTGAAAATATATAATAGTTCTCATCTAGTTTTATAATTTTGTTTGGAAAATGATTTATTTCACTGTGGAACATCTTTAAATTTGGGATAGCACTGCACTTTCAATGCATACGATGTTTTTTGCTTTATTTCTTATGTACTTTGTTGCATATGGGCGATTCTACGAATGATTTTTTCTACAAATTTGTCTCCAAATCTGTATTTCTCTTTATCAGTTGCATTAATCCCCATGTTTCATGTATTTAATAGTAGATTTTACCGATATCTACATATTGTTCTCACCCAAACATATTAAAAATTGTTAATTAAAGAATTATTTAGGGTAAATACTTTTGAAATTTGCACACTCGTATGATAATAAAAAATACAAATTTCTCTTAAAATATCAACTTCTAACAATACTTTCTTTACAAAATCTTTGTATAACTATAGTACAAATGTTTTTGTACCTTTTTGAATTGTTAAAAGGCACCAGGAAAATGAATTCCTCCAGGAATCAATTTCTCACACAAAACGAAACTTTGAAAAAAATAAAGTTTTGGGATACATTCGGTAGATTAAATAAAAAAATTTATATCCAAAAATGAAGCTCTTAACTTGCTTTAAATAATTGCAGTGTTTCTTTTGTGAAAGAATGAGCGGAAGTGCTCAAAAATTCAACTTTGCAAAGGCTTGTTTTTCACTTTTGAAATTTGCACAAAATTTCGTCAAAACTTTTGAAATTTGCACACTTTGAAGCTTAGGAGACATTGCGAAAATTGATGTAAACATTGATTTTTCTGATGTAAACAATAATTTTTCTGATTGAAACATTAATGTTTTAAGTCTGAGATGAAGACAATGGTGAATCGTGCTTTCTCAAAATTATAGAAAATATTCAAGAAACATCAGCTGTTAAGAATTTAATGAGAAGGGACATCAAGAAAGTAAAAATTTATACTTTACATCATAACAATAAAAGCAGCATGTGCTGATTTGATAATTATTCATGTTTGGTTTTCTAAAATAAAGCATTAGATTGATTCTTGAATAATTTTTCTTGAAAATATTTGACGACAGTGTTACGAAAACACAACTATTATGCTTTTGTTCGAAGTTGAGGATATTTCTTGATTAAAAGTATTATTTTTTCACCCAGAAATTGTAAACAAATTGTTTGTTTACACAAATTTGATTTAAAAATGTCATGGATTGCTGTCAAAAAAGTGTGCACATTTTAAAAGTTTTTTGTGCAAATTTCAAAAGTCAAAAATAAAACGCTTATATCTCTGCTGATAAGCATCGTAGCTTTAAAAAGAAGATTGGAAATGAAAATTTCCACAATTTCCAAAAGTTTAAAAAAACTGCTAAACCTTAACAACAGTCAGTTGAAAAGTTTCAAGCAAATGAAATTTTCATGTGCAAAATTGTGCAAATTTCAAAAGTATAACTACATTCTACGAAAAATTACTCTGTTTCACACGAGTTTTTTCGCCCAAATTTCCAAAATGTTTTCATTAATATCTTTAAGGTGGTAAAATTTCCAGTAATACTAAGTTTACAAAGTTATTATTATTATTTTTATTTTTATTATGGTCCGTATTAATAATTGAAGGACCTTTCCTTTTCTTTTGTTTTCTTACGTATAAAAGGAAAAGGCAGTTTGTTTACAAAGTTATAGCTTAAAGTAAAAGCTTCAAAACGATGTCAAAATCATATTTGTGGAAGCCTTAATTAAGCTGCAATTTGGATTCTACGAAAAATTTCATAAGTGAAATAGAGTAATTTGGAGACAGTTCCAAAAAAAAACTACCAAATATTAAAATTAAAACCATGAATTTCTCAAGCCATAGCTAAGTAATTTGAGTGCAAATGTAATCATAATTCACAGTTTAACCAATAGAAGAGGAAATGAGAATTAGATTTTTGAAAAACTATGCACAAGTGAAAATAAAATAATCAAAAAATTTCATGCAATTGACACGGATTATTTTCATGAAACTTTCGTAGAATTGCCCATATTACAAACCTTTTTTTACGCTTTGTCATTGTAAACTGTAGATCGCAGCAGTTTTGTTGTATATTACTAAACTCCGTTTTAGAATAATTTACGTCATTGCTTTTTTTGAGAAATTTGTAAGCTCAGTCTTGAAAACAAAAATTTAAATATGATTGACCAGATCTAAATTTTATGGAACTCAATATACAATAACCTCTTAAAAATTTGCTGAAAAGAACATTGAGTTCGAAAAGCAAAAAAAAAAAAATATTCCAAAGTTCAATTTTATTAAAATCACATTAACATTAGTTCTTTTATAGAGCTACACGAATCGATTGCAAAATTTGATTGTTTGCTTGCTTACAGAAAATGAATTTTGCGATTTTCTCAGCAATGCCTTAATCAATTTCAATTTTGATTTTTTATTACGATGTAAAACTGAAGGCAAAAACTTTTTGGTGCGGATCTTGATTTATCTTTATGCTTCGTTTTCCCGAAAACTGATTTTGCAATCTGATCAAATACAATATATTCACACATGAATACGGTCCAAATTTTAAACAAATTGCACATCTTTGTGTTTATTTATGGAATTGCATTTTTTTCTCAAAAATGTGAAAGTCTTCTAATATTGCATTTTTTTCGACATTTTTCCTTACGTTTTAAGATATTCATTAATAATTGAATTAAAGGAGGTTTTTAACAGTTTTAGCATTTTTGCATTTCGCATTATTGCATTTTTGCAATAATTTTAAAGACAAATTTATAATAACCAATCATGTTTAATGGCTCTTTTCTTTTGAAAAATTAATATAAATAGATTAAAAGTATTAACATCATTAACTGAATAATTTGTGCAATAAAGTAGAATAAAGTCGAGTAAAGTGCAACAAAGTAGAATGAAGTAGAGTAAATTGCAATTTAGTGCAGCAAAGTGCAATAAAATTTGCTATAGTACACCAAAGGACTGTAATTGCAATGAATTGCAGTAAAGTTTAGCCAAATTGCAATGAGTAGAGAGGAGCCCTCACCCCTTGATAAAAACCTTACTTAATCTTTTCTTATTATGTGTAATTATTTTCCTTAATCAAATTTGAAGTTACTCATTGGAAGTCCTTTGACATTTAATCCAGTTATTTTGAAAACAGCACCAGATGGCGGTGGATGTGTGTATGAAGCTGGATATGCAGCTGTTGTGACAAAGAGAATGTCTAGACTTGGTCCACCGAATGCGAGCTGGAAGAAGAATATTTGTCAATTTTCAAATTACTGGATGTTATGGATATAATTTAAATCGTCGGATTAAGTCTCACCGAAGTAACTTTGGCAGTTGGCATTTGAATTTCTCGAACAATTTCTTTAGTCACTGGATTAATTACTAAAATTCTTGCTCCATTCCAAGTAGCTACATAAAGAAATCCATTCTCATCAATTGTCATGCCATCGGGTGCAAACTCGTTATCTGGATGAGTGACTGCAAAGTCAATAAGAACTGATTCATTGCCTAAATTGGAAATAAAAGGTTAGATTAATGCTAGACTTATATGTCAGAAATTACTCACTGATATGCCCTGTTGATGACTCATAATCATATGCCTTGACATTTCGTGTGACAGAATCAATGTAATAGAATTTTCCCAAATTCTCATTCCATGCTAGACCATTTGAAATTCCTACATTATCTCTCAATATTGTTGCATTTGGATAAGTTTGATAACGATAGAGGAATCCAGTTGGATGTTGCTTGAGATTTGATGTTTCATCGCCCATTGTACCGAAGAAAAGACGTCCTTTTGGGTCACATTTTGCGTCATTAATGCGATTCGTTGGAAATTGGCTGTCAACAGTCACGAGAACTTTCAGAACAGTTGCTTCCTCAGACTCACCATTCCATCTAATAACAGTCAAATCATGTCCAGCACCAACAACAAATTCATCAGTCTTTCCTTCAATCGGTGTTATGAAACCCAATTGAGAGTTGTTGTCCTTGATTGTTGCTTTAAAGATCTTTCCAGTTTCGAGACTATAACGGAATATAGCAGGTGCTGCAATGTCAACATAATACAAGTTTTGTGACTTAACATCGTAATGTGGACCTTCTCCTAAGATACATCTTTGTGTCTCATTTGTAATTTCCTCAATGTGAAGCTCGTTGGACATCTTTCTTCGATTAAAGCAACATCCATAACAGCAGAAATCAAAAATTTTACAAATAAATTTAAAACACATTTTAATTAAATTGAACGAGCTTAAACTACTAAAATAATAATATAGACTGAAGACCGTGCAAGCAGCAAGTGCAGCACAGTCGAATTTACATCATAATGAAACATATTTTTGAATTAATTTTGAGTAGCTGCAAGCAATTTTTATTGCCAATTGCATAGACTTACAAAACAGCGAAAGTGCATCAAGATGATGAATATAAAGCAACAGCTACGCATTGTTCAGTACTCACAATAGAGTTATATTTTCATTAACAAACTACCGATTTCAGACTAAACTTGACTTTTGTCGCTGATCTTGCTTTTATAACATTTATTCTTAAAACAACAATAATACTCTCAGGCGATTGAGTATTTACGGACGTAGAAATAAGAGCAATAAGAGATAGAAATGAATAATTTATAAGTGAGAGAAAATCAAATTGATATTTGAAAATAATATAATTAAAGTATTGCTTCCTTTTCTGTGAGCTTGATTCATAAATTTAATTAAGACCTTCCAAGTGGACGTTTTTTTGCACCTGCTTGCCTGGCTGTTAATTTGAATGTATTTCACAAGAAGCCATTGAACATTTTATCAATATTCACGAGTTCATTTTGGCTTTCTTGTTTCTGTATTTGTCATGGTTGTAAATGTAAAGTGTTGGCTTGGTTTGTTGCTTAGCTGGCAACAAGCTTTTCCAAAAAATGGTCAAGTATTTAACGGGTTTTAAAGTTATATCCCTGGTTTGAAACCGATAAAAATCAATCACATTTACTGTGATTCTCTTGTATAAACATCATCATCGACTGCATAGCCTATCCGTTGCCAATTCAGAATTAATTGGAAATGAAGGAAGCTTCCGTTCTAGCCTACGCACTCACAACTACCAGCATATCCACTTCATTCAGAGAATTCATTACACAGAGTATTGCAAAAAAATAACAATAACAACAACGCATGCTGCTTCCCAACCAATAATTTTTTCCCCGTTGCTCATCATCAAACGTCCCTTCAAATTGAAACGATGGATAGAAATAAAATAAATCGCAATAGTCACCTAACAGACGGACACAGTATTATCGAAAAACACAACATGAAACGCAGGCTTGGGCTCACGGGTTTTTTTTTCCTTCCTTCCTTCCTTCATCTCGTCACACAGAGAGTCATTTGCGATGAACAATTTTTTTTTTGTATTATTATATATCTCTTCTCTTCCCTTCCTGCCCGAAATATCCCTCTTCTCGCATCGGCAGCTTGTGGCTGATTCATTTTCAGTTCATCCGTTGAGCAGTGAAGATGTGAAATAACAATTTTTCCCCTTTTTTTATTTCGGTGTGTATTTGGATATACATACAAATTTTTTGGATTATATTTGTCGCGCGCGCTCGCTCTCTATGTCCTTCTCACTTACTCATCACATCACATAATTGCAATCACTAGACTTATAATTTTTATTATTGTGTGGAAAATGGAAAATATATGATTGTGGATAGTGCATAAAGACACACATAGAGTGTCATATCGTTCCTAATTGGATGCATATAAAATAAGTTGATTCTCTCCTACAACAATAAAAAGAAAAGTATATAGAAGTTGTGAATGGGAAAAAAAAGAGAAAGTGAAAAAGGCAAAAGGAAAAATAGAAAAGGAAAAATAAAAATTTTGTGTGTGAAAATTACCGGAAAAGGAAAAAATAAAAACATTGTGAATCGCATCGAGCATATACATTTAATCTGAATTGAGGTCATTTGGAGTGGTAGCAAACAAATGGATTCGACAAAATTTAAGAAGCCTGTGTTGGTAAGTCGCATCTCTATCATCATCGTCATATTCTTTTCTTCCTTCACTCAACTCACTTATTAAGTGAAACGACATACTTTTAAGGCAGATAATAAGAATTGAAAGGAAAGAAGATTCTCTTTCTTACTTTATTTTTTGGTCAGGTAGAAAATAAGAAGTAATCGAGCAGATGGATTTCGAGTTTTTTATTTTATTTTTTTCAATGCAGAAATTCTTTCTGTTCTGTTCTGTTCTGCTTTCGTTTCGTTTGATGAGCTTGCTTCAAGAGATGGATTTCATCGCATCATTTCTTTTGCACCTTCATTCTCCTTGCGCCCTTTTATGTACCTTCTTAGTTCTTGTTCTTCAATCTTATTTTTGCGGTTTCTGTGCACATCTTTTTTGCTGGACGATTTGATGCAGCACGAATGCATTTTTCGTTGTTCTTTTTGTGTGAACAAAATACAATAAGCTTCTTGATATAGTTTGGGATTTGTCTAGAAATTTTTAAATATTGATCCTTAGAAATCCTTTGGAGGTTATTAAGTTCATTTGGGCTATTGATTGAGTCATTCATACTCCATTTTGTAAATTTAACCTATAAACCTTGACTTTATAAACTTAAATTGTAAGTTTTCAACTGATCAGATTTTGATAATCTAACAATGATGTACTGTGACTAAGGTAGGGCTCAATTCTGGGGTTTAGATTTAAAATCTTAGTAGAGATGAACTTTTGATTAAGCTTAGATCAGTTACCAAAAACTTCAAGTTTGCTTCAGAAAAATGGAAACTGCTTGATTTTAAGAAGACAAAAAGCCTAAGTTGATTTCACGAACCAAGGAGACTAGTTAATCCAACTTGATTTGCAAACATGAATTAGCATGTTTTCTTGAAATTCAGCTATTAGATTAAAGTTATTCTTTGGCAAACTTAGGTTTCTTGGAATCTGGATCTTTTTAGATATTACAGCTCTGATCGATTCCTTGCTACGCCTATAAGTCTCTAATAAATCAAGAATATTCCAATTTGTAAAAAATGCCATAAAAAACTTCATCCTTCTATCCATATGATAATAATATCCACAGTCAAATGAGCAATACAAGTAAGAAAGTCAGCAAGCGAAAAAGGGATAGCGAGATAGATAGATTGAACGGATGGATGAACAAATATACAGAACCGAATAATTATATGCCCAGATACTCCAGACAATAATGCGAAATTTCTAAATTGCGAATGTGTAATGAAGTTTATGCAAAATGAAATTATCATAATTAAATTGGGACAATTCAGGTGGGAGTTGTTGTTTTTCCTCATTATCAAATACAACAATAGTTTGAGTTAGAATTATTGATTATAATTATGTTTAGTATGGGTGGAGTTGGGGATAGATAAATAGATAGATAACTGACTGGCGCAATTTCGGGAAACATTTTACACCGTTGAGATTTATGACAAATTGTTTATGGCAATTGACATCGTTGTCATTTGCCAGTGAGATTCTTGCATGTATGCACATTCTTTTGTGTTTCCTTTTGTGCTCATTTTCCTTAATTGTATGGCCCATATCACAAATTATGCGTTCATAATCTTCGGAGAATTTTTAACGGAGGGGATCAATGCTTGGCATTTGTCAAGTTTTATGTGAAATATTGGATTAAAAAGGCTTTGGTGCTGTCACTTTGTCTTGGTTATTCAATAAGAGATAGTACTGTATATAGTCCAAAAATATCTTGGATACAATTATGAGGATCAATGCATTTTGGTGTTATGGACTGGATCTTAGAATTATCAATCTAAAACCTCCAGAATCTGTGCAAAAATCTGGAAATTTCCTCGAATTTTTTCCAATAATTGCCATCTGAAATAAAAGGATCAAAGTTCAATGGACCATTTCCAACAAGCTTTTAAACCTTTCATCCATAATAAGAAGAAGAAAAAATGGATTTTCAGTTATAATACAATCACACAATCATTATCGTCATTAATCAGCCAAAATACCATTAACACAAACACATCGTGAAATGCAATTTCGCGCATCGCTATTTGTAGGCAGCAGCATCAACTTGAATAGTTCGAATGCATTTGCAATTACCAAAAAAAAAGTATTTTTTTCATCCTCGTTTATGGCAGACGCAGTAAAATGGTTAATTTATGCATTGTCCAATTTCCAGGACAGTCATCAAATGCCATTCGGGTTTTATTGATTTTTCAACCCTCCACGTACTTTTTGCTTATGTCACAAAATTTTTCAGCTCTCATCATTGTCGAACATTGAGCTCATAGGCAAATCACAAATGGTTATCATATAGAAATATTCCTATACCTAACGACTAATGACTGACTCAATGATGACGATGATAGAAGCGAAATCAAATTTTTATTGTCAAATGCTTCATTGTGCTCTATGCGCGTCAATTTGACCAAACGAAAATTGTGCCAATCGGATCAGAAAAATTTATCTGATTTATTTGCCATTCATACCTTCATTGGTAGTAGTGCATGCTCATCAAAGAGATTTCAGGCACAATTTATATCTTTGTATTGAAGCACTTCATCTGAAACGGTTGTGCCTACTCGAACTGTTTAATTTTCATACACATCGATAGCAGGCGAGCAAGAGATTTTTTTATATGAAGCAACGCAATCCAGATGTTGCCAATGATTTCGAACTGGTCTTACAGCAGATACGCTTATTCAAATTGTTGCTGTTCCACAGAAGAAAAAAACAACTCATGAATTTTCTTATTTATAAAATACTTCTGTCCACCTGTTGCAATTTTTTTTTCTCTCTTTCGTCTTTAGCTGCAAAATTTTTCGTTGATTTTTGTGTGAGGCACAATATGTGCATTTCATGCTATTAAAAGAAACACCTTTGTGTTACTTCAATAAATTATCTGGACTCAGAGTTTTGGAAGAATATTGTAACGTTTAATTTTAATTTGAATTGTGTCATAATTTTCATCGTTTCACACCCTTCTCTTGGGGGGGGGGGGGGTTTGAAAAATTGTAACATAGGGGGGGGGGGGTTGTGAGTTGTAACAAGCGGGGAGGGGGGGGGGTGAAAAAAGTCGTTTTTTTGCGTAACGTAATAAGTGAACGACCCCATTCGAAAATTTGTCATTTTAAACAGTAAGTTATATGAATTCTATCAAGTGTTTACCCAAAAAATGCAAATTAATTATTAAACACAAAGGTTACTATAGGTCAAAAATTAAATTATAATGCGAAAATTTTGAGATTTCTTCGTTAAGATACGCACACTCACTCATACAATTTAACAATAATCAACACCGATAGACACTCATCCTTTACTCTATATCCTTTTTAGTTTCATAGATGAAGGAAGACGTTTCCTCATTTATTGTATTGATTTTTCTCTGTAATTTCACGCAGTTTCCCTTCAGTTTATTCGCATGTATGTATGTATGTCGTGTGAGGTATAAGATGAAGGATGCGAGTATAGTAAAAATTAGTTCAGTTGAAAAATAATGGAATAGTATAAAAAAGTTATTGTCACATGAGACATGACTTGAACCCCATCCCACGAGAGTTTTGAAGTTAACTAGCCATTCTATTCTTTTCATATCACACAAATTTGGACAAACTGACAGTTAAATGGCAAGACACTAATGAAACAAAATCATATATTGGACATATAAAACAGGCATAAAGCATAAAAAAATTTGATCAAAAGCATACTTGAAAGTATCCAGGGATTTCTCTCTTTGAGGAAGTATCAATCGTGAACATACATATATGGTCAATATTGAATGGTCTAATTTATCAATGTCTTTACTATCTCTTTCTTTCACATTATGTGGAAGGGATTCATGTGTGCATTCACATGTGTATTATATGCTAAGTTGCTAAGCGACCTATTTTATAGTTTAAGGGTTTCGTATTATAACTATCAAAACGAAGTTATGGCTCACAATTTTCTGCTGGAAGGATTCGAGCAAAGGAATCGTAAAATAAAATTTCCAGCTCACTGTTTCCTCTGACGATGATGATGATGCAAATAAAGGCAACACGGCCAAAAAAACTTTTTTTATGATTGGAGGCACCAATGGAAAGCGAAAGAATAAAAATCGATAATGAGAGCGCTATATGGAGCATCATTTTCATGTAGATGGATGTCATTTGATTCTGGATGAGTCGAGAGATGCTGAGCAACGACGCAATAAAATTGGATAACAACCTCAGGGTGTATCAAATTCTATACTTAAGTAAACCACCCTCAAAAACTTTCCTTTCCTCTTCTTCTTCTTCTTTGTGTTGTTATTCTTTTATGAAGTTCATACGAAAATATCGTCTAATTTTGTCTAATCTATTTAACAAGTAAAACTACTCAAGAGATGATGAATTGGTTTTTCCAACCAGAATCTTCCTCTGTTCAATCTACACTGAGGGAATTTTATGCTACATGGATAGACTAGGAAGATGTTCGTTTTTATTCATAACATGCTTCATTTTAGCAAAATAATGATGCAATCAACAATTTAAAATCCTCGATTATGATTGCTTGGTCGTTTGAATGCTTTGAAGTCTGCTGGATGTTTGATTACAATGATTTTTGTTTAGGATCATCAGATTTTAGTTCATTTTCAACATCCAGCCAGTTAAAAATGCAAAAAGAACAGTTCTAGATATTTAAAATAATTATTGTTGAATAAATCGATCCTAAAACATAAAAGAAAGCTGTTGGTGATAAAAAGCTTCAATCCAGCTCCACCCAAGCCCTTCACAACTACAAAGCTGAATAAGATTATAAAAATATACAGAGAGTATTCAAAATGATATAAATTCTCAAGCCCAATATACAGCGATGGTTTGTAACTTTTAATGGCAACCTTTTCCCTTTCTCTATAGCACTGCCATCAGTGCTAACTCATCATTCCTTTTACAACGAAATACATAAAAAACACATCAAGCTGAAATGATAAGAAAATACTCTCATCTCATCTCTCGAGCAATGAAATGTGCGAATGAATGAAATGAAATGGGAAACACAAGCAGCGA